TGGACCGAGAAATCGTCAGCCAGTGCATTCGGATCATGAACCGATCGAATCCAACCCTGATCGCCTACATGCAATATCACATTGACAACTGCCCCACTGAGCGAGGCGAGACTTATAAACTGGCCAAGGAGCTCGGAGAGCAACTTATTGAGAACTGCAAGGATGTTCTAAATGAAGCGCCGGTTTACAAGGATGTCATGGTCCCGACCGGTCCTCAGACCACGATCGATGCGCGAGGCAACCTCGACTACAAAGAAGTCCCCCGACAAAGTGCCCGCAAGCTTGAGCACTACGTGCGTGAGATGGCCGAGGGTGGGAAGATCTCTGAATACAGCAATCGGACAAAAGTGCAGAATGACCTGCGCAACGTTTACAAGTTGATTCGAAAACAGCACAAGCTATCAAAAGCTTCCCAGTTGCAATTCAACACCTTGTACAAGGATGTTGTCCGTGCTTTGGCAATGAACGAGTCACAAATCATGCCACAGGAGAATGGTGATGTCAAGAAACCTGGTCGCAATGGACTGCCACGAGCTACCATGAACGGAAACGTTAAGCAAGGCAAGACGGAGACAATCCCGTTCCTTCATCTGAAGAAGAAAGAACAACACGGTTGGGAGTACAGCAAGAAGTTGACGGGTGTCTACCTTGAAGGGCTTGAGAACGCAGCTAAGTCAGGCCTAACTTTCCAGGGCAAAATGGCGCTGATGACCGGCGCCGGTGCCGGCTCCATTGGAGCGGAAGTTTTACAAGGTCTGATCAGTGGTGGCGCCAAAGTCGTTGTCACGACCAGCCGCTACTCACGTGAGGTTACCGAGTACTACCAGTCAATGTATGCTCGGTTCGGTGGCCGTGGCTCTCAGCTTGTCGTAGTGCCATTCAATCAAGGAAGCAAACAGGACGTGGAAGCCCTGGTTGACTACATCTACGACACCAAAAGGGGCCTTGGTTGGGATCTGGACTTCATTGTGCCCTTCGCCGCTATCCCTGAGAACGGCCGCGAAATTGACAGCATCGACTCCAAGTCCGAGCTTGCTCATCGTATCATGTTGACTAACCTGATTCGTCTGCTTGGATATGTCAAGTCGAAGAAATTTGAGAACGGGTTCAACACTCGACCAGCCCAAGTCATGCTTCCTCTCTCGCCGAACCACGGTACCTTTGGCAATGATGGTCTTTACTCCGAGTCCAAGCTTGCGCTCGAGACTCTTTTCAACCGTTGGTCTTCCGAGAGCTGGGGCGACTACCTCACAATTTGCGGCGCCGTCATTGGGTGGACTCGTGGAACCGGGTTGATGAGTGGCAACAACATTGTGGCTGACGGCGTCGAGAAATACGGCGTCCGAACCTTCTCCCAACAGGAGATGGCATTCAACCTACTTGGTCTGATGTCCCCTGCGATTATCGACCTATGTCAACAAGAGCCCGTCTTCGCCGACTTGAACGGAGGTCTTCAGTTCTTGCCAGATCTCAAGGACCTCATGACGAAGCTTCGAGCAGAAATCATGGAGACAAGCGCCATCCGACAAGCAGTTACCAAGGAGACCGCCCTGGAGAACAAGGTTGTTAATGGTGAGGACAGCGAGGCTCTTTACAAGAAGGTTACCATCGAGCCCAGAGCCAACCTGAAATTTGACTTCCCCGAGCTGCCTGACTGGCAGAAGGAAGTCGAGCCACTTAATGCCAAGCTCAAGGGCATGGTTGACCTCGACAAGGTGGTTGTCGTCACTGGCTTCTCCGAGATTGGGCCTTGGGGCAATTCTCGTACCCGGTGGGAAATGGAAGCCTACGGTGAGTTCTCCTTGGAAGGCTGCGTTGAGATGGCCTGGATGATGGGTTTGATCAAGAACCACAACGGACCACTTAAGGGCAAATCATACTCTGGCTGGGTTGATGCAAAGACCGGCGAACCTGTCGACGACAAGGATGTCAAAGCCAAATATGAGAAACACATCCTCGAACACTCTGGTATTCGTCTCATTGAGCCCGAGTTGTTCAATGGTTATGACCCAAAGAAGAAGCAGTTGCTCCAGGAAATCCAGATCGAAGAAGATCTCGACCAATTCGAGTCCTCCAAGGAAACTGCTGAGGAGTTCAAGCGACAGCATGGCGATAAGGTTGAGGTTTTCGAACTCGAATCCGGAGAGTACAGTGTCCGCTTGAAGAAAGGCGCGACTCTTTTGATTCCCAAAGCTCTTCGATTTGATCGTCTTGTTGCTGGTCAAATCCCCACGGGCTGGAATGCGAAGACCTATGGTGTTCCAGACGATATCATCTCCCAAGTCGATCAGGTCACGCTGTTTGTCCTTGTCTGCACTGCTGAAGCTCTCCTGTCAGCTGGTGTTACAGATCCGTATGAGTTCTACAAGTACGTGCATCTGTCTGAGGTGGGTAACTGTGTCGGTTCCGGTATTGGTGGCACCACTGCACTTCGTGGCATGTACAAGGATCGCTTCATGGATAAACCCGTTCAGAAGGACATTCTCCAAGAGTCCTTCATCAACACCATGGCCGCATGGGTCAACATGTTACTCTTGTCATCGACCGGTCCGATCAAGACCCCTGTGGGTGCATGTGCTACTGCTGTCGAGTCAGTCGATATTGGTTACGAGACCATTGTCGAAGGAAAGGCCCGTGTTTGCTTTGTCGGTGGTTTTGATGACTTCCAAGAAGAGGGTTCCTACGAGTTCGCGAACATGAAAGCCACCAGCAACGCTGAAGACGAATTTGCGCATGGTCGGACGCCCAAGGAGATGTCTCGTCCGACTACCACTACTCGAAATGGATTCATGGAATCTCAAGGCTGTGGCATGCAAATTATCATGTCGGCTCGTCTTGCTCTGGACATGGGAACACCCATCTATGGTATTCTCGGCCTCGTCTCTACTGCCACAGACAAGATCGGTCGCTCCGTGCCCGCCCCTGGTCAAGGTGTCTTGACCACGGCTCGTGAAAACCCCGGCAAATTCCCCTCGCCTCTGCTTGACATCAACTACCGTCGGCGACAGCTCGAACTCAGGCGCCGTGCCATCAAGAACTGGCAAGAGTCTGAACTTCTGTACCTCCACGAGGAGGTTGCAGCGATGAAGGCCCAGGCCGGCTTCGGTTTCAATGAGGCCGAGTACATGCAGGAACGTGCCGAGCACATTGAACGTGAAGCAATCCGTCAAGAAAAGGAAGCACAGTTCAGCTTGGGCAACAATTTCTGGAAGCAAGATCCCACCATTGCGCCCCTTCGTGGAGCCCTGGCTACTTGGGGTCTCACCATTGATGACCTTGATGTTGCTTCCTTCCACGGAACCTCGACCGTTGCGAACGACAAGAACGAATCCGAGGTTCTCTGCAAGCAAATGGCACATCTCGGCCGCAAGAAGGGCAATGCCATGCTTGGTATCTTCCAGAAGTACCTAACCGGTCATCCCAAGGGTGCAGCCGGTGCCTGGATGTTCAATGGCTGCTTGCAAGTCCTCAACAGCGGCCTTGTTCCCGGGAACCGGAATGCCGACAATGTTGACCAGGTGATGGAGAAATTCGACTACATTGTTTACCCCAGCCGATCACTGCAGACAGATGGCATCAAAGCATTCTCCGTCACATCCTTCGGTTTCGGTCAAAAGGGCGCCCAAGCAATCGGCATCCACCCCAAATACCTCTATGCTGCCTTGGACGAAGCGGAGTTCCAGCGCTATAAGGTTAAGGTCGAGGCGAGGCAGAAGAAGGCCTACAGATACCTCCACAATGGTATGATCAATAACACTGTGTTCGTGGCCAAGACCAAGGCACCGTATCCGGACGAGATCATGCAGAAGGTCTTCCTCAATCCCGAGCAGCGCGTAGTGGCCGATAAGAAGTCCGGAGAGCTCATCTACCACCCTACCCAGCCCAAGAAGACACCAAGCCCTAATGCCCTGGAGACAAAGGCTATGCTTGAGTCGCTGACGCAAGCTAATGCCACGGAAGGATCAAAAATCGGCGTGGATGTCGAGGACATTCGAGCCATCAACATTGAGAATGAGACTTTTGTGAAGAGAAACTTCACCGAACAGGAGCGAGCTTACTGCAACAAGGCACCGTCTCCTCAAGCTTCGTATGCGGGACGATGGAGCGCAAAGGAAGCAGTATTCAAGTCGCTGGGCGTGCCGAGCAAGGGTGCCGGAGCCCCTTTGTCGGACATTGAGATCCTGGTCGATGAGAAGGGAGCACCCAAAGTCGCCCTCCACGGCGCGGCGCTCGAGGCAGCGAAGCAAGTGGGTGTCAAAACGGTGAATGTCAGTATTAGCCACAGTGATAGCCAGGCGATTGCCGTCGCTGTGTCGGCGTTTTGAGGGACCAGAATATATTCAGCTTTCTGATTGTACGCATTTGGCGGGTGATTGAAAATGGCGCAAGCGTGGGACTGTGGGGCTGGAGTTCCCATTTCCTTGGGTTTTGGTTCATTCTGGCGCTGGAAGTTGATGGAATAGGCGATGGCCTGTTAGTATTGAGGGAAAAGGCAGTTGTGTAACCACGAGCCTCAGGGCTGATCATCAGCATGAGACATAATAGATCTCTTGTATTGTTTTGAACACAGAATCCAATTCTAACTCGATCATTTCGTAGACTGTCTGGCAAAGTGAGGCTCTTGAGACACTGGGTGACTAGGTAGACGTGATGCTGCCGCCTATACTCGGAACCGGTATATACGAGACTATACGAGACTATAAGCAAATTAAGTGAATAGGAACAGTCGACAGGATACAAGCCCGTGTTCCCTTTTTTAATTTCTGCAAATATTTTATTGAGCTCCCAGTATCTACAAGGGCCTGATGGCTCGAGCAAATACAAAGAACAAAACTCACTCGCTCGCTCGCTCGGCGTAATTGGAACAGACACAATTTGACCGAGAGAAGAGCCGGTCCTGGGGACTGGATCATTCCAGACCTTGAAATGGATAAAGACCTACGAAAGGGATTTGGCACGTCGCTTCTCTCGGCTGTCTCCTCTTCAGATCATCTCGGACCATGAATAGTCTATCTGTTGAGCAACAGGCTCGCGCCGCCAAAGCCTACATACTCCAGGAACTAAAGAAGACCGCCGATGGTAATTCGATACTCGAGGACCAAGATTTTGGTGCCAGGCTCGACACGAACTTCATTACCATCTTTGCCATCTTTGCAGAGCTATACGGCTACCGACATGATTGCCTTGACCAACTTGTCGATTTGATAAGAACGTGTGGGAAAAGCTGGCAAGAAAGATCTCCCGACCTACAAAAGGTTGACAGGCAACGGGAAGTCGATCCCGAGTGGTATCTCTCGAACCAGATGGTGGGAGGGGTCTGCTATGTCGACCGCTACGCTGGCAATCTGGCCGGTATCAAGAAGCGCATCCCCTACTTCAAAGAGCTGGGGTTGACTTATCTCCATTTGATGCCTTTGTTCCTGGCACCTCAACCACTCAATGATGGAGGTTATGCTGTGTCAAGCTATCGAGACGTACAGCCCCAACTGGGGACCATCGAGGAGCTTAGAGATCTGGCGACGGAGCTGAGAAAGGCTGGCATCAGCTTGGTGCTTGATCTGGTGTTCAATCATACCTCCAATGAGCATCGATGGGCAAAGAAAGCAGCCGAGGGCGATCCTGAGCATTCCGCCATGTATTGGATCTTCCCAGACCGAAACGTTCCCTCATCGTTTGAACGGTCGACGCGGGAAATCTTTCCCGATGATCACCCTGGTTCTTTTATCCAACTGCCAGATGGTCGGTTCGTATGGTCGACCTTTTATCACTTCCAGTGGGATCTCAACTACTCGAATCCGGCCGTGTTCAGAGCCATGGCTGGCGAGATGCTGTACCTGGCCAACGTGGGTGTCGACTTCTTCCGGATGGATGCCGTCGCCTTTATGTGGAAACAAATGAACACCGACTGTGAGAATCTTCCAGAGGTCCACAAACTGCTCCGAGCGTTCAATGCTCTCTGTCGAATTGCGGCACCATCGGTCCTGTTCAAATCCGAGGCAATTGTCCATCCGGACTTTGTGGTGCAATACATTGACCGGTACGAGTGCCAACTGTCTTATAACCCCCTTCAGATGGCCCTGACGTGGGAGGCATTGGCCACTCGAGATGCATCAATGCTGTCCCAGGCGATAGAGCGCAGACACAATATAGCGCGAGGCTGTGCTTGGGTCAATTACGTCCGATCCCATGATGACATCGGCTGGACCTTTTCTGACGAGGATGCGACTGAACTTGGTAAGGAGGGTCGAAACCATCGGAAGTTCCTCAACGCGTTCTTCGTCAACCGCCATCCGGGAAGCTTTGCTCGAGGCGTCCCGTTTCAGGATAATCCCAAAACAGGGGACTGTAGAATATCTGGCACCACGGCTTCATTGGCAGGGTTAGAGTCGATGCAGGATCATGCCATTGAGCGAATATTACTCGCATATTCCATCGCCATGAGCACGGGTGGAATCCCACTCATCTACCTGGGGGATGAAGTCGGCCAACTCAACGATTATAGCTACCTCAACGATCCCGCGAAAATAGACGACAGCAGATGGGTGAATCGGCCCTGGTATCCAGAATCGCGGTACGCCGACCGACACGACAGCAGCACCATCTCAGGGGCGATATATGCGGGCATGAAACATCTCATCCATTTGCGCAAAACCACAGACGAACTCGCAGGAGGGAGGGCGATTGGGTTCTACACGGGCAATCCTGCCATCCTTGGCTATCAGCGTCTAGGGGTCAACTCGAGCGTTTTGTGTCTCTGCAACTTCTCGGATGAAGCCCAGTGGATCGGCCGGGACAGGTTCTTGGGGATGCCTGCAGAGACGACGGATCTGGTGAGTGGCTATGTGATCAACTTACGGGATGCGGGAATCCATATGAAGCCGCATCAGTTCATGTGGTTGAGGTTCTGATTTTGTGGGCAGCTGAACTCTCAATGGGTGGATTTCGCCGTCGCCGCGTCTTGCCACTTCCCGCCTGCCGCGGGTACCAAAGGATCCTTGTACATAATAATGGTCAGTGATAGGGCCAAACCATGTTCATCCTAAGCGCGTGCCGTGTGGAGTGCCGCACATTTCTTTCCTGCAGACAAGATCCCTCGTCACAATTCTCCAGCATCCCGCAAGTATCGACATCTATCGGAATGCCCACCACTGTATCAAATGCTGCATGATTCAATCGCATAGCCGGGGTCGATCAAAGCTGACATCGGTGGATCCATGGTACGCGCATGCAGGAACCAGTCTAACGAGCAGCGGGAATAATTGTTGTGGTGTCCTCGGCACACCCCTTCGGCCTTGATCGATTTTTGTGAGTTGGCGTGCCGCATATCAAACCCAGGCCGTGGAGCAGGAATACGGCCATGGATGAGCTGGATGCCCTCCTCGACTCGCTCATTGAACAACGCAAGGCTCCAGAGGCGTCGTATATTGACAGTAACCATGAAAAGACCCTCAAGATCGAACAGGTACCGGGACAGGGCCAAGGGGTATTTGCAAAGCAGTTCTTGTCTGTAAAGGACCCGATCTGTTCATTACCTTGTCCAACCATGATGGCGATCGACTCGGATTTTTTACACACGACGTGCTACCACTGCCTCGTCGTCAGCGAGAGTCCACTGCCCATTCCCGGGTACGGACACGCCTCTGTCCAGCTCAAGATCTGCAACGGCTGTCACGCCGCGCGCTTCTGCAGCAGGAGCTGTCAGGTCGACGCCTGGCACGCATACCACAAGTACGAATGCAAGATCTTCAAGAAGGTGCAGAACAACCTGCCACCTGCCATCCTCCGGGCCGTGCTGCGGGCGGTGCTCCTCAAAGACCGCGACAAGCTGCCGAGCGACGAATGGGGCCGCATCACACAGCTGACTTCGCATGAGCAGATCCTCGCTGCGCGCGGCCGGTCGAACCTGACCGACATGGCCGAGGGGATCAAACACCTGGCCGCGTCCAGCATGGCGACTGAGATGATCCAGCGGCTGATCTTCATCATGAAATCCAACGCGACCGAGCTGCCGACCCCAATCCAGGGCGGGATCGGCGTCATGCTGGAGCCTCTGGTGGCGAAATTCAACCACAGCTGCGAACCGAACCTGGCGGTCCATAGACCCCAACACACCATGACGGGTGGCTGGATGACCTCCTCGCAGCTCTCGGACGACCAGCGGCGAGCATTCATCCACGTCATTCCGCTCCGAGACATCCAACCAGACGAGGAGCTGTTCAATTGCTACATCGTGCCCACGGCATCGGTGAGCGCCAGGAGAGCAAAGCTAATGGAAGACTACTTCTTCACATGCAAGTGCCCCAAGTGCCTCGCGGACATCAAGGCCGCCGCCGACCTGGCCGCAGAGCAGCCGCGTCTCCCAGAGCAGTTTGACAAGTGGACCGAGTCGGTCGCGCGCCATCTGTCGCCCGAGAAGCGCAGCCTCGAAGCCTTCCGCCGGGCCGCCACCGCCATGGACAAATCCGACCGCTTCCTCGACCAACCCTCATTGTACACCACGGGCAAATTCCCCGAAATGGCCATGCGACTCATCCTCGAAGCGCTCAAGTACCGAGCCCTCGATGAAGCGCTGATGAACGTGCTCCGCGTGTTTTTCCTCGTCAACCCGTCGCGCTTCGTCGGTCGACACAACCCCACCCACATATACACCGTCTTCCTCATGCTGGACATCTTCGATGTATTGCTGGGATTCTCGACTTCGGCGGCAATCGCCGGCGACAAGGTCGACAAGGCGCTGCAGAACCTGTCGAGTCGGGGTTTGGGAAAGGGCGAGGTCATGTACTGGCGTCGGAGGATCTGCGCGGACTTGCGAACGAGGGTGGAAGCGAGCGCGTTGACGGATCTGCTGGGTCTGGTTCAGCAGAGGGAAGAGCAGGCGGAGCAGAAGACCGCGGACCAAGAGTCCCTCGCTGGAGGGGAGGGACTAAAAGAACGTGCGGAAGAGGGAATGAGAGCTGTCTTGAAGTTGAATGATCAGACATGGCAAAGTGTCCTAAAGGAGACGGGGTGCTGAAGTCAAGTTCGCTCTCTTGCTCGCTCATCAGATGCACAAGTCCACCCTGATCTTGGGATACCTGATCCTACGACGAACGATGAGTATTAAAAGTCTCCATCTTAGAGTTCTTTATATCGGCTATAGTGAGAGAAAATATACAAGTACAGCCGATATCAGAGACTTGTTCAATTGGAAAGGCGAACAACGACCCAAACCGAAGCGTGTATAGCGCGTCCCGACGACGGTGCTTCAAACTTTGAACGTGCATGCATCCCGGGTTTCTCGTTTAGGCGGGCCTCTGAAGCCTCACCATGATCAGTTTACACGAGTCCTGCGAACCGCCAAAGCATCGATCCTCTTGGATAAAGTTAGCTTCAGTAACTGGCAAGATGGGCCTCCATCATTCCTTCTTTTTTGACTCTGGGGGCCAGGAGCAGGGATGCCGAGGTGATGGACCATGGAGGGCCGTAGGAGATAAGGACCAGACTTGACCCTAAGAACGCCTGAATGGTGTCAATGGAGAAAAATGACCGCAATATGTGAGATAGGTCTAAGATTAGACGACAGAGCGGGACACTATTCGAGCACAGAAGAAAGCGTGACGGGGGGCATTGCGGGGTGGGGAGCGGGTTACTTGAGGTTCATTCTGCCCTGCGCGAGAGAGTGCCACCCAAGCAGGCCAGACCGTTGGACTAGATTGTGCTGGTAGGGACGTTACATCTTACAGACAGGCATGACAGCTAAAATACCCGTATTTCTGGCCACGGCCCTGATAGGGAGGAGGGGGGGGGCCGCCAAGAGCGAGGCGAGAAACGAAAAGCTTAAGGCCAACAAGAAAGCCCGAATCTCTTGGAATTAAAATCCCATGTAAGTCAGAATCAGCGTGGAGAAAAAACCACACCAGGTAACACGAGTAATACAAAGACGATATGGGGCTGTCAAAGCAAATACGAGAATAATTCAATTCTCGTACTCGCGTACGGAGAAAGGATTCTTGGGATGGGGCGGGGGGCGCCGAGTCAGCAAAGCACAGGCCTGGCCCTGTGCGTCCTCGGCCGCGATCGCCGCATGGAAATAAATGTTGGTTTTTCGATAATTGGTCCGGGGTCGAGTATGCGATGCCAAGACAATACTTGCAGTGACATTCTTTGACTACGGCCATCAACGTAGGGGATATAATTAATTACCTACGAGGTGCACCACCGAGTATAGATACCTACTTCGGTTAGCTTGAACGCTTTGGGTCCACATTGAGTTGGAGGCCAGAAGACATATATATACTCGAAATATATACATAATCCCCAGAATTGTCGTCACCTCTACTTGGTTGATTCGCTCCCTCGGCGGCTCTCTTCCGCTCCCTACCTCTCTCCCGTCATCCCCTTCAACTCGCTTCTGCTCTCTCACGGCTTTGGCCCGCTCCTGTGGTGTTCGTTCACCTGCCAGTAGGCTCTCGTTCAGGCTCCAGTCTCCAACATGGCGCATGTCCAGCCTCGTGGTAACTTCACCTGATCAGATTTATGGCGGCCTGTTTCGGCCCTGATGCAAGGTAGGATCCCTGAGAAGCTTCCCTGCTCCTTCGTTGGACGGGGTCAACTGAATCCCCCAGTTCTGTAGGACAATCCTTCTCTCCCTCGACCGCTGTTGTTCTCAACTACCACAGTGAGACCATAAGACTCGAGAGTCTTTGAGCCATGTGTATGATGCCTGTCCCCTGATTGACTTGGGGTCTTGGCCTGTAGTCACAGACTGCAAGGCATGTCCCCAGTCATCACTCAGACAGGAGGCAAAAATGAGCTCCCACGTTGGGCTTCAGGACACTTGGTGAGCTTTTTGTTGCCAACAATGCTTCCCGATATCGGAACCTTGGAAGCTATTCAGACGCCTCACATGCTGATGGGCACTCTACTTATAAGATGTAATACAGGGCAGGGTATCAGATGATCTGATTAGATGACGGCTCAAGTCGTGGAGATTGGCTTGCACTAAGCTGATTTCGAGGTAGCGTTATTGTGTGGGGCGGCGATCTACCAACGGTCAGCCAGTGTCCCTGGGTGAGTACCCCATGATGTGCTTGGGACACTTCCCGAGGAGTTTTCATAGGCACTGAACTGCCAACGACCTACTTGGCCTTCGACGTGTGCTAACCAAACTGTTGAGGGATGGGCACAACTTTCCCCCTTGGCTTGTTATTGCAGAAAGCTGTACAATTTGGACTAGCATACCCATCTATGGAGCGGCCTATCACTTTTCCCTGACACTTGAGTACTATAATTTACTGTCATAATGACAGGAGCTACCAGTTCAAAAGGTCAAGCCATCACCTGTTAATGGGGCTCAGGAGAAAGAGCCCAGACTTGGTATTCTTGGCCTTTACTTCTTTATGACGCGTACACATTTGATTTTCATTGGCAAATAGTCAATGTTTCCAAGTCTGAATATCTAGGCGCGCTATAGGTGCGCGGGGGCCCGCGACGCTACCACCGTCACCCACGGATGTACTCGCCCACCAGTTCGCTGTCGACTGGGATGGCAATTGAATTGCTTCCTCTGTGGTCGGGATGAAGCCACAATGCCTCGATCGAAGCCCATGGTAGCATCAGGTCCTGCTACCCTCCATTGGCGCGGTGCTCCCGGGTCAATCAGGGCCCGAGCCATGGCACCAAGACCTCACATTCTCCCATGATGTCTTGGTATTCTCCACGACAATGTTGGATCATTGCCCTTTTGGAGAAAGATCTGATAAGACAACCCTGACTAGCTGATGTCGACATGTACTCCCAGCAGAATTTTCCATCTGCTCCATACCTGTGTGATGAATTGGAAGCTGCTCTTCGTTCTCGCCTTCTCAGCATCCCTGCTTCATCTTCACACATCTATTCATTTTGTGTGCACGTGCCCGACATCGGAGCTATTGCCCAAGACACTACCCGACATGCGACAACGAGCGTGGAAAAGTGGAGGAGAAGCCTATGTTCCAATGAGCCTCTCTCTGTCCGGTTTGACTGGAATACAATGCAACGGTCTGTTCTCATTAGCTGGTACCAAGACGAGGCTAAGGACCCTTTGTTTGTCACGCTGCTGCGACCAGGGTCCATCTTGATGGTCACAGGAGCTATATTCTATCAGACCAAATTTTACAGCAACGAGCAGGTCAGTTTAAAGCCAAGTCCTCTGCCAGCATTTCTCCCTTTCGCTTTCAGCCTCATCTTTCCTGGTAAACACATTTTGGAGCCGTCCTCCCACAGCCAGCAGCATGTCAAAGCCAAATGGAACTTCAGACTTGCATCCCGTCGGAACTGACGACAAAGACCTGGAACCATCTTTATCACCATCAGCTCAAGAAAGCGTTGATGCGCGTGGAAAATCTCATGGTCCATCCAAGTCCACCGCCCCTCCCAAAGACACAGGCATCTACGCCTCCGACTTGGAAGCGCCAACTGGTGAACCTGTAATCGGAGTGAGTAAGGTCGAGGCTTTCAACAAGGTCCTGTATGAGTCGGGCAGGTCGGGGAAGATACTGCTCTGGCTGCTGGGCATCTCCATTGGCCTGACCATGTTTGCCTACGCCCTCGACCAGGGCATCACCTCGAGCATCTTTACGACCATGGCCAGTTCGACATTCGGAGTGCACGCCTCGATCGCGGCCGTCAGTACCGCCAGCCAGATCATCCGCGCCATTAGCAAGCCTTTTATCGGTAAACTAGCAGACATTACCTCTCGTCCCACCACCTACGTCGTTATCCTCTTCTTCTACGTGATCGGCTTTATCGTCGCGGCTAGCTCGAGCACTTTTGCGGCCTATACGATTGGGATTTCCTTTACCGCCGTTGGGAAATCGGGCCTCGATTTATTGAGCGATATTATTGTTGGAGACTTGACACCGCTCCAGTGGCGAGGTTTCTTCGGTGCGGTTATATCATTACCCTTTGTTGTCACTGTACCTATCAACGGCTTTATAGCTGAGGCCTTTGTTGATGACTGGCGATGGGGTCTCGGTATGTTTACAATCGTTGTACCTGTTCTACTTCTCCCCGCCATCTTTACGCTATACTCGATGCAACGACGCGGAGAAAAACTGGGTATGGTGACAATGGCTGCTTCAAGGCGCGAGAGGATCGGGAACTCGAAGGAGTCGATAACCTCGACGAGCCCAACCTACTGGATGAAGCTTATGCTCGAAGGACTCAACGAAATCGATATGATCGGACTCATTATCCTCGGGTTTGCGTTTGCGCTCATCCTGCTGCCCTTTACCCTAGCAGAGGACGCCGATGGTGGCTGGGGTAACGCCAGCATGATCGCCATGCTGGTAATCGGGTTCGTCCTCCTTATTACCTTTATACTCTTCGAAATATACCTGGCCCCAAAGCCGCTCATGACGAAGCGCATTCTAAAGAACCGGACGTTTGGAGCCGCGGTCGCCATCTACACCTTCAACCAGATGGCCTCGTCGGTTCGAAATACCTACTTTTCGTCGTATATATACGTTATCAAGGAATGGACGACGTACCAGTGGACTATATTCTTGGGCATCACTACGATGGGACTCAGTCTGCTGGGCCCTGTTGTGGGTCTCATCCAACGAAGGACACATCGGTACAAGACCATGATGTTGTTCGGGGCTGGGGCGAGACTCATCGCGTATGGCCTGCTGGTTCGGGCTGATGGTCTGATGATACAAGGCACGGCCCGATTGGTCGCCGCCCAGTTGATATTCTGCTTGGGATCGTTCAACGTCGTCGGCGTCCGTGTGGGCAGTCAGGCTTCGGTACCACATGAGGACATGGCCACGATGATCTCTGTTCTGACGCTATGGTCAACCTTGGGGTCATCCATTGGCAGTGCCATCTCGTCGGCCATCTGGACGAATGAGATGCTCGACCGCATGCGCCGAGACATGCCTGGGGTCGACGAGGCAACGCTTCGGAAGCTCTACGGTAGCATCAGAAGCCTACGCACCGGCTACGAGTTTGAAGATCCCATCAGGCAGGGCGCCATCCGCGCTTATGCCTACGTCAATGGCCACATCGCCATCACGGCCCTTGTCCTGGCTGCCGTGCCTTTGGTCGCGACGCTCTTCATGCCCGATTACTACCTCGGGAAGCAACAAAACGCCGTCACGAACACGGGTCTCGATGGCGAGCCCGTGGAACCTCCCCCACGAGCGTCTGGCAGACGAGAACAGCGTATCACTGGCCGGGAGCCGAGCTCGTTCTATCGCAGGTGGATTGCCGCCTATTATAAGGCGTAACTGGGTGATCGGACAGAAGAGCCGGCGTTGCATCGGATGGGATGTATCATGCATCAACGAGGAATGCGCAAAAGCTTTCACTCGTATGATGCAGCATTTGCAAAGGCTATCCACGCTCACAAATCCAGAGATGAAAAGTCTTCGTATAGTCCTCGACTGGGACGGGACATGGGACAGTCTTCACGTCGTCGTCGCGGCACTTGGCCACGAACGCAATCGACAGCAGTGGTATCTCGTCCAGGCGGTACATGGCAGACCACAAGAGACACCGGGACGCCTGTCGCCCAGCAAGGCTAGGTCGCAGGACTACTGCCCCAGGAGAGCGCATGGCTGGCCCGATTGAAGGGCGTCGAGCGAAGGCGTGTCCACAGGGTATAAGGCGCTGGTATCTTCGCGGACGTCACCAAGCAAGATAGATGCGGTCCGACACAGCGAGGTCCAGCTCCGGGATGGATTGAAGGACATGCTGTCACTCGGGAGACACTCTCGAGACGACGGTGCCGCCCCTTCTCACGTCCGGGAAGATATAATGTGTGTGTAAATGTATAGTTATATGTACTCTTCTCTTAGTTTTGCCTAAAAAGGAGAAGAAGAAAGAAAAGCCCATTCGTTCGACCACCACTTTGTCAACTCCGTCGCTCCTTTCCCTTTCATTTTCAATTTCAAGGTGCAAGAAATAGCAGAGAGCTTGTTGTTGTTGTTGTTGTTGTTGTTGTTGTTGTTGTTGTTGTTGTTGTTGTTGTTGTTGTAATAGTCATCGCATTGTTCTCGAGCAAAAAAGCGCCGCGGTCGCACACCCCGTCCTGTTCCACTGAATCACACTTGTTGTTCTGTTCACCAGTGACCACCTCCGTGACCTCCGTGGTGCTCGTGACCCTGGTCGTCATCGTCTTCATGTTGCATTCCATCGTCGTCGTCGTAGTTCTCGCCATCGTCATAGTCGTCCCCGTCTCCGTCTCCATAGCTCTCATCCTGGCCTTGTTGATGATCATGGCCGTAATCGTCGTGTTGTCCGCTGTAGTCTTGATGACCGTGGTGGTTGTGGTGGTGGTGATTGTGGTGGTCGTACTGTCCATAATCATCCTCATCGTACTGGTCATCGCCACCAGGCTGGTCGTCGTCACCACAGCAGCCCTGATCTTCATCGGCACTTGGGTCGTGATGGTTGTTCGAGTGGTGATGGCTGCTCGGGTCATCGTGGTTGGGCATATCATGGTGGCTGCTCGGGTCCATATCGTGGCTGCTCGGGTCCATATCCTCATGACTGCTCGGGTCCATATCCTCATGGCTGCTCGGATCCATATCGTGGCTGCTCGGGTCCATATCATGGCTGCTCGGATCGTCCATGGCCGGATCTTCGTCGTCGGAATCCGGCTCATCATCTTCTCTCGGGTGCTTGACTTTGTGACTGTCAGGAGGTAATTCAGGGTGGCCCCGAAATTTCCCCTTTGCACATTGCGAGAACCAGCTGTGAAGGTCACAGACATCTGGGTCATTGGGCTCATACACGAGAATTTGCTCGGTGATGGACACGATGACATGTGCGTGCTGATGGAGCTTCTCCTGTTGATCGTCCTCATCCATGCCTAAACAAAGAGTATCAGCTTTTGGTCGAGAGCACCAACGACGGCGTCAAACAGGCTCCAACTTACTGGGGTCGTCATGGTCCTGTGAGTATTGTTGCACGGCATCGTGGAGATGTTGTTTCAACTGTGAGACGGGGTCTCCGAGTCCGCCGGGAAGCCCGTGCCCGAGCTGGCTCATAGGGTCGTGCATATCCAGTCCTCCAAGGGGATCATGTCCAGACGAGCCAAGTCCAAGTGAATCGTGCCCGGGCAAACCAGGCATTCCGTGTTGTCCAAGTCCACTCGCTCCCATACCCCCAAGACTGTGGTCTTGTAAGGAGTGAGTGAGATCCGAGATGTCTCCCATTTCGACAAGGTTATGTGAAAGTTGTGTGATGTGAAAACAAAGACTGGTTCGGTGTGTCTGATGATGATGGTTCTGTCTGGTTCCAAGCTAGATACCAGACACCGGTCTTCTTATACGGCCGCTTGTGTTAATTTGGGTTCAGACCTAGTTGATCCTACTCGATTGATCATGATCGAACCGCTGAGTCACGTTGAATATGTAGCCACTGGTAATCGGCTGACCATAAGCACCGTGCAACCCCAGTTCCTTCAATCGAGGCTTAGATGGATCTAAAGCACCCGCATAGAGTTTTTTTATTTATATATTCATCGCGCGCAATATAGGGCGACTAATATTCAAAAGATACAAAAAGGGAAAGCATCGTCTGGTTAACCGTAAGCTTACAGTAGTGGCACTGCTCTGTAGGAATCCACCACGGGGCATTTTGTTTAACTTGGCATTTTCGTCTATCTTTACGTATAGAAAGAAAAAAAAAGGCGGGGCCTTGAAGAGGAATAGCCTAGATAAATACTACCTTCTAATACATTAGATCCTGTGCCTATTTTGGAGTCTCTACCGGCACTACTAGGTATATATTGTCCACTGCGGGACTGTCAGGAGGACTTGATCATTACGAACATCAACCACAGCCCCTTACACCTGCATATCGAGATCTTGCTTTTCAAGTTTTGTCTGTTCAAGTTTGTGATCTGAAAAGTCCGTGGGAACAGAATGTCGTCCAAAAGACCCTCCGTCTTCCCCAGCCCTTCCGCCGCGTTGAACGCGTTGAACAAGTCGAAATCTCCCCCAGTAGGTTGTCTGTCTGGATGAACATCAAATCCCGCTTTGCTAATATGCAATTTTAGAAGGCGATGAGCAAAGCTGAGGCGATCAGATGGGCCGAAGGGCAGCCAGCCCCCAATAATGTTCCAACCAGCAATAACAATCCATTCGGCAGTAACCTTCCACCCAGCATGCAAACTCCCCCTCAACCTCCAACACTCTCATCACTCCCAACACTCCAAGAGACGCCAGAGCCTGGACAAGCATCGACGAACCGTCCAGCACCGGTCCCGGCGCACCAACCCCCTAAGGTTTTTGGCCGTCCAGGCGGAGAGGGCTTCGCGGAATCTCTGCCACCGCAAATGAACACTGGGACAGGCGGGGCGGAGACACCTGCATATGTCCAAGCATTCCTCGATGCTGGAAAGCCACCGCCGCCGCCGAGAGTCTTCCCAGAAGAAGGTGTTGCGGAAGCCTTGCCACGGCAAATGGAATCTTTCCCGCGGCCGCCGCCCGCAGCGTCGAGTGGTGGAAGACTGAACCCAAAACTACGGGAACCGGGTCCTAGGCCACTGCCAACGCCGCCCGATGGAACTCCCGGTACTCACCCGCCGGACACTAAAGCTCGCGGCCAGATCGCGCCGCCCAGGCCACTGCCGACGCCGCCCGCGGGAACTCCCGGCCAGAGCGCGCCGACCAGGCCACTGCCAACGCCGCCGCAACCGCAAGCGGGACCTTCCCAGTAGCCCCGGATCAGGAGACCGAAAAGCTGGAGTGGAAGGGGAAAGGGAATATTGGGCGTGGCATACGGTGCTTTCCCTCACAGGCCAAACTCCAGTTTCTTGGTCAATAGGGGATGGGGATGGGGGTATGGGGAATGGAAGTCTAAGTTTTACTCTTTATATGTAGGTACCTCATCGATCAGTTCCTTTCTTTTACGAACACTCTTTCATAATTTTAGGTGCATGCATTGCAACTGGGTAATCACTGCTTTTCAGATTACATATGCTACTCCACTCTTTCTATCTTTAGTCAACTCGTTCTCTTATGCCATTTACTACTTGCTGATATTCCTCGTTTAGAGGTGCACGCGCCTCTCTCTTCTCTGCGTAACCAAAAACCACGTGGCTGACTCCTACTGTTGGTCTGCGCTAAGAATAAGTTGACAGTAACACAAGTTCCTTTGTGATCGAGGAATGGACGGGCTGCGCGCAATATAGTGCCGTAACCGACATCAAAAGATGCAAAAGGGAAAATCCCCCCCGGTTACTAATGGTAAGCTTACAGCGGTAACATGGCTGCATGGATCTTCCTCTTCTATCTTTACGTATGGGGAGGAGATATATATTGTCCGTCTGCAGGACCATCAGAGGGAACCAAACCATCGAGAGCAGCAACCGCCGTCCCCTCACGAGTCACGACCTTGAATATCGACATTTTATTTGCAAAAAGGCTGTGATCCGAGATATCGCTCGAGGAAGAATCATGACGACCGCACCGTCGAAGCTATCCGTGTTTCCCGATCCTGCAATGGCATTGTCCAAGATCCCGATCCCCGTAGGTGGTTCCGCATGGGGATGAACCATCAGAACACTCTGCTGAACTTGTGATTCTAGAGCCAGAGCATAGGAGGACCACCGGTAACCGATGGGCAGTCAGGGAATGCAGCAATGAGCAAAGGGGGGTTTGTGTCGATGGTGCAACAACCCACCGGCCCTTCAACGGGTCACCCGATCGCCCCCCAGAGTACAATGAGAGGGAATATCCAGGACAACGCATCGTCAACGCCTACGCCGCCGCCAAGGCCAATGGGGGAAACCGTCCTCGGTGGACCCGGGGCTTCTAATTACGATCCCAACCTTGCTGGGGGTGCCACCGTTCATCCAGGTGTCCCTGTTGCTGGAAATCACTATCCCACTTCTGTTCTAAATCCCACTCCTGGTGGAGGTGCCGCCCCTGGTGGAAGTGCTGGTCCTCCTGGCAGTGCTGGTCCTCCTGGCAGTGCTGGTCCTCCTGGCAGTGCTGGTCCTCCTGGCAGTGCTGGTCCTCCTGGCAGTGCTGGTCCTCCTGGCAGTGCTGGTCCTCCTGGCAGTGCTGGCCCTCATGGAAATACTCCTCGTTATGGAAGCGCAGCGCCTGATGGAACTGGCCCCCTTCTAGATCCCGCCATTGGTGGAACTGCCGCCCTTGGTGGAAATACTCCTCCTTATGGAAGCGCACCCCCTAGCGGAAGTGCTGGCGCTGCTGGCAGTGCTGGCCCTGATGGAACTACTCCTCCTTATGGAAGCGCACCCCCTGATGGAACTGACGGCCTTGGTGCAGATCCCGCCATTGGTGGAACTGGCGCTATTGGTGGAACTACTCCTCCCGATGGCAATGCACCCCCCGATGGATATGTTACTCTACCTGACGGAACTACAGCACCTGGTGACGCTCCCGCACCTGTGGGAACTATCGCACCTGATACGTATACGCAGGGACCGCAGCTTGGAACTCTTTCCTAGCACGGATGAGGAGGTCAGCAAGGCGGGGGTGGGACGGATTGGAGGGAGATACTTAGCTCAACGGTGGGGGCGGACAATTGGGGTTTACCAGGTGGCGGGCGGATACGAGGGAGGATGCAGACGAATGTTTCTGTTCGACAAGTATTTTGATCGATTACTCATATACGCATCGCATGTGTCTGCCTTGCCCGTCTTGGACCCTTGTCGAGCCTCGCACTTGCTCGTAGCACTTGGGGCTTTTGCAATTACATACTCCTCCATACATAGCTAGCTTTTGCGTGTTGCCCTAACCCTATTGGGAATATTACCCGATGGGGCACACAATAACCGGGTATTTCGTAGATTTCAAACTTATCACACTTTACATGGCTCAACACTCGTTCATAGTTTCAGGTACACATGCAAGCCACGGTGTTTACTGCTTTTCAGATTACACACGGGAACTGACTGCACTGATCTATCTTTGGTTTGCTCGTCTTCTTCAGTTGTGCACTAATGCTGATATTTCACCTTCAGAAGCGGATAACGACGTGGTTAACTAAACTCCCCACACCTACACTGGGCAGTGGGACTCTGCAGGGGCGTTCACGTTTGGGGTGTGGGTGTTTTCGATGGCCGTGAGATTAAGCTCTTTTTGTTCGTTTGATGGGGGGCCAAAACGATGTTCCAGACAGAGGGCAGATCAGATCCACCGATCTGTGGATGAGCTCGCTAGACTCGAATCGCTCAATTAGGTATTGCCCCCAACCGGCTAAGCAACGCTACATACAGTCATGCTTGAAATATACACCCGTTGACGGAGTACTCGTAACCAGAATCTGAAAAAAAAAGAAATCCTCCAAACTAAAGTTAGGCTCAAGTCGAAGGGACCTAAGCAGAAAGAGGAGCCCCGAGGGGATGGGGCGGGTTTGCTACGCATCCATGCTTCGCCTCTGAGGATCCCAACGCCTTATCTAGACAACACTTGAATCCCGTCCCACTGATCTAGAGTACCGACGCTATCTGGATTCTGGATCCCCGCGCGCGAGCATCTTTCAGCTGTACAGGTACCATAAATAGACAGACAGACACTCACAACCAACAACTTCGACGATTCCGCAGCTTTAGTCACGACCCGACGGTGCATTTCAACCCCTTGGAGGATCAGCCACACCCGAAATCTCTCTCCGGAGGAGTTGATTACTGCATACCATATGTGTATATCTACCTTTGACTAAGAATATACAACGAGACGCTGACATGGGCCCCCGAGAACAAGCTACTGTAGTGACTATGTATGTACTGTAGATTACGGAGGTTCAGTCACCCGTCGTGGATTCTCCATTATTATTATTATTTCTTCGCTCCGCCCGGTCGACCCCGTCCGTTATTTGACTCCACCGTGTCTCGACGGAGCCCCGGATTTCCGTTACAGGATACCGCTCCAGAGAATTCTCAAGTGATACCTAGTATATGGAGCATATACATGCTTGTGACGTATGTATTGGGCTTGAATTTGATCTAGACCGCAGGAATCTGAATCCAAGCCGGACGGGACGGATGGAACGAACGTCTTTTGTGTGCCGGGGCCGAATCTGATCCTGCTCAACGGTGCGGCCTTTCACGAACCAAGACAAGATCTCTGTCTATTTCCGCAACAGGGTCGCAATCATTAGCTAGTTAATCCTTATCAATTACGTGCTCTACCCGGTAATTCGTACGAATTTCTCTCCCCCTGCTCGAGCGAGAGCCCAGGGCTGCATTTGCTTGATTCAGAAACACGAGGTACACAGGTAGTGTTTATGAGTTGGTTCGTATTTCTTCCAGTAGCTACGTACCTAGATATGGATCCTCTCGATAACGTCTTGTAACTCGACACAGTGCGGCGGCGATCTAGGCTACTCGACCAGAAACCGAGCATTCTCTGTCTAATCAAGCACATGGATTCTTTCACCGTCAAGTCGATCCAGATACACGCTCAGACGCGAATGTCAAACCCACAAGCGCGTTGGCAAAGTCCTATGCACCCAAGAACTTTGCAGCATTCTGACCCGCGATGCGTCCAAACACCACACACTCGAGCAGACTGCTTCCACCCAGCCGGTTGTCGCCATGGATGCCACCCGTGGACTCCCCAGCCGCCCAGAGGCCCTTGATCGGCTGTCCGGCGCTGTCAAGAACTTCTGCCTCGGGCGAGAAGATAGCTCCGCCCATGGTATAGTGCACGACGGGAGTGACGGAGCCGACATAGACGGTCGAGTCGGGCTTTGGATCTTGTAATGCCCACTGTCCAAATGACGAGCGACCCAGAGAATCGGCACTCGTACCTTGAACGGTGGCACCATATTCTTTCATCGTCTCGAGAGCCTCGTCGGCATGGTCGAGCTCGGATATTGTCGTCTTCCGCATCAGCCCTTTCCACATGTAAAAGTCGACGTGTGATTTTGCGGCCTGATATGCGCCCTCGTCCATCAAGATCTGGATATCCCACTGCTTGGTCGGTTGTGAGTCTTTCGGGGCCTGTGCCAGGATGGCCTCTGTTACTTGCTTTCTCGTTCTCAGTTCATTGATGAACCTCTTGCCCTGTCTGACGAGGATTCCGCCTTCGCCCCTGAGGGCTTCGGCTGCGAGGAACTTTGTCTGCTTGAAAGGGTCCTTTGGATCCACGAACCCCGTCGGGTGGATTTGGACTTGTTCCATATCGACCAGATGCGCACCAACGTCAGTTAGCAAAGTCTGCGACCCGGGGAGCGCTTCGTTGGTGGACGGGAACCCCTCAAGGTCTGGTCGGTATTGCGCGAGGAGACCTGTCGAGTCGCCAGCGAATCCACCAGCGGTGAAAACCACAGGGCCTTCGAGGGTCTCCGGCTTGCCATCGCGAGAGACCTGCACCCCTACAACTTCCCCATCCGATTTCAGGATCTTGGTCACGGTAGTAGCTGTCTGGAGAGTCACAAGAGGACTCGCTTGGAGTTGTTTTAGCAGTGTCAAGACAATGCTGGCTCCGGGCGGAGTTGGCCCTGCTCCTCGATGCGTCCGCGCATGGCTATGGCCACCCAACAGAGCGACATGTGACAGGTCCACCCCTTTTTCTTCCACGAGCCAGTTGATCGCCGACGCGGAGGAATCGGTAAGCTCGGTGATGAGCTTCTGCCTCGCCTCTGTCCTGGCGGCTCTGAAGCTCGCACCAGCGGATCTCAGCGTGTCGTTGTAAAAGTCCGCCACAGTGTCCGAGCCAGGGACTTGAAACCGGGTCGGGACGCCATTGATGCCGCTCGACGCCTTGATCGAGTTCCCGCCAGGCTTCTGCTGGCGCTCGAGAATTTGTACCGGAACACCCCTGGCGACGAGCTCGGAAGAGGCACTGAGCCCCGCGAGACCCGAACCAACAACAATGACCTGCGAAGGCGCCGTGGCTGTGTTCCGCGTAATGGACGACGACATCCGAAGACGACCAGCGAGCATAGAGACAAGGACTGCAAGGATTGAAAATACGAGGACTAGGCCAAGTCTATTGTTCCAGTACCGGTTCATAGGAGGGTGTCAACGAACCTTATATTGCGAATTCAGGTGTCAGATTTCCTATTCAAAGAACGTTAAGCCATGATCGGGTATCAGAGAGCGTTGGCTGGGAGCGAGTTTGCCAATGTCAGGTCACGCCACAGCTCACGCGCTGCTGCTGGCCTTGTCACCCCACAAAACAGGCTTTGGGTACAATTCGATTCGGAATTGCATCTGGAACATGAACAACTCCAAGAACTCGGTACAATAAGGGCGAAGTACTCGGTGGTATCTGAATAGTCCTGCTTCAAGGTATCGCTTTGCATATACTTGTACTGATTGCATAATTTTCTGCTCGTTGGACTTGAGGCCGGCTCATCTTTGGTACAAGTATGCCTTTGGTGCCGAGGAGATGCTATCGCTAGGCCAAGAGTGTCTTATCCTGCTGTACTGGGATGCACTGGATCTCTTATCCGACACCATTCATCCAGCACCTCTCTAGTCAGATGTTCTGTGTCGCGTTCGTGTTTGAGACACTTCTGGTAGTCTACTTGATAGAATAAGGATCTTGTGCTTCACATCGAACCAGATCATCGGAGTTCAAGATTGTCCGATTCGGAGAGTTTGAACAAGTCAATGTCGGGATTTCATCTCTTTGCATATGCTCCTCCTCTATCTTGATCGGATGGGCAAGGTCAATGAGACCGCTGAGATGTTTTTCGGCGTTATATTTTATCTAAGTCCTGGATGGATAAGTCTCGAGCTGCTGGGCCTGCTTTTACTTGTAGTGCTCAGTACTTCCCTGTCTCTTTCTTCCTTGTCCGTTTGACCACGAGGTGTGTTGATCCGCGTAGGCTACTTTGCAGGTATATTTCCAGCCTGCAATTTCGTGATTTTTGGACAAGAGTTGAGAGGGATCTGTGACTGCAGGTTAGTCTGAGGGACATGGTCGATTCGCATGTTACAAGACTGGTAGCAACCATCCTTGGATAGTTGGGCGACATGAATGTGTCAGTGCTCGGCACCACTACAGGGTTGGGAGAGGGCCAGGGCGCAGGCAATAATCGCGTAACAGAGGTGGCACTGGGTAGATGGGGGGCATTTCTGTCCGTGTGACTGACTGACTGGCTGATTGCCGCGCCAACCGTGAGGCGTAAACAATGACGCTCAACCACCCCAGATCCACAATTTTCACTGGCTGCCCTCACTCCGTCGCTCTGAGTCGCTGCTGTTTTCTCGTATCGTATTCTGCCAGACAAGCTGGAGCCTGGAGGTCTGATTGCACTCGTACCACGGCAGCATCTTTGCCAGCTCATCCCGCGCAGCCTGAAAACCCTCGTCACCTGCGCTCCCCATCTTCACATCGTCCTTCGCGCTGACAATGTCATCTTCACATCTCAAGTGCTCCAGCGACGTCTAGTCAGTCCATTACCTCTGCTGAATCGATCACGCCGACGATCTCGCGCGTGTGATCAAAGACCGTTATCAAGGCCGCCCTCTATAAAACTAAAGAATGACCGCGGTCATGGACTCGTCAGGCTCAGTGCCAGGCTCATACACCCTCCACTGCGCGCGATTCAAAGCCTCTCCGTTTCTGCCTCCCTCCGACAGCAATCCTACGTCCATCTCATCGTCTGCCTGGTCACAACCACGACCTCTCAAGCCACTAGTCACAGGAGCCGCGCTTTACCCGTCAGAAGACGATCAACTGCCACACAGCCGCAAACGACCGCGCCTTGACACAAAGTCAGTCTACAATGACGATTCCACCACCACATCAGATCCGTCCTGGCGAGAAGCCCTCAGTCCTCCCCCGCTTGTCAACACAAACTACCGCATCGCGGGCGGCTTGGACACGCCCACCGCGCTAGACATGCAGAAAGAGGAAGACGCCCATGAGTTCGACTACGAGGCCGACTGCAGACCAAACAGGTATACCAATCAAAAATCACTCCACCCGGCAGAATCCTACTTCCCACAAACACCAGCCCCAGATCGGTGCAGACGAAACAAACGGAGGCTGTCACCCCCAGCGCCGCCAACGAAGACTTGGGGAAAGACAGTCTGGGCTTTGACCGGTGGCTTAGCGGGCAAGGTCTTCAATTTCTGCTGGAACACCACCTTCAAGGGCTTCTACGCTGGTGGGGGCGGTGGGTATACGTTCGACATGGGACCTGCAGATGCTGGTACCTCCGGCATGTGGACAGAGATTGATGCCAAAAATGATGTGTTTCGTAATGCCGATGCCTCTAACGACGCGATGCGACTTGTCCGAGAGCGGACTCCAGTTCCTGGGGGGTTTCCTGGGAACAGTCCTGAATTTATCGAGGACTATATGTCCAGACTGTCCGTTCAACCCAGGCAGGAGAACACTTCAACCCCAAGTGCCATCCCAGATCAAGATTCTCCATCTATCTCCCGCTACAATAGCTGGGTAGTGGTTGATGGCGCCAACCCAGGGTCACCCTTGACAGAATCTAGTCCTGTACGCAAGAAATCGAGGGCAAGCACGGCGAATCTCTATGCTTCTCGACCATCATCTGCTCTGCGCCACCCAAGCCACACTGTCTCTCGTCCTCGCTTGACACCTCGATCATCGACACACAGGTCGTCGGCGTCATATGCGTCACCACGGGTTTCTATGTGCGCAAGCACCAGCAGCGCTGGTCCAACACAACATCAATCATGGATCCCGGTCCCCACTGCATCTGCGATAGACCAACGCCAGAGCTCAGACAAACTTTCAAGGCGCCCGAGTGGTATTCCCAGTGCCCACAGGGCCTCGCTCTCCACCTCTCGTCGGCAGTCATCCGCCTCAGCTACCACATCACCAAAACAGTCGCCCGAAATCCGCAAATTCGAACAGAAACTTCGTCGGAAAGAGGCCAAGCAAGATGCGACGATGAACCGATTCAACATGCAGTTGCAGGCCATGATCAAGGAAGGGCAGGCAGCCTTGGGAAGTCGGATTGAAGTTGAAGATTACCAGAACGATCGGAATGTCGATGAAGGGTACTTCGACAACGGAATCCTGGAGAGAGACATGTCGAAAGAGTCAAGGGGTTGGGACAGTCGAGATGATAGGATGACGCCTGGTCCAGGAGCTTGGTCGTAGTGCGACTCACTTCCTGAGACTGCGAGCGAGGACGAGGGACAAGGTGGTTACGAGTCTGACGGTGAGGAGTGGTGTGAGGTGTCGGCTGTTGATGTGGCCTAACTGATGAACCTGCCGAATCGTGGAGCTGTTACATCATTGGGGTCGAAGGATGTTGCGAGCACGAATCTTGCCCAGGAATCTCGAACCCGTGCAGAGGGGACGGACTGACACGAGCACGGGCAGCTCACAACATCCGGTGCCTATGCTAGGAGGGATGGAGGCAGAGAGGTCAGTCCCTGCCCCTTCCACTTTCCTTGTTTATATTGCCTCGAGTGCCATCTCTTTTCCTTTCTTGAGAAGTGTCAGACATGATACCCCTAACGGCAAATCTCCAATTGAACGAATTTCATATTTCATAAAGTAAACCGTACCACAGAGTTTCTCTCATCTCGTGGGCATATACATCTTGGGCGGCTTTACAGATGTCATAGAAGAGTCGACGTCTGGTGGTAGACTGGCGTGGCAGATCCATGATTTGTTCAACTGGGGTAGAGTCTCGATATGTTTCTCAGAGCTGTGTTGGGTGCTCAACGGGCCAGTCTCAGCCATGGCCTAATGACAGGCCAGCAATAGCCAGGTGGAATAGTGTCGAGCCTTGCCGTCTGACGAAACCATTCATTCATCGTTGGGCACTCCCCCTCGTCTGAATGGAGCTGTTATTCGTCGACCGATAAACCATGAAGCCATACATGCTGTGGCCGGTAGAAGGCTGTGTGAGATGTGATTAGGGGGTCGAGGCTGGAATTCTAGGCCATTACGAGATCTTGATGCCGGTTGAACCGTGGCTTTGGGCGATTCGGCAAGTTGCTCGGCACCGCCTCCGCCGTAGACAGCGTAGGCAAAATTTGTGGCTTTTCTGGACTGTTTATTGATCCAGAAGCAGAAAGCAGAGAGTCGCGTACGGCTGCGAGTCGTGAGATTCGTCCCTGGTGCCGAGAGATCAAAGTCTGCAGTTGCTGGATCGGTTGATCAACGTCGTCTTCTGCATCGGTGGTCCCGGTTTGTAGTGTGGGTGGCACGGCTGCTTGAAAAGGCCATTCTGGCAGGTCTCGGCCAGAAGCTGGTTTCGAGGAAGGAGGGTAACCCTCGAGAATATATCTTGCCCAGCGACGATCTCTTGCAAAGGCAAGATTGATTCGCTCACTGAGTGACTTGTATTCCGCTGCCGATAGTGCGATTTGAGAGATTTCAGAGCTGGACGTGGTTTGAGAGCTATCATCCAGTCCGCTGGCGACGTCCTTGCGTATCTGAGCCAGCGCACGCGAATAGGCCGTGGCCTTATCCCTCAGATCCTGGCGCTGGCGAAGAGAGTGCTGCAGAGAAACGCGATAGGCGAGGATCAGGGGAACCAACGAGTCTGGATCCTGGTGCTTGCCTGTTATCTCGGAAGAGTACTTCTGCTGGCGCCCAACAACATCACGCGTCTTCTGCTTGACTTGTTGTCTATTGCTGCTGGCGTTGGTGTGATCTTGCGACAGCGTCTTCCTAAGCACAAGCATTGCAAACCTCGCAATCAACTCCTCAAACTTGTCACCTTTGCATTCATCCAGCATTGTCTTCCGCAGCACCGTTTCCCTTGGCAACACGCCACTCTGCTTCAGTTCCGCGAGCCATTTGTAGATCCCGGCCCTCAAATCCCTCGACTGTATGGGTGTGGTAGGGGGGAAACACGTCGAGAGTCTCGAGACCGCTTCGGAAGGCGAATACACGCGGAAGAGGTGGTAGAGTGCCCATTCTAGGGACTTTGTGCGGTTCTGAGGTTGGGCTCCCGGTGTGGTTGGATTAGAGGAGGCCTTTGAAGGGGGGAGAAATGTCGACTCTGAAATGTGCGGCCAGTCCGGGAGGAGGTCGAGGTTGAGGAGGTGCAAGGCACGGACGAAGATTGCAGTGTTGGTTCGAGGGTGCCATTGGGCTTGTGACGATGTATCCATGTCGAATTCAGTCGGTAGTTCAAACACTGAGGGGCAATGGCTTTGTTGGAGGTGATTGGTAGTGCATCTGTTGCAGGGATTTGGTGCTGGGCAGCTGTGGCCTGGGCATGGCCTTAGGGCAGCCTCGCCTGTCCAGTCGACCCCGTGTTTAGGCGAGCCTTGCCCAGAACCCCTTTTTCCTGCTCTAAAGAGGCCACGATCCCTAGTACCTCGTATATACCTGGCCATCCCCTACGCTTTCTCACATTCTGGCTTGCCCAGGGAGACGAAAATACGAACCATTGGCTTGCTAGGAGCTTCAGGACTGATACGAATACGAGGCTTTCGTTTCAAGAGGTAGAAATAGATTCGACACTGCAACGATATAACTGCCCTTGTCCTTCTCGTTCTCCCATCCCCCCTCCCCTTTCACGCACTGCTTTGGCCAGGTCTCGCAACTCTCGTTGACCACGAAATTCCCGAACATCATATCGTAATTTTCTACCCGGAATCAACAGCCTTTTAACTGTTAGCTCCATCATGGCACACAGTTTCGGGGCCAACTTCGAAAAGCACCCAATGGTGGCGCCCATCTGGGACCGTCTACAGGACATCGAACAACAGCTAGACCAGCTCAACCTCGCAGTCAATACTATACTGAAGCACTTGAACATCCCACCACCCGGCGGTCTGAATCCATTGACTGGAGATGCCAGTCCTGTTTCCTCTACTCCCCAGCCTAACGGCTCGTCAAAAACTCATATCTCTGACTCGCCGTATGTGTACGAAGCGCTCAGCCTCGAAAAGGCCGAGATCCGTCTGCTCGCTGTACACAACGCGGACGATGACTCGGAAGAAATCCGCTGTTCTCTGGTGCCTCTGAGTCTCGAGGACAGTCAAGCGGCGCGATCAAAGCGGTACAACGCATTGTCATACTGCTGGGGGGAGCCAAAGATGGACGGACGTGTTGTCGTCAACGGTCACCTCTTTCCCATCACACGAAATCTGGAGAGTGCGCTGCGCCAAATGAGGAAGAGAGCCACAAAAGAAGCAGCCACAGCGAGGACACCCTCTCCAAGCACATTCTGGTGGATCGACCAGATCTGTAAGCCATGTCGCTTTGCTTTCACATGATGCTCGTGTGCACCCGCTGACTTGTTCGAGGCATTAATCAAGAGGATATTGAAGAACGAGGCAATCAAGTTGCGTTGATGCGCCGCATCTATAGGGGTGCGCAGTCCGTACATGTCTGGCTGGGCGATGCCATCGAGGGGTCCGCCCTCGCCGTAGATGTCGTAGGCAAGATTGGTCAACCTCCCACCCGGGGTCCGGGGGAGAAGGAAGTCGAATACCCAGCGCTCTCAGAGGAGGATGTGCGCAAACACTGGCAGGCTCTTCGCTTGATGCTGGATCAACCTTGGTGGGAACGAAGTTGTAAGTCCCTCCCGTTTGCAAAATTGCGATGGTATTCAGAACTGATGGTTCGTCGTAGGGATCCGTCAGGAAGTGTCCCTTGGATCTCGCACACAGGTCAGCTGGGGTGACCACAGTGTCAGCTTCGATGTGGTATCGCAAGCTGTCATGGCGATCGAGTACGTTGACAGCCTCGGCCACCAAATACCCAGTCAACATTCCAGTATCGAGGACAACGAGACAGCGGATAACAAAGCTGCTTTCAGTTTCTACCACCAAGCACAAAGTCTCCGCGCCTTGAGGAAAGCCTCGTACGCAGGCCATATGTTTTTGCCCCTCCACGACCTACTCCTTCACTCGCGCCACTGCAAGGCCACGGACCTGAGAGACAAGGTCTATTCAATGCTGGGCCTTGCAGACCCGGAGATATACCTGCTCCGAGCAGACTATCGACTTCCTCTTACCGAAGTGCTTAAGGAAGCTGCCCGTTCAATCCTGCCTCAGAAAAAGGGGTTGCGCCTCTTGGGCGCGTGCCAGAACCATGAACGTCGCCACGATCTGCCGTCGTGGGTGCCGAACCTGATTGATGACTGGAAGTATCGCCCCTTGCAGGCAGACGACGCGAGCCACTACATCTCCATGGGGGAGCAGAGCGTCGCATTCGACCAAGACACAATGCTGGTGAAGGGGTTTATCTTCGACTCTGTGACCGCACTGTGCGACACCGTCGTCCCACGCGGCGCCACAACGGGGGAGATTGACCAAGTATACCGCGCGTGGCAACATTATGCCGAGGAGGCAGAAGCCGCCGGACAGATTGACGTCGGTGGAAGTCAATATGGGATCAGACACGGCTTCCGAGGGCAAAAAGACACATTCTGGGTCAACTTCCTCTCTACAGACCGAACGGCTAGCGGGTATCTGCGGTACTCGCAGGACAATGACAACACCGCTCCCGGTGGCGCCACTCTCCTCTCCGAGCGCGAAGAGGGATTGCAAATGCAATACCTCGGCCTGAATCTGAAACTGGCCCAGAGCTACCTCCTCCCTGCGTCGTCCGAGAAGAGTCTGCATCCGCTGCGGCCCATCCGCGCCGCACTGAAGAAATACGGCGTCGGTCGACGACTGGGCATCTGCGCGAAACACAAAACCCTCGTCCTACTGCCCGGAGACGCCGAACCGGGCGACGCGATCGCCGTCTTCAGAGGCGCCACGTTCCCCTACGTCCTGCGAAAGGCTCCCGCCGTGCCCAGCAGGCACGGAGACATGTCTGAGCAGCCACAGGATGAGTATGTGCTGGTAGGCGAGGCGTTTTTGCCTGAAACGGCATCGGACAAGGCCCTCGGAGTTGCGCCCGATACGATGGTTGCAATGCGCATCGTCTAATTCCCTATCCTCGAGGGGGAGACGTATGAGATGTCGTATACGTCGTCGATCTTGTATCTTGTACCTTTCTTCACACTGTCGGACCTTGGGGACGCTTCCGTGTCGTGTATGCATAGATAAAGGTACATCAAGAGCTGTCTGTATAATGGAGCGGCACATCTTACAAGTTGCAAGTCCGGCCATATAACATGTATGCACGATTTGGCGTAATTGACTAGATAAATGCTCGTCCATCTAGCTGGACTAGCAGGGCTGGGCTTTGATTCAATCAGTCACCAATCCTACGCCATCAATTACCAATCTACCACGTAACAAACCGAAACCTAGACATAAAGTACACAGAATACGTAGAGTACGTAGAGTACAAGTGTCCGAGAGCTATGTATATATCTTCGACATTTTATGTACCAGTTCTTCTAAAGGTTTCCTGTGAGTAAATGTTCCTCTCCACATTCCAACCAATCTTTATCCCCCTTCTCATGTCCTTCTATCTATGTATCGTGTGTCTGGCTCATTCATGGGTGATATGACTGACTGACTTTCTCGCAATACAGCCCAGATCTGGCAGCACAGGTGACTGATAATTCTCCTCTGTGTTAGGAACCACACCGACTCGGTGCCGACGTAGATGGTCCGCAAGCCCGTTCTGCTCGTCGGCCCGAGAAGACTCGTGTCGTACGCCGGCTTCGACTATAGCTGTTCTACATCCTGTCGACTGCGACGTCGGGGACGGATTTTCTTTCGACATCCGCACCTCCCGCCCTCGCCATGTCTTGAGCATCGTCTTCACGATTCTGCTTGCTTCTGTTCCAGTACCACAGCACCAGGATCACGATGTACGCCACGCCGACGATTCCGGCCGCGGCGCTGTAGCCTTTTTCGCCACCGGGGCTGTTGTTGCCCAGCACGATGCCTGTCGCGCCGTTGATGATGGCCGCAGCCATCAACAGTCGTCCCAGCCAGATGTGGACGCGACGTATCCCAGGCCTGACCTTCCGACTGGGCGATTTGTACAGGTAGTGATGCCACTGCCCGATGAGAGGCTGGAGGAGGAAGAGGGCCGTGAGGATGGTGCCGAGGATGACATGGCCCCATTCATCGTTGTAGACCTGTAGCCGCGTGTCGGTTACTTTCATGACAAGAAATAGGACGACGTGGGAAGATATTGGAAGGATGGTGCCGCAGGGTAGAATCCCCACCAATCACGGCTTCCCATACGCACCTCGTTGTGGAGAATACAGACCCAGACGCCGGTTCCGAAGCCGACGATGAGCATCGCCAGAGCCAGGAGCTGGGAGCATACGTGGATTTTGAAGAGCGTTCTCCCACCAACAAGACGGTCGAGCAGCCTCCAGGAGATCGAGGCGAAAGGGAAAAGAATGATGACCGTCACTCCCATAACGATGCCGTGGACCTTGTCAGAGCGATGTTTTGTTGCCGGTGCTGCAGCCCGTGGCAGGAGGGAGCCTTCCTGCAGGGCAGCTATCTCAGAACCTGACGCTGCAAAGACATGACAAGCCCCAGCCAATAGAACGAGAAGCAGAGAGAATGACCTCTGGTGCCACTGCATGGTGTGGGATAGGACGAAGTTCTCCAACTCGAAATGCCAACGGGAACGTCCAGAAATGTGAAATTTTGGGAGAGGTTGGCCAGAAAGAAAACAAGGATCAGAAGGACGATGCTGTTCCTTTTGTGCTCCCAGACTCAAGTCCAGAAGAAAATTGCAACACCCATGATGGAGTCAAGCAGATTCCACCCGTTGTAGAGTTCCACGGCAGCGCAGGAGTATATTTTTCAGAACCCATGGGTCTGGCTGCCCGAGTGGGCATTGGTAATATTTCCCAAGCAAGCATAGACGATGTTCCTCAGTCAATCAGAGAGACCCTTTCGAGTAGCAAAAATCCTCCTCCTTCTTCAGCCCTCAAGCAATTGGTCACACGCCGCAAGCGGTATCGGAAGTGGGATAGCAGGTTTGCATCGAGGCATGCCACTGTTCGAGCAGGAGCAGCTGGGAGCGGAGCTCAATGGAGTCGTCGGGGACTTATCAGATTAGATGATGGAATAGCATCTGATTAGATTGGACAGTTTCCAGCCTAGAAAATGAGATAAGGTATCCTCAGTTGTAGCGCTGACCTAGCCGTGCCAGCCTCCGAGCATTCTCCTCGGCCTTTCGCCGAAGGACCACCCACCTTCTAGACAAACACAGAAGGCGTCATCAAACCGAGCACGAATATGACCCGGGTTTTCTGCCACTTGCATCAAATCCACGGTCAAGAGAGGTTGAGAGAAGAGACGACGAATTAGGGGTTTCAGAAATAATATGTACCTGGTATAGGACCGAACATGCGCTCATGCACAAAACCAAGGAGGTGTTCTGCATGGTTTTCAGTGTGCATGATAAGATTATATATAGAACAAGATGCATGCTCTCCAACTTGGCATTATTCAAGCTTCCCATGGGTTAGTGGACCAGCATTGATCGGGTCGGCAATCAGGGAAGATTTCCTCGCGCAGTGCTGTGACCCCTCATGTCGAACTTTTTGACCGTGGAAACTAGTGCCTTCAAAGCTCACTGGTGGCCTTTGTAGCAATGCCTCTGCGGTTGTGTCTCGATAACGCTCATTGTGTTCTGCTGGGGGGTCGAAAGAGACGTTGGACCAAGCAATTGAAGTTTTGGTCAAGAAAAATAACGCCAGCCTTATCGGCACCACCGGCAAGGCAGTTCCCCTCGGCAGACCTGCCTCTTGAGGTGAGTTCGTCAACTGCCTTGTGTGCTTGTTCATCTGGCTTGGCACTTGCGGCCGAGGCGGGCGAGGCGGGACGGGCAGCCAAACCCCCTTTGTTTGGCGGGGAGCGTCGCTTGGTAAACAAATCAGCCTCATTCGGTGTTTGCCCAACAAACATGTCACTATACTGAAGCACTGCCTGTATCGCGCAAGTTTGCTTTATACATTCAAGCACTAGAGGCGCAGCAACATAAACTGGGTGGTATCTCTAGATTTTACTCTCATTTTCTTCATCTTTTCGTCGTCGCATCTCCTGCCTTGCTCATCACCCAACCACATTTCTCTACACTGCAGCAAAATGGCCTCAGACAGACCTGAATGTAAGAGCCCCGCCTGATTGCTGTGTTCAACGCTGATGCCCGCTAGTACCACCAACTCAACCTTCATTCACCCTCCGAAATTCTCACACATCTCTGCTACCCAAACCGAACCCTTGGTCCGTGCGCGCTGTCTTGAACGATCTCCCGAATCCACCGCCCGAAGGCTCCTCTTCTCCCGTCCCATTCTTCCACTACCTTGAGCGTCTAAAGATTGAGAAGCGAGAAGGATGGCGGAGGTTTGGTATCTCCACCGGAGAGTCAATAGCAGACCACATGTATCGCATGTCCATGATCACCATGCTCGCCCCACCAGAACTGAGCTCACGATTGGACATCCCGAGGTGTACCAAGATGGCGTTGGTTCACGACATGGCTGAAGGGCTCGTTGGAGACTTGACGCCCGTTGATGGTGTGCCGAAAGTGGAAAAGAGCCGAAGGGAGGCCGAGACGATGGATTGGGTAGCTCAGTCATTACTTGGGAAGGTCCACGGCGGCATTCCAGGAAAGGATCTCCGCTCAATCTGGCAAGAATACGAAGACAGCGAGACTCTGGAGTCGAAATTTGTTCATGATGTGGACAAGTTGGAGCTAATACTGCAGATGGTAGAGTACGAGCGGGCCAACAATTGCACCATTGACCTGAGTGAGTTCAGCTGGGTGGCCAGGAGGATCAGTCTGGAAGAGATGAAAGCATGGGCACAGGAGATCTTGGATGAAAGAGCCGAGTTGTGGAAGAGCAAAGATATGGCACCTCGAGAGCCCACACAGGCGGCGACAATCAAGGAGCAACAGGCCGAATACTACAGCAATGGCGATGGCAAGGTGTTCGGCAACGGAGTGAGCGAGATGAATGGACATGTGAAATGACGATGAGAATGAGAGAAGCGATGTATGTTGCAACAGAGTGCGATCTGCTCGACAGCGCGTCGAGAGCCATGAAGATTGAAGACCAGAGATACCCAGAAAACAATAGATGGCGTGTTTGGACCTTTACTCTTTTGCCGCGGTTGGTGTCGACGCTGGCCTCCCGTCTCTGGCACAGCGTTTCTATCTCTATACACAAGCAGTTGGATTGTTGATACAAGAATCGATGGCGGCAGAAACCCCAAGTGGCCGTGGCCATGGCCATCATTCCCCATCTTGTGCTTGAGCACGATCCTTCCAGATCTCCTCCCTCAGCCACTCGGCCTCCCTCCTCATCTCCTCCTCACTTCTGGGTTCCCTCGTACTGTCTGGCCCACCCAACGCCTCCCTTCCGGACTTGACCCTTTCGTCTCTAAACCTCTGCATCTCGAGGAAAGCTTTGCCCAGGTCCCCTTCCTCTCCGTCCATATCGTCGTAAACCCTGTCGCCACCACCCTTGTGGTCGTAATCTCCTCTCTGGCGCGGAATCACATGGACGTGGACATGCGGCACGGACTGGCCTGCATCGACGCCGTCCTGGACCGCGACGTTGAAAGAGGTGGCGTGGTACACCCGTTGAAGGGTCAACGTGACCAGCCGGACCGTGTTGAACAGATCGGCGGTTTCGGGCGCCGTGAGCTGCGTGAGCCGGGGGACACAGCGTACCGGGCAGATCAAGATGTGGCCCGGCAGCAGGGGTTTGAGGTTGACCAGGCCGTAAGACAGGCGAGAAGGCGAAAGGTGGAAGACCTGTGCAGCTACTGAAAAGGGGCCGAATTTCAGATTGGGTGGCAGTTGTAGGGGAGGCATGCTGGACTTTGAGGAGGTTGTTGGTGGTGGTGGTTGGTCTCCGGTCATGATAACTGCTGGTAGAAGACGACGACAACGATGGTATTGTCGCCGAGTTTTCGACGCGCGGTGCTTTGTGATGACGCCTGGAGAATGTACTGTATACTCGCAAAATATGATGGTGGGCTGATGGACACGTCGGCAGTCAAGGAATCGCCCGCGTCACCTTTTGACAATTTTCAAACAACCATACACATTTTATATTTTTATTTAATGCAAACGACGGTAGAGATTGGTATATGATGTGATATCATCAACGAGCTAGCTCCACCAGCTACGTTACCTAACATATACTTTCTTGGACTCCCCGAAACCTTTCTCAGTATGTATATCCCTCGGTTGAGCAAAAGACTTCAGGTTTCCCCAGCTGCTGGCAAGGCTGGCAATAGACGGAATTCCTTCCTCCCGCAGATTAATTGCTTGGACCCTAAGGCTTTTGGGTTGCGCATTACTAGGCCCAGCCGCCCGAGCCTATCCGTCCCAGTAGCTGTCCCCCAGGGTTTGATTTCGGTGGTCCGATCCAAAGTCATCGCTCGGTGGTAGACAAATATGCAGTACTTGGAACGGTCTGTGAGGATAAGAAGACAATGTCCTGATTTGTTATACCACATAATTTCTTTTTCCTGCACGTCATGGCAGCTGTTCCCTGCCAAGGCTGCCAGCCAGGTCTGGCCAAAGCCGTTCGCGTGGAACTGGTCGAATGTGTCGCTTTTCAGCAACCAACAAGCAGGGGCAACGTCAAAACCCCTCTAGACCATGTGTTTCGTTGAATCTCAGCCTGACCCCTGAATCGTATGAAGATGGTACCTCTGGGGTTCTGGCCACCAGGACACGCCAATGGCACCAATGACCTGGCTTGCCCTGCCATGTAACAAGCAAGCCACTTGCCGCGGGCGCATACGGACGCCACAGGGGCCCCAAATCGAAGAGCAGCTCTCTGTCTCTAATTAGGGCTTGTCCGCCCATCATGCTCTTGGTTGCTGTACATCCTGCGTTTTGCGTTGAGCACCATGGTGCTCGACCCCCTCAGTGCTGTGAGTCTGGTGGTGAACGTCTTTGACCTGATCAACCACAGCATCAACGTGGTCTCCAAGGCGCGAGAAGTCCATCAATTCGGGGCAGACAACGAGACCGTGGACATTGAGGCGACGACAAAGGACCTCAGGGAACTGACGGGCAAACTTCAGCAGAATAAACCTCCGGACGAGAACGAGCAGCCACGGGCATCACACGATCCAGCCCTTGAAACCATCTGCCAGGGCTGCAGGGACGTCGCACAGGAGCTTCTCGAGGCACTATCCAAGGTGACGGTGGAAGGGAAGAGCAGCAAATGGAAGAGCACGAGAAAGGCCCTCCGAAGTGTATGGAGCAAAGAGAAGATATATGCCATTGAGAAGCGGCTGAACACGTATCGAGACGAGATCAACCTCCGGCTGATTGCAGACCTTAGGTAGGTCCAGAGCTGTTCCGACACTGACACCGCTGCGGATCTCGGTTCCCCTTTCTTATGGTAGACATGTATCTGACTCTTTTCTCGACCGGTTTGTACAGAGAACGAGTTGACCTTCTCGCCCTCCAGCAGCTATGCCTCTCTGACCTCCAGCGCGACAACACCAAAATCATTGTCGACGCCATGATCAACGACCGGCACATCCTGCAACGGGCACTCCAGTCACAAACCGCCGACACCAGAAAAGCCATAGCAGAGGAGCAGGCCAAGACCAGCATGGCCATGGTAGGCGCCGTGCAGGCCGCGGGAAGCAACAGCCAAGAGGAGCAAAGGATCATCTTCCGGCAGATCTTCGAGGTCAAAGGGGCCTTAGAGCAGCTCAAAATCGATATCCGCAAAAAGGATGAAGAGTTCAAGGAGACGGTGCTGGCCTACATCGCCTCTCACAGCCCCAAGAAGCGAAAGGCGCTGAAGGAGAAGAGTAACCTCATTTCTTCGGCTTTGGTGTCGCTAGAAACAATATATCGAAGTTTGCAGGTGAGTTTGACTTCTGCCGGGGATGCGTCATATTACCACTCTCCAAACTGACCGTGAGATACAGGTCCTCCTTGCAAGTCTACAAGGCAGAGTCAAGTCTCTCCTTGCGCCACTCAACACCTGCCAGCTTTGGAACGCCGTACCATTTCCCGCTCCTGCTTTTCCTCCTGGCACAGGGACCACACAGTCCTGCGATACGGCGCGGATGCTTTACTACGCCTACTACTACCTCAGTCTTGTACGCGGGGATCTGGTGCGGACAGACATCCACACCATCTGGCCCCTGCAGTCGGAGAGATACGACGAGCTGGTATCCGACGGCGCGCCAAACAGGATGTATGCAGTCGAGGCGGCAGAGTGGCTGCAGCTGAAGGACAGTGGCCCATTGAATCCCTCCTCGGGCATGTCTTGGACCTGGCGCATTGACGGGCGGTTGCGCGAGCTATCCCCTGGCTCTTTGGCGTATAACTTTGTCTGGGGAATGGCCGTGATCGCAGCGACCATATCAGAATGCATCGACGACACGACTGAGCCTGATCCCTCTTCGCCACGCCCCTCGCAAGGTGTCGAGGTGGAGGGCGACGTCCACCTCACCATCTTTTCGCGCCTCTTTGACGAACGATATCGCACATCCGAGCAAAAGTTCACGCACGCATCTATCTCGGCACCCCATCTCCGCAAAGATGTCAAAGTATGGCAATCCGTTGGAGAAATGACCCATCTCCGATCCAAAATCGCCGAATGGCTGGACGAGGAAATGGGCATGTTCGCAAAGGAACGTCGGCTTACTCCCGGGCGGCGGCGAGTGATTCTGGACATGAATGAGATACAAGAGCTAATCAACGTACTGATCCTCCTGACGGACAGGCAACCCAATCAGCACGGTATCACGCTGTCTTCGGTCAAAGTGTGTGCCGTGACAAACGTTCTGGCACGGTGTGGAATCAATGTACCACTGAGAAAGGGCGGGATCGTGCCCCTGATTGCGCATCCAGATAGGTATGCGGAAATATCGCTTTGAGTGTTAAGGGGGGTGCAACGATACAGGACGACCAATGTATGAACAGTGTATACGGCGTGAGCATAACAAATGGACACATGTAACATAGGGTGTCGATGACAGTGGCTAAACAAAAGGCGTCTCTGGAATATAACTCGTTGAGAATTGATTCTTGTACAAGTGACTCAATTACAGACTTTGTCCGTCCGATCGGCCAGAAAAACTTCCACTTTCCGCGGCTGGAATGGCCCGAACTTTGAAAGGCGCAGGATCGCCCAAGTGTTGTTGCACACGCATGTTCAAGGCCACTTTGACATCGAGTACAAATACAATCTTCGTCCCCGTCCCCGTCTGCTCTGTTGCAATGTTTGCAAGTAAGTGCGAGAACCACAAGTCTCGTGGTCAACGAAGTGGTAAATCATGGATGACTTCGAAAGCGATCTCGACATCTTCGGGCAACAACAAAGCCTGTACAAGCTATACACACAGCTATGTCTGTGCTTTCAGATGAGCGACGAAGGACCTTCACAGGCAGACATTGTCGCCACGTTGACCAAGGGACTTGAGAGACTGACTGCTAGCTTTCCATGGGTGGCCGGCCAGGTTGTTCGCCAGAGCACCACCGCTGTAGGTGATGACACTCCAACACTCTACAAGATTCGACCCTTTGAGAAGACTCCTCGTCTGGTCGTCAAGGACCTGCGAGAAGGCCATCCGACATTGACGATGGATACCCTGCGGCAGGCCAACTTCCCATTCACCCTCCTGGACGAGTCCGTCGTCGCACCGATCGACACCCTCGCTGCGGGCACCGACGGACCCGCGCCGGTTTTCGCGGTGCAGACCAATTTCATCTCGGGCGGCTTGTTGCTCACCTTTGTGACACAGCATAACACGATGGACATGACGGGCATGGTTGAGATCATGCGCCTCCTCTCGAAGGCGTGTCACGATGGGGAGGTGTTCACCGCCGAGGAAATCGCCACGGGGAACCTACGCAATCTCATCCCGCTCCTGGATGAGATTGATATTCCGCCAGGGCCGGATCAGAATCAGACGGGGAAGCATTCTGCAGATCAGGCTGCGTCTGATGCCGTGGTCGATATACCTGCACCACAACCTCTGGCTCAGGCTCAGGCTGAATCTCGACCTCCTCCACCTCCACCTCCAAAATGCAGCTGGTCCTACTTTGTATTCTCTGCCTCGTCGCTCGCCAGCCTGAAATCGGTCGCACTGCAATCTCTCACTAACAGTTCAAGCTTCGTCTCGACCGACGACGTCCTATCCGCCTTCATCTGGCTGGGTGTGTCCCGGGCCCGTCGTCCTCGCCTAGACCCTCTGCGGGAGGTGACCTTCGCCCGAGCGATCGATCCGCGCCGATACCTAGGCATTCCCGCCACGTACCCAGGCCTGATTCAGAACATGACCTACACGACATTTCCTCTGGAGGAACTCCTCGACACACACCTGGGCCACATCGCCTCGAAACTCCGCGAAGCCGTCGACCCCACGACGTCGAACCTGGCGCATACGACGCGCGTACTAGCCACGCGCCTGCACCGCGCACCAGGGGACACCAGCCTCAACATCACCGCGCGGCTGGACCCGGTCGCGGACATCATGCTGAGTTCCTGGGCCAAATACGATTGCTACGACCTGGACTATAAACTGGGGTTGGGCAGGCCCGAGGCCGTGCGCAGGCCGCGGTTCGTGCCCGTCGAGAGCCTGTTCTATCTGATGCCCAAGGCGCCGGACGGGGAGGTCGCAGTCGCGTTGTGTCTGAGGGAGGATGATCTGGCGAGGTTGAAGGGGGACGAAGGGTTTATGCGATGTGCCGTGTATGTGGGATGAGTCTTCTCTTCAAAACAAAAATCCCGCATAAAAGACGTGGTTGGGGAATGTTGAGAGATGACGGGGAGTGTTGATCCCGTAGAGCCCATGTCATATCGTATCATACAGAGAGGCAAATGTTTCATTGCCAGAAACCGATCTCAGGCTGGATCTTTCATTCATTTGTTCAGTCATTCACTCACATGTCAAATGCGCTTCTCTCTCTCTCTCTCTCTCTCTCTCTCGCCCCAATTGATGTACGTGATCTACCTGATTTAATGCTCGCTCAAATTTGACGTCTTCTGCAGTCATAGTATATCATATCATATCACACCTCCCCCTGGGTATCCAATTCCCTGTCCCAATCCTTGTCTCTATTCTTGAGCTCATTCTCCTTGACATGATCCTCCGCCTCTGTCGCCTCGGCCTCGACATACCCCTCATCCGTGCCGACGTAGCCTTCCTCATCGACATAAATCCCCGGGGGGATGAACTTCCTCATGACCGTGTCGACCCAGCGCTGCGGGATGCCCAGCTGGACAGACTCGTCGATGGCTCTGTTCATCCGGCCGATGTATTCCTGGACGATTTTTCCGGGCGTCGTGCGGAATTCGTCAACGTAGACGAGCGCGCGGACGGTCGTTTCGTTGTGCGATTTCGTGACGCCGTTTGTCATGTTGGTAGGTGGTGGAGAAGATGATGGTGGCACGTCGATGCCCAGCTCGGCCGGATCTTTCAGCCACTTCGTCACCGTCATGGGGAGGTAATGCTTGTTATAGTCCCACCCGTCCTGCAAGTACCGCTTGACCATCTGCGTCTCCGGGTCCGGGTTAATTGTTGGGTGCGGGTTTCTCGCATGATTGTGGCCCTCGTACATGTCCAACCGGGCCTCGTCCGCCGGGTCCATATTATACAGGACGCCCCAGACTGTATTCTCATCGTCGTCCGACGACGACGACGACGCCGACGCCGCGTTGGATCTGGGCAGTGCGACCACATTGGCATACCCGCGTTCGCAGATTATCCAGGCATACGAGTCCAGCCGGGCGATTGCGACTGGTTCGCTCGACGCGGGCGAGTGCTGGAGTCGAAGAGACATCTGGTATGCCGAGAGGTTGGAGCCGTAGGCGAAGTAGAGAGTGCCGGTTTTTGACGAGGTCGAGCATTGCGATTGCGATTGATCTTGAGACTGTAACGGAGACATTGTTGTCGGGGTGGGGGGTTGGTCTGTTCTTTGATCAGGTTGGAGTGGGTTGAGTTGGGTTCGTCAGGTGTATGCCTAGAATAATAGTACCCTGGATAGGTAGTAACGTTTTATTGCCTTTTTTCTCGTCCCCGTGATATGTGTGAGGGTGACCCAGATATATCGATCGATAATTGGAAGGATAGACAATGAATGAGGCGTGTCGATATCCTCCCTTCACACCTCCTTTCTTGACCAGGGGAGTTTTCAATCTTATTGCCCGTCTCAACCCGACACCGGCGTCGTCGCTGTTTTCCGCTTGGATATTCTAGGCCCGTTCACTCACAATCTCTCAACAGCTAGCTTGACCGAAAAGCAGTCCCGAGACTCGTTGCTGGTATATCGACGAAGAGTGCTGTAATAACCCGACCCCCGTGGTTCTTCAGAGGTCACATATACTCCGCGTGACTTCGTCAAGATCGACAACGTTGTTGGTAGTTTCGTCGAGCGGATCAATATCCGAGTTAGTGATTGACGGTTGCTGATTGATCGCTTTGGTGTCCGCCGCCACTTCTTTTTTCATTCGATCTGTCGCGGGAACAGAAATTTAATGTGACTTCAATACAGTATATAAGATGTCTCGTGGTGTATTGTCTAGTGTAACGTTATTCACCACTGTAGTGTAGTACCTTTTTTGTGGTACCTCTGTAGGACTCTTGTAGCAGTTGCCAAATGGAATGGATATCTTCACGCAAAGTGATGTGGAGGATCTCTGGAGGGGGGGAGGGGGGGTTTTCTAATCCAGAAAAAGAAACAAAGATGATAGAGCTGAGGAAAATACGTAATTGATGAGGGATCGGTAGGTTGTCCTTCTAAGAAAACATCGTAGATCTAGTTGAATAGAATCTAATGGTCAATAGTCAGTGTTTAACGAAGCAGAGCGAAAGTGGCTAATGAATAATTAGCAACGAGAAGAGTGAAACGCGAGCAAACAAAACAGCCAAAATAGCGAAAAAGGAAGGAGAGCGAGAGGGAGACGGAAATGGAGATGTCCGGCTAGGCGGTTGGTGGTGGTTGCTCGGACTAGATGAGGAAATAGGGAACGACGAGGTCTGTTTCGGCTAATGACATAAAGAGATGTAGAGACGCGAGGCTCTGGTTGCTGGAAAAGGGAAACGGGCTGATATGATTGGTTTCGTTGTCTCCTGTGTATGGAGGGGTCCGCGAGAAAGGGAGAGAGAGAAGAGGGAGACTGGGGACGAATCCATACAATATAGAACACACACTGTCAATTGTAATCCTTACACAAGAAGGACGATATCGAGAAAAACAAGGTAATGAATCCAAGAATGCCGCAAAAAAGACATTGATTAATAAAGTCTGTCTTCCTGTCTGTATGTCCTGCTTGTTTACACACTGGCCGAGACAGCCTGAGATAGCCTCACAATGTGACCAGAGACCTCACTTTGTCCTGGGCTCAAAAAGCAAGCCGTCCAGGTGCACTCGCTTGACTGATCTCCCGTCGCGCATTCTCCTTTCCGACTACTTGGAACAATCCACCACTTCCATTCAACACCCCTGGCCGACCCTTCGTCGGGCTTCGTGTGCCGTTAACTCCCTTGCCGTGGCCTTCGACAGTGCGCTTGAGATTGACGCTCCTGGCTCGATCTCTCCGTGCCCGAATCTGTGCGAGGGCTGCCTCCCGTGAGATCGGAGTGCCCGGCACATTAGAGAGCATGGTCGAACTCGCGAGTGAGTTCACCCTGGACTGGACCTGCGGGACACCTTCTCTACTTGTATGGGGGTCTATTCTGATATTCAAGACCTCGGTGTGAGCGTGATCGTATCCATTTCGACTCATGTGGTGCTCCGGACTCATCCCATCATCGGCATCCACGGCTTCTCGAAGTGGTACTCGCGTCGTAGTCGTTGTGGTGGTGGTGGCAGAAATTGACTGCAGACTTCTCTCAGACCCTGCGTCTTGCGCCGGAGCTTGGCTCTGGATAACAGCCTGTTGAGCCTGCATCTGTGCATGCTGAGCCAGATTATGCATTGACCTCGAATGTTTGTGCACAGGTGTCACAGGAAATATAGTGCTCGCTGCAGGCGACGCTGACGAGTCCTTTTCGTACATCAACCGCACGTCGGTATCGTCATCGTAGTGAGACATGACCGAGGTCACCAGAGGTGAGTGGCTTCGGAGATTGGGTTTCGACTGTGCTCGCCTGTGCAGACTAGCCTGGGATGGTGAATCTTTAAGTGCAATTTTCGTCGTGGTTGTTGTGGTGACTGATGGTGTAGCGGCGTGCTTTCGTCCCTTTGCGGCAGATCGCACGGTTTCACGCTGAAAGGACCTGACCGACCGTGGTGAGTCTGGCACGAGTCGGACAGGCGAGTCGACAGTCAAGATACCCAGCGCGGTCGAAGGTCGCCGCGGAGGTGCTTGTTTTGGCGGCGAGAGATCGAAGAGATCTTGGTCAAGAATTGCCGATGTACTCTCAGCGTAGCGAAGTGCTGGAGCCGTTGTCGCAACGCCAGCATTGCTTGTAACAGACGTAGAGAACAGGAACGCTTGCGAGCCTGTTGCTGGCTCAACCAAAACTTGTGTGATATCCTCCAATTGCGCCGTCGCCTCTAGTGTGTTGTTACTCGAGTCCAATTCCATGGGATCTGGTTCCGGAAGAGGAACTTCGATGGCTTGTTCGAGGACCATGGGTTCCTCTGATGCCCAACCCATTAATCCTGGCGTGGGGTCAGGTGGGAGTGAAGCTGGCTCACTGTCTTCTGTCGAGGTGGTCCCAGCTTCCGGTTTCTCCTGAGGAGGCATGTCTTTGCTTGCGGGTGGCTGCTGCGAACATCTCTCGTAGCTTTCCTCTAGAGCTGGCCTGTTCTCCTCGGGATAATCTGAAATCTTCCTCTTCTTCGATGCGCGATGGTGCTGCATCTTTGCATCATAAACTTGATCATGAACAAAGCGATCGCCGTTCGATTCAGCCAGTCGACATGGACAAGCTTTGAACTGGCATTGCATATGCATGAAATGGATCAACTCCGAATCTTCCTCATGTTTTTTCCGTGCCCAAGCAAGCTCTTGCTTCAGAAACTCGACTTCTTCCTCGGGAGTGATCTTCTCTCCTCCCAACTGCTTGTCGTAAAAATCTAGGCGGGATATGGCAGAGGCGAAATCTGGCAGTTTCTGTGGAAGCAGTCGAACAGGCGCTTCAGAGATAATGTGACTTGTCGACACGGACGCTGGCACCATTCTCGGCTGAGAGGCGGGCTGTCTGTGGTTCTCGTTATCCGAATGCTTTGTAGACTGAATGTTCTCGCCTTGTCGAACGACATTCCTCTGATCAAGGTCTTCGTGATCTCGATTCCTCGAATCTTCGTTAGGGACGTCAAGCGCTTCAGTTTGGACGCATTTCTCTACAGTTAGTTTCTTTTCAACGGCATTTGTTTTTGCCTCCAAGAGTGCTGCATCCCTCTCCTTTTCCACGGCTTTTAGCCGGTCTTTCAGTTGATCCATCTCACCCACCATGCCCGCCAACGCGTACGCCCTCTCAAAACTTTCTTGACGGCTCTTCTCCTTCTCCGCCTTCTCGTGCTGTATCTCAGCCTGGCATCTCTTCAGTTCTGCCCTTACTTCCTGCAGATCCTGTCTCGCCTCCACGACGGCCAGCTCAGCACGGTATGTCTCCTTGCGACATCTCTTGATCTCCTTCGTGTACGACTCTTGGTCCCGACCCCGTTTCTCCTTCTCCGCTTGCACCTCTTCCAACAGATCCTCGACACGTTGCGAGAGCATTCTCTCCCGTTTCTTCTTGGACGCCAGTTCCTCCCTGGCCCGCTCGAGCTCGGCGTTCAAAGTGGCCAGGCTCGCCTGTGCCTCCTCGTATCCCATGACCGCCTGCTGGAGAGAATTGCTGGTACTCAGATTCTGATTAGGTGTGGTGGTGGCGTTACAGCTATCCTGCAGGCTAGCCCCGAGTCTTCTGGGTCGAGTGGGCGACGATTGGAGACTGGTGGTTGCGGCCAGACTGTTCAGAAAGGCGACTTTCGACTGCACGTCCGACGTAAAGGAGTCACGCGTTCCGGGTCGGTCATGTTCGACCAGGTAGCTGTGTAGGGAGGGCGACTGCGGGATGCGTTGCTGATTGATCCGCTCTGGCGAGAGCTGGTGCAGCGGTGCAGCGGGCGGGCATTTGAGCGGGTTGGGACTGATGTGAGGGTTGTGGTTTTCCATATTATTGTCATCGACAAGGATAGCGGCGTCCATGGTTTTAAGAAAGCCGTCTCAGGGAATGAATCACTGTCATAAAGCTTTCATGGTTTCAATTCGACGTAGCGTAGTACCACCGCAAGGGTTATTGCCTGAGCTGTGTGAAGATGCGCTGCAGGTAGATTACGAGAAGCCCCATGTCCTGGGATTCTTTTGTTTACATCCCAAAACGGAGAAGCCAATCTTGGCTATCGGCACGTGAAATGCTTAGTCAAAATGTTCGCTGCTGGCCCCGCAACTGGTAGCCTTGAGCATGTCGCAGCCTTGTCAGCGTGACCATCCTTTCTCTCTAGTTTACACAAGGATAATTGTCTGTTCAACAAGATCATCACGCCTGCCGCCATCTATCATCTCAAAAATTTCCCCCTTCATTATTCCTTGGATATAAGATTCACCCACGACCAAGTGTCGACTCGAGGTAGGGCCCCGCGGGCCACTGTCGGCTGACATTCTCCGAACAACAAATGGCACATTTGCGCCCTTGAATACGCAGCATTCATCGCCTATCTTGACAGTCAGATGTCCGACTCCATAGTATCCCTTTGAGGTTCGGAAAAATCGCCGGTTGTGTAAGGCTCTGCGCTGGTTGCTGCTGATGTAGGTCATAGCTTCGAGTTCGAGGGATTTTGGAGACTCCTGCCCGCTTTGGACCGTAACCTCTTCATCTGTCGATGACAATGGTAATATCTCGGGGTCACTACCGCCCTTACCGAGCACCATTTCCTTGTACGCCCGATAAATGGCACGGTGATGACTGGGATTGTCTTCAGCTGGGCCTTCGTCGGCTGCCCGCCCAGCCGCGATGGCGAGGCTGTAGGCGTATTCTCGCTCGTAATGACTGCTACCGTAAACGCTGTCACCTCTGTCAGACTCCAAGTCCTGCCACAGCTTCTGCAGGAGCTTATTGTCCTTCTGGTTCTCCAGTAGAAGTTCCTGCGAGTCGAATACCCTCGATGTCCACTTGATAGAATCCAAGATCACGCCTGTCACACGTAGGGACGAGTCGGACTGGGAAACGACGAATTGAAACGGCGCCGACTTGGATCCACCAGCTCGATACCACATCTCCGGATAGCCCAGCCAATACACCCGCCACCCCTCATCCCAGCGCGGAACCCAGGACGAGCGCAGACCACCGAGTGAGGCAGAATCTGCAGTATGATCAATACAAGTGAGAACCGTCCATGGATATGGGTCGTTGTGAAGAATTGCCTCCGCGGTGTGAAAGTAGACTTCGTCAACGGACAAATTGTAGTTGGCGACCACTAGTCTTTTCTCTTTTGCAGCACCGCATGCTGTACTAGGATGACTGAGGAAGGCATATACACGATCCCGTTGATCGGTAGCCATGTAGGGCCGTCCGTCGTTCAGAATGTTGATGAAGCTCACGTGAGCCTCGTTGCAACTCAAGGATTTGCACATCGGCAATTCTTTTCTCCAGGACAGCTCGTTTCCATATGTCCGCCAGAGGTCATCAAACAAGTCCCAGAACATGCCCGATTTGACATTTCCCATCAACGAGCCGACATCGACACGCGAGGCGACGATAAGCATCAATTCCACCAGGTAAGCCCAATTCATAGATGCGTTGCCACAGAGCAGAACAGCGGATCGAGCCAAGCCGACTTCCTGGAGCACCCAAACCCGGGAGAACCACTCCGAGTCCATCAACCGTCGGACCATATCCCACTTGGGAGTGTCTGAGCAGATCTTTTGGCTCTCGCGGGTAATAGGTGGGAACAAATTGACGTCGCCATGTTCAGAAACCATGTTGGAGAGAAGGGTAGCAGTGGCTTGTATCAGAGAAAAGCACTCCCTTGCTTCTTGATTGACGTCGGGGCCTATCCAGACGAGAACTCTCGATGCGCTCGCGTAGATTTGACCCATTTGTTGAACCTACCGCTTGGTGTCAGGAGGAAAGCGGCCAGGACAGTAAAACCTCAATCACTCCGACCGAGTTGACTTACCTGCTCTGACCTCTCCTTTCGATCTTCCTGATTGATACACATGGCATCTACCCAAAGGAACCTTGCATTCCGATCATGACGAAGATGATTCAGTGCACAGGCCAGATTATCCCGAATATGGAGAGTAGCACCGTCGCATTGGATTTTTTGTCCCCCTTGAGGTCCCTTGTCATCTCCCCAGACGTAAGATAGAGCGTCGAACCCTACCCTGGCAGCGTCCTCGATTTTCCAGACTTGAAGACTGCACGAGAGATCATCACCGGCGAATCCAGGGCGCAGTACCAAGATCCTCGTCCAGCCTTCGACGGGTAAGGGTGTGTACTTGTACACCGGGTCAAGAGCGGGCGACCCCCTCATTCGAAGAATAAGCGAGAAGTCGGGCAGGGTGATCGTAGACATCGTAGGACTATCTCGCCAACGCAGAATAGCCCAGTCTGGACCGGATGGTTTGATGGCCGGCTAGGAAATCAAGAGAGCGCAGCCTGAGCGAACCCATGAAAACACACACCTTAAAAGAAAAAAACCGACGACGACAAAGGTTCGACCTCATCGTGATAAATAGGTGATAAGCGAAAGGCGACGACTTTGAAATTGGCTCCCTTTCGTGCTACCTCGACTCAGTCGTGAATTCAGGAGTCCTGTTATCTTTATCGCTCACGGCCTGTTTGGCGAGAGTGTTTGCCGCATACAGCCAATAGAAAAGGGTCAGTCTGAAGGCGTCTGGCCAGCCCCTGTCTCACCATGGTGATTCACACTGCCAGGGTGCCTGCGAGCGACCATGTCTCTCGACCAAGGTATGCCTGCATCTTTCGATTCCTGGAAACGCCACTGGTGTTGTTGCCTGTTGTTGTCACTCACCTGACCTCCAAGGCTGTCATTCCAGCGAAGCAACGTGATGAGCAGACGAGTGGGACGGATTCCGACCTCTTTCCCAAGTTTCTGAGCCCATAGTGCGTCCTCTGATCGTCTGAGCGAGTCGACCTCGCCGCCACATTTGAAGACGAGACTTCCCACTCAAGTCTACGAGCGAATTTATATGTGATGATGTGATGAGAAACCATCAAAAGCCAAGTAAATCCAAGAGATCCGCCAGTTCGTCGCCTGTGGGTTTTTCCCACCTTTTCCACTTTTTCCCATCATCACGTGCCAACACCTGCGATGATTCTAAACTGCGGTGAAGACAAGAAACAACTCTGCTGTCAGTTCCGATCATGTTTTTATTCTTGATTATCTAGCTAAATCGATTTTCCATCGTGTCATCATGTATGGCACGAGGCATGCAAGACTTCTTGTTGCAGTGTGCGCCGACTCCTGCAAAATCCAGCACTCTCCCAGCGATAAGAGGTCATGGCCCTCCTTCGCACTCCCCTCTATCTCTTAAATGGCTCGACCCACGTTGAGTTATGAGCCCCATACCTGTCCGTATATACAGTGTTTTCATTCCCATATCCCCACCCAAATATTGATAACAGTTCGCAATATGTTACAACGTTGGCCAGGATGGTTAAGACGGTCCCCAACCATCATTCAAGCCTTGTCCTCCTCATGCTCGTCCGATTCGCATGTCCTGGCCATATCAAGTTGCGGCCGTCCGAATGCATTTCCGTCGACGCATCTCTGCTCGTTTTTTAAAAAGGACAAAAGTTCATAAAACAATGCAAAACATAAAATAACACAATCATCAAATGCTGGTTTAAAAAAAGGCAATCTCTTTTCTTGGGCGTTTCAAGAGCAGTCCATTTCAACATCCTCTCGTCGTTGCAGGAAGGAAGCCTCACCAAAATCCATGGCAGCCTCCATACCACAGCTCACCATTCTCTTGTGACCATGAGGATGGGCGGATTTGGTTTCGGGGAGTTGACCCATCATGTTGGCGAATGGATTGGCAGCCGCGGAAGGCGGCATTGGTGTCTCGGGTTGCTGGAAGAATCGGCTGCGACTCTTTGGCAGAGCCATACGGCGACCATTGAAATGTTGCCTGGCACGGTCACCAATCTCCGTCACGTGGTTGACATCGGTCATGTTGTCAACATCAATGGCAAAGTAATCAACCGGCATGTGCATGCCCGCATCGCCCATCAAGCTCGGGGTTTGGGGTTGCCAGTCTTGACTCTCGTCGCTGTCGGAATCGGCCTCGTAGGAACGCTTGTGGCTGGTGGAATAAGACCAGAGACTCTGTTGGGCAATCGAGGGTTCCGACCAGTCCTCGCTGCAGTGGGAGAGGTAAGCCAGGCTGATGCCACAAAAAGTGGCCGTGCTGATTGGTTGGACCTGTCCCGCCGCATAAGGGGAGATCTCGTTGGTGGTATCGGCGTTGCCAGCGGACAGGGCAGCTTGGGTCTCGGGGGAAAGCCGGTGCATGTTGAAGAAGGGCCGAGGGGTGAATTTCTTTTGGGTCTTGTATCCTTCAGCAACGGCCTTCCTGACGCGCATACCGACCTGGAGAAGACCTGCCTCGATTTCCTCCTGATCAGGGGCTTGTTCGCAAAGCTGCAAGAGCAATGGAGAGTCAAAGGTGTGTTGCTCAATATCCGAGTTGTCCGTAACAGGGATGATCGGTGGCAGCGAGTTGGGGATGAAGCGACGACGCTTAGAGAGGGGTGAGTCCGACTCAATGGAAGGCACCGGGATGGAAAAGTCTTGCGGCAGACCCATTTTGTGGTTATGGGGATGTGGTGATGAGGACACCAACGAGAAACGACTGTGGAAGGGGGAGCTGAGCTGACAAGTGAGCTCAAGGCTAACGGGTGCAGGTACAGGTGCAGGTATAAAGTGGTGTGTCGATCTTGGTCAACGGTGAGATTGAAAGCGAATGGAGAGTGTGGATTGCTCGACGAAAGGGTCCCTCCCTACTAAGTGAATAGCAAGGCGTCGAAGGGATGAGGGGGGTGGACTAGGTATTAACGATGTGAATCAAGGCAGCTGATGCTGGTGGGCAAGATTGAAGGTCAAGAATAAGTGTGAAGAATGAGAGTGAGAGATGGTTGAGAGAGACAGTGAGAGTTGAGAAAGTAAAGGAAAAGGAGCAAAGAGCTTGATTGAAGAAGGAGATGAGGGAGATGCAGGTGTCAAAGTTAAAAACTAAAATGAGGGCGAATGCGCAACCAACTCTGGAGTCCGGCAACAGTGCCGTGCAGCAATTGGATCTTTGTACGACTGCCACTACTGTAAGAGGGGATGGATTTTATCGGCGGCTTATCGATGTTTCCGGAGCGACTGGATCGTCAAGCACTCAAGCGAGAGGAGGAGAGCGAGAGGGCGTAGGTAACCTACAGTATCCTATGAGGAGGCGAGAAACTCAGTGCGAGGCAACCAGCACTGACCAGGGCCACCAGGGGTCCCTGTTAGAATGTTAGAATGTTCGCATGGGTCTCCCCGTTTTGCCCACTCAAGCCTCTTTCTTTTTGCCTTTTCCCTGGTGAAATTGTGGCCTAAACAGTCAGGCCTGCCCCCTTCCCCTCCAGCGAGAGAGGCGGCTGAAGGAGGCTGGGAGGCTGGGGGGCTTGATTGCCCCCTAAAATTGTCATGCATGGCGATATTAATAGTGGCTGCGCTCCCGCCGCTAACCACCGAGTTTCAGGCCTAGCGTGCGGACTCGCCAGAGCAAAAGTCCGGGGCTGGGCAGGGCTGGGCATTTTGCGCAGCAGCCATTGGATGTTGCACACCAGGGCAGTCAACTCTTTCTGCCCTTGTCCCCTCCATGACCGAACTCGTGTTCCCCTGGTTTTGGCATGGTTTTTGGCATGGTTGACAGTTGGCCGACGGTTGATTGGTTGTTGTTGTCCCCTGCCTGAAAATCCCTGCGCCCGAAGTTGCTGACACGAAACTGACGCCACCAGACGCGAAACTTCCCACTGCCCACTCAAGCACTTTACGCGACCACTTTTTCATTGGATGGCACATCATCGTGGCTGGACAATTTCGACGTTTGACAGTTTGCTCTCATGGAAAAAAGTGGGCTGAGCCATCCAACGAGGAAGAGGAGGAGAGAGAAAAAAGGGTTGGGATGAGATTACTCGTGCTCCATATTCCCAGCACAATGTATATGCCTGGCACGTTTACCTGCCTGGCCTTTTCCTTGCTGACAATGGGCGCTGTACGAGGTTCTTGGTATGCAGAACGAAGGATTCGATGGCTTCATTATTTGCAAGGCCAGACATTTGTTGTGTCTATCCTCTATTGCCTCGTCTCCCTCCCTTCTTCCCTCGTTCAGCATGCGCTCTCAAGATCTTCCGGTGCTCGACTAAACTCCTCTTCCCCTTGGACTTCGCCTTTCCCAATGTCATCAAGAAATTCTTTTTACGAGCCTTCTCCTTGTTTGTTGTGCTCTTGCCCTCAGACTCTTTACGTTCCTTCTTGCGGGCGGCTTTAGATTTGTGTGCCTCGCGGTCATCTTTATGTTCCTGCAGTAAGGCCAGCTTCTGTGCTCGAGTCGCTTTGCCGCGAGAGAGCGAAGCCAGACCTTCGATCTCGGCGGCCGTGAGAGGGTCGTCCATGTGTCGTTGCGAATTAGTCTGTAACGATGTGGTTGATGCGTGATGTGATTTGTGCTTCATGAGCGACGAGACTGAGGCAGTCGTTCGAAGTTCTTGCAACTTGGCCAGATCTGCGGGCGTCAATATTCGAGTCGTGGCCAGTTTCGACTTCTGCTGTGCTGTCGTTAGGTCAGCAGCTTCGTCGCCTTCGTTCTCTTTGTCGTCGCTGGCAGACGCTGGCGGAGCAAACCGTACTTTCTTCGCTGAGGGTTGCTCGTCCTCGCTATCACTGATGTTGATCTCGTCGTCACTCTCGACGTTGATCCACCCTCCTGAATCATCGCTGTCTGCGTCTTCTTCGATGTTCCAAGCATTCCAGTCTTCCTCGTCGCTTTCTTGTTCTTCTTCCTCGTCGTCAGAGCCAGCGGCTGCGGGAAGACCCTTTTCCAGTCTCCTTCTCTGCCTCTCCTGCTCCTTCCACTTTTCCAGGAGCTCCAACCCTTCAATCTCACCAACAGCCTCTTCACCAAATCTCGGCTGTTTCTGTTCCCCAGACTTCAAGCCTAGGGTTGCGTCTCGCCCACGGTCTCTTTTTCGAAGCATTTCGGCGCCTACTTGTCTGTAGAGGCTCAAAAGACCTTTCGCTGCCATCATCACCCCTTTATCCTTGCTTTTCCGATACATGACCAGATCTTGTAGCAGGGTATCATTCATAGCTAATGGTTGCCGCACACAAATCTCGCGAATGGCGTTCAATCCTGCCGCGGCTACCTCTCCAGCAGCGGCCTCAGATACAAATTCGTTAGCGATCTTCTGTATTAAGGGCTCCACAATATCCGGCGGCACAAGATTATGCGTGGACTGCGCTAGCGATGCCAAAAACGATGTGACCGAGGGCTGTCCAGGAGTCAAATATTTGAGAAAGTAGGAGTAGAAGCTAATAACGGTCAACTTGTGCAGTCCGATTAGTCGCGACACTAGCTGTAACGCCAGCAGCTTTTGTTCGAGGTTCAGCTTTGACTTTGCGCTCTGTAGATGCTTTGAGAACAAGCTCTCAGCAAACCCTTGCGGATCGTGTAAGAGATGCAGCGCTGAGAAGTTCAAGGGATGAGGCTGGCCTTTCTTCTTCTCCTTGCGGCGGACGGTAGCGGCGGCCTTTTCTAGTTTTCTCTCCGTCTTCTTGCTCTTCTTATTGACGCCGATCTGATGCCGTAGCTTACTAATGTCGACCGTTTCCTCGTCAGAGCTCTCGTCTTCCAACTCTTCTCGCTCCTTGTCACCGCCTAGAAAGAAGCGTAGGCCCCCCACGACGCATTTCTCGTTGTCGGCGAGCGCCGCCTCTTTCATGATCTCGACGGCTTTTGCGTCCGTCCAGATCTGGCGCTTCCACATCTCTCGCGTGATCTTGACGGCCCAGAGGGCCTTGGGCGACGACCGGTCGTCCGTGACCAGGTTATGTAGCGTCGTCTGCACGCTGCGGTTGAGTTTGTGATTCGTCGTCTTAGAGTTAGCCGAGCGCAGGTCGCTCAGAATCTTCGTGAACAGCAGCGCCCGCAGCGACTTGCTGGGCGTGGTAGTGAGGACTGGGAAGAAACACTGCAGTAGGGTGTGTGAGTCGATAATCTCCTTCTTACGTAGCAGCACCAGGCTGCCCACAATCTTCTCCCGCAGTTCGGGCTCCAGCGTCGCATGCTGCGTCGACAGCATCTCGATCAATTGTTTGGGAAAATCTCTCGTCTCTTCCTTGTAGCAATCGGCCACGTGCGCCACGAACTCGATCAGGTCGCGGAATGAGATGACGCCGCCGCTGCTGGCCGTGGCCGACGTTGGCGCCTGCATGAAGATCTGTCGCTGGTTCTCATACTGGATGTACTGGTGCAGGAAGTCGGTGTGGTAGGATTTCGGGTCCCGTTTGATCTTGTTCTGCAGGTTTGCGAGGTCTGCGTCGACCTTTTCGAGCGCACCGAGTTTTCGCTTGCCCATGTTCTCCCTGCCTGATTCCCTCTTTCTTGCGGCCTGTAGGTAGTCAATTGGGAAGTGAATGAAACCTGGTAAAATCTCGCCCAAACCCATGGGGTTTTCGTCTGCGGACTTTTTTTTGGGGAAGATCTAATCTTGATTAGATCAAGTTTTCAACGATAAGTCATATCATATCGTCTGACAATGACAGCTCCCTTCAAGTCACGCCTATTTCAAATGCGAACTGCGCTAGGCAGTGCAGTCTGACACAAAATATACGTCCACCATACTATTTAATGAGACAGCCATTGGACACCGATGACATTGATGTAGGTAGTAGTCACATAGTCAATACAGCCAACAAGAACAAAAAATACCACTGTCTCGAATGGCAGGTGTAGCACAGAACCTGATACCTCCTTTCTTCTAGGCATAGAATAGAACCTCCTCTCCCACGAAAAACGCCACTTGATTCTCTGAAAAGATATCTGTCTTGCCAAATCGTATGTACAAGTTTCATCGCCGTTACCCAAAAACAAAAAACACATTCCTTGAACCATCATTTCCTCCAGCAGATCAGAAATACAGACCCGAATGTGTTGCTGGAAAAGGGACCTGTCCCGTCATACTTCGTTGTGCGTGCGGTCGACAGAAAGGGAGGCAGGTCACTCTGCAGGGTATACAATGATGATCCACATCACTCTGAGGGTATACCCGGTGCCAGTGCCCGTGCCAGTGTCGGTAAGGCCTCGCCATATTCCTAATTGTTGTGGAGATTGGTTCCCAGTGATGATACAAAGGGTAGCAAACTCCCACATAGTCGCCAGCGATGCAACTATCAGGCCATTCTCATATGACAAACACGTGTGCAATGGGCAAGCCACCAATGGCGCACTATCGCGCACGACTATGTGTTAGCTGGCCGAGGCGCATAGCGTACGCCTGAGAGGGCAAGTCCCCTGAGCAGGACATGTTGCGCAATTGGATCCTCGAACAGGAAGTCCCTGCGAGGATGTTCTTTGTCGACCATATCTTCACACTGAGCCCGATAGTGCCAGATCCTGAGGATTCTCGACGACGTCTTCTAGCCAGACACTCTCGTCTACCATTCTTAATGATCCGTCGACGCCGAATACAGCTTTATGCCACTGCAATTTGACGTGCCGCCGGCCCTCGTTCACGTTTCCCTCGATAATAGCCACGTAGTGTATTCGGCGCTCCTCCGGTGGCAGAGAAAGGATCGAGGTTGTTAAAGGATGTTCGAGGAAATCGTCGTGGCCTTCTTCTACAGCTATCATCTTTTCGACCACTCGCGGGGATGCGAGGGCCGCCCAGACACTTTCTCGGGGAGGGACCTTCCGTATCAGACGTAAAGCCTTCCTGCGTAGAAGCGCATTACGGCATTTAGTAGCTGCAAAATACAGTGGTAGGAGGACTTGGACTTCTCCTGTGAATATTGCGCCGTTGATCTCGTCTGCTGCGCGGTGGTCGATAACGTCTTCCGCGTTTTGAATAATGGCCGCAAATTCGTCCATGTATTCGTCAAAAGACACCTCATGTGGACTCAGGCAGCTGGATAGCCAAACATGACTGACACCCCAATACATCAGGAGATAGGAAGAAATCCACATCCACCTTGTCTCAGTGTCTCGCAAGCTAGCCAAGATGGGTACGAAGGCATCCTTCCATTGTTGCAATTCTTGGAGATATCGCTGCTGTGCCGGCCTCAACTTCCGCATCTCATAATCATCGTAGGCTAATATATCTGTCACCCGGATAACCTCGTAGGCCTTGAACATGAGCATGTATAGATGCTCTCTGAATTTATCGAGGACAGATAAAGTCCTGACATTGGTACGTCCTGAGATATGTTGTCCGGAAAGCAACGTCCATTCTGGGGTAGCGAGGGTGGCCATGAGTATCGCCTTTCGCGAGGTAAATGCCGTCAATGACTCGTCGAGGTGAGTGTCTCCGGTAATCTGCTTGGCCGGAGAATTCGAGAGGTTCTCGCCTAGTATCTTGTACGCATTGTCCATTAAGAGTAGCGCGTTACCAATGTTCCTCTGCTGGAACTCAAAGGCGCCAAACAGGATGCAGCTCAAAAGACCATGTACATTATCCGCCTCGCCTTGCTCGAGCATGCGACGAAAACCTACAAGAGCTTTAGAATACCACTTTAAAGCGCGGCGGTGTTCGGCGTTGAGAATAGTAGTAGTTAAGCCGCCTGTGTCGAAAACAGGCCTCAGGTCTCGATATTCGACGTGCTCAAAGGCCCAACTAATCGTGATGACCATGTCCCAGACAAAGGTATACGACTGGGCAAGCCGAGGGATCAACTCGAGCCAAAATGGCCCATCGACGATTCCAGCAAATAATGGAGCCGCTCGCCAGATGAAATAATTGAAGGCCCACCGTTCAGCATGGCTCCGCTGCGGTGTGTGCAGGGAGAGCTCAGCTAGCAGGGCGTGATATTTCGGAGGCGATAGCTGATCCTCAGCAAAGCGAATGTGGCGACCGACAGGACCTTCGCACTTTCGACCTGTCTCGGTACATTTTCTGCAGTATGGTTGCGACTCGTCGCACTTAATCTTACCTGGAACTCGACTGTTAGTCTGCACGGCTGTTGATAGTCCTAGCGGCAAGATTGCACGCCATATGCCGACTGGTCATGGAAAAGGGAGACATACGGATCCTAGATGATGGATCAGTACCCTGGCCGAGAAAAATTGTACGCGACACTACAATCATGACAACTTACTTGCAGGTCAAGCATCCAGTCTTGGATTTTGATTGACCGTTTCGACGAGAGCTCATCGGGGTGGCGTGCGTAGTCTGGACAACAATCGACCAATTAATCACAGGAGAAACAGCTGGCTCAGCAGCATGGTAGAATGGCTGTGGTGTCAAAGGAACGAGAACAAAGAACCCAAACGCCAAACGTGGGAACACACAAGCCCGTTCAATGGAGAGTCTGACATGAATGAATTTCCCCTGAACGTCTTTGAAATCGGCCGAAACTGCTGGTCAGACCAAAATAAATCCGCAGTTGGTCCGGTTGTACGAACCTGCGCTGGAACTTGCGGTCCTCCAACCTTGTGCTCCCAAGGGGGGTCGTGTGGGATATCCGAGACTTCAGTGGATCTCCAGCACCTTTGACGATTCGACTCGCTCGGGTTCTCGATCAAACCAGGTTAGTGCGTGGACAGGCGCTTTCCCGTTTTAGGCTTTCGATATCAACGGGCCCTGGCTTCTAGGGCCTTGGTTCAGCAAGAATGGTAATGGAAGATGGAAAGTGACCAACCTTGTTTTGCAGGCTGTCAATGCATGGACCGCAAAAGGACGTGGTTGCCGCCCTCTGAGACAGTGCGCTTGATGGCACTCGCCATGGTACCGCGTATTGAAATTGCGCTTGCGAGCGGTATATATGAAGGAGAGATATCCTATGGGTACACCTGCGGTGTCCAAATAACAGGCTTCTTTTTCTCTCTCTCTTTCTGCAGTTGCATACTTCCACTCGCTCCAGTTGTCAAGTCCATCTCTTTCTGTACTTATACGTGGACAAACCTCCTGTCGCTAGCCCAAAACCATTCACTCGCGCAAAGCTGAGATCAAAGACCAAAGTCCGCCCAACACAACATCACAAGCAATCAACTCTGCTCCTATTTCCTCTTTGTTCGACTCGCGATCTATCTAACCAATAAACTCACCATGGGTATCCCGGATCAGATTGTCGTCCTATTGGTCATCATAGGCGCTGCGGCTTTCGTCACCATGGGCTTTGCCTTCCAGAGGCTGTTCGGTGGGCAAGATCCGAACGAAGGGAAATTCAACGTCAAGCTACCCGAGCAGGAAGCGTATATGAGGGAGGTGCGCTCCAGAAACATGATGCAGCTCTTTGGGGAAGTCAGACCTTCACATCGCCATCCTCGAGAGATATGAAACCCCCACCCGGTCGGTACAACACCACGAGGGCAGGCCCCTTCCGATACTTCTTTGAGGCTTTGCAGCAGAAAGAAGCGGGGACGTTAGAGAAAAGGATCAAGAAATGGGACATTTGGGATAATAATGAACAAGCTCCTCAAGTCCATACGGGTTTCCAAACTGATGGTCACCCCTCAGCGCCAGCCCGCGTTTGCCAACGCAGAACACCTGGACGACTCGTGCCAGGTGATAAGCAAAACAAGGAAGATCGACCGGCATAGAGAAGGGACAAGTCAAAATATAGACAACAACGGCAACGAACAAGTCAAGGAAACCTGCTCGGTTTCAGAGAATCCATATACCTTGTCAGAAATACCCTCTGACCTGGTGGAAGAATGCGTGCATGGTGTTGAGAGCAAATGGGTACATGGCGAAAGATAGGTTTTTTTATAGCGAAATTCCAGCGATCTGAACTTGGGTCTTCATCATATCGCCGGTCGTACTTTCTGTCTTAAAACTCACCTCCACTCGCCTTATTGAAATCCAGGCTGTAATCCCGACGTGGCTGTAACACGTGCAAAGCTGAAAAGACGGACAGAGCTGCACAGTTAGTCATCGTTTACTCGAATAAAAAGGAGGGCCGAACAGTAAAACAGAAATGAGCTCCACATCGTCAAAACGTTCATGCCATTTCGAAATTTTTGTGGACATTCGGCATCATCTATGCGCTGAATCTGCAAGTCTGCTAATCCCATGGGATAGCCGCGCGTGTGCTAAACTTTCGATTGATGCTCCCCTCCCTTCCCCAAAAGCGGACGATGACTACAGTATCATCGACATGCTTGAAGTGACTGCCATGAAATGCAAGTCGTAGGACCATGTGTGATCTCCGGATCTCTGAGGTAACAACCATCCATATCCCATTAACCGCTTTACCGATTGCTCTTGGCCACACGCTCCAACTCGTCCTTCTTCTTGATGGCGTACGAGTTGCTGCTTCCCTTGGCAGCGTTGATCAGCTCTTCGGCAAGGCACTCGGCAATGCTCTTGACGTTCCGGAATGCGGCTTCGCGGGCGCCAATGGTGAGCAGGGCGATGGCCTGGTTGACACGGCGGAGAGGGGACACATCGACGGCTTGTCTTCGGACTGTACCGGCGCTGCCAATTCTGGTGCTGTCTTCACGAGGGCCACAGTTGACGATGGCATCGACGGCGATTTGGATGGGGTTCTGGTCGGTCATGATGTGGATCTAAAGAGACGAAAAAATTCGAGTCAGATGTCGTTCCTGTATAGATATTTTTCTGGAATTGTAGAAGAACACGTACGATCTCAAACGAGTGTGCCACGATTCTGATAGCCATCAGCTTCTTGCCGTTGTTTCGACCGTTCATCATCAGGGAGTTGGTCAGTCGTTCGATGATGGGGCATTGTGCCTTTCGGAAACGCTTTGCGGCATATCGACCCGCGGAGTGGGAGATGTAGACAGGGGATCGGATTTGGATGTAGTCGCTGTTCAACAGATGATCTTGTCAGTCACTCTTCTTTCCTGCGCTGTCATCAGTGTCCGGAAATGGGCTTTTCGTACGTCAATGAGATGTCTCTGACTTCGACATCCTCATAACTCCAGCGCCCGAAGAGCTTCACGCTCCCAATCTCTTGCATGACATCTTTGGGCAGGACGGGCCAACCTGAGGTTGGGTTTTCGACTTCAACCTCGCCGTTGTCGGACATGTTGACGAGCTGATTTTGTGTGGACTTGTCGAGTTTGAGACGGATCACTCGTGCTGCTGCGATCTTGTGGAGGCTCGATTTTTAGTTGTGGGATAAATTCTTGCCAAGATGTCTTAGTCACGTGAAAAATGGACATATCTGCACTTTGTCGAAAGTGGGATAGCACGATACGCATCGTTAGGCCACTGCTGTTGGGTGGCTGTGGCTGCACACACCTGCTTATGTGCTTCACAGCATTCAGAACCACGATCAAAATCTTATCACGCAACTCGTTTTGGTAATGCAACAAGATTAAAGACCATCTATACCAATACCAACATCTAGACTGAGGCTCGCTTCTCTACGCTGCTAGGTCTTCTCATGTGCTCAACTTCGTGTTCGACACCTCCAGCGGGCTTGGGTCCAACATAGTCTTTTCTGGCACCAAGCAACCACCACGCCGTGACAAAAGTCGTCAGACCTCCCCAGATCAAACAGGCATAGTTCATGGTTTCCGCATCCGTGGGCAGAGCAAAGGGGAAGCAGTAGATCACGAACCACACGATCATGTACCCGCACGCAATCGTATTCATCGCGACGCCGAATTTTCCCAGGTGGAACGGGCCGAATTTGATGTTCTTGCGGCCAGTCAGGAGGTGAGGCAGGATTGCTGCGATGTAACTATTTTCGTGTTAGTGAATCTGGTCGCGCATATCGCATTTGGTAGATTTCTTGAAGTACCTTCCCGACGACATCAGAACGAAACTCCCCACGAATGCATTGAAGGCCGTAGCACTCCCGACGTAGATGCTGCATCGTCCATCGTTAGCTAGGATCACGAAATGCGGACAAAAACACTCACCAGCCCAGCACGGTAACCAGACAACCACACACAAGAGTTGCGTTCAGAGGCATTTCTAACCTCTTGGATACCTTTCCAATGTATTGAGGGAAGGGAGTGGCATTGTCTCGGCCGAGCGTCCATAGTGTTCTACCGGCCGTGATGTATACTCCCACCAAGCAGGTTGCGATGCAGAAGAGGAAGGGACACAACAGCCCAATGGCACCGCCAGCCGAACCAGTGGCCTGTCGATAAATCTCGGCAAGTGGGAATTGTGCATTGAACAGAGCATCGTAGTCGCTTATTGCGTACATCTGCAATTGATCTGTCAGCAACAACAGACGACAGACTGCCAAGTAGATCGAGAACTCACGATCGCGATAATGTAGCAGATTCCAGTGACGAATCCAATGCTCATTTGTAAACCGATGGCGATTGGGATGTTCTTGCTAGGATATGGGACCTCCTCGGCGATATGACTGCAGCGTAAGATTAGTTTCCCATATTTCTCATGGTCGTACTCTATGCTGATTGAACGAACCTCACAGCATCCGGAGTGCCGACAGAGTATGCGCCATTCAACATTCCAGCGACAAAGACAAATCCATTGGGATATCCTATATCTGCAGTCCACTCGCTCCAGACGAAGCTAGACGAGGCGTGTGGTGGGTGGTTGCCCGATCCCGGTATTGCAGCGCTGGAAATGGTCAGTTTGATCCCTTCTCTCAGATCGATAGCGAGACTCACACGACAATAATCGTGACTAGGAAACCGCATAAGAGAAGGACGATGCCGACGGTGTTCAAATACGGCATCGCCTTGTTAAATAGACACACGCAGGAGCATGCAATCCACGTTACAATCTAAACCATCATTAGCCGATGCTGGCCTTGAAAGGGCTTTGCTTTGGTGGCAGTAATTGACTTACGAGGTATGTCACAAAGACATGCCATCGTTTCGCAATGAAGTCGGGATGTTCCAGAGCATACATCTGCACAAATGTGTTCGCTGGAGAGCATGAGCATTTATGCCGTTCAACAACAGGAGGGACCACAAACCAAGGATAGAACTCATTGAGGCTGCACCAAACACCCAGGCCAGCCAGTTCCAGAATCCAGCATAGAACCTGTTCACCCAGACGGTCAGCTCATTGGTTCAACCAACTCTTTAAAGATGGAGCATACCCAACCACGCGACCCCATGTCTTGCCTGGAGTGACTGAAGCCCAATGATAAACCCCGGCACTGGAAGGTATAGCTGAAGCCAACTCTGCCAAAGATGCCGCTACTATCCAATAGAAGACCGAAACTGCGATGAACTCGTAGATGACTCCGGGAGGCCCGCCATTGAAGATAGCGACCAGGATTGACCCTCCGACAGCGGGCCAGACAGTGCCAACGACGAGTCCCACACCAGCAGCGGCGAGAAGGCTGAAGTTTCGTTCAAGTTCCTGTACATGACCAGATGCATTGATAAGTTCAGAAACACCCGCTTCTGGGTGATCTGTATTGTCGGATGGAGGGCTAGTCGCGACCTCGTTTGGAACGGCGTCTTTCTTTTCATCCACGGTCGCCATTGTTGGTGCTTGTCACTTACTGGAAAGGCTCTTTGGGGGCCAAAATAACAGAGAAAGAGAAAGGAAACAAGAAACTCCCGGCTGATATATATTACCTGGTACTCGACTACTCTATCGGCATCCTTGGGAGATTGTCAGTCTGATAGGCGCATCTCGCCCAGCACATCTGCCATCAAAACATGGCAAGGGAACTCGGATCTGCGCATGGGGACAGATACCGGATGATAGCCACTAGGGAGCTCATGTCCGCGATCCTTGGCCTGACCAGGTGCTTTGTCTCTTAATCGCCAGCCGAGCCACGAGGGCGACGACTTCCAGGATTCGATTGGCAAAATTGGAAACAAGCGATAATTCGAACCAGGAGTCGAGATAGGGAATCGTGCGGAGAGAGATAGCTGACACCAAATAATGTCAAGTAAGAAATCGATCGTCAGGCACTCCATCTCCATTTTTTTTTCTTTCTCGACACCAGCTAAATTTGATGAGGCAGGAGGAAAAGCCCTAATCCTGGACATCCACGAGGCCAAGCACCGACTATTTGGCCTCCACCACTACCAGCTGTGGTATGACCTTAGAAGAAACTTTCCCCGCCGAGTGGACGACAAGGCGTTCGATATTGGGCCGTATCAAATGGGCGTCCATGGCGGTATCTTAGGTTATTATTGGGGGGCAACGACCACGACTAAGACGTCTTTGTCATCTCCACATTCTCAGCCTCGAGTGCCAGACGCACATATCCGCTTGAGACATTGATGGGATATGCGTCAAATTCACGCATGCCCTTTGTGCGCCTGAGGACGAGGATCATCATCCAGGCTGCTGTAAACGTCCAAATCCAACATGGCTGAAGGCTCGAGCTCGTTTCTTGGACTCGAGGGTCTTCATGTTTTCGTCACCGGATCAGCTGGTGGAATTGGAGGTGCTGCGGTAAAAGAATTTCTCGGTAGGTAGCTCTCCCCAGAAGTATATGCTTCGAAAACGGCGTGTTGATAGTCATTCTCAGCTCTTGGATGTCGTGTCACGGCCTTTGACCGCAGATCGATCGATAAATCAACGCTTTGCTCATCTCCGGAGCAGTTGTCCAGGCTCTTCACGACTCAAGGTGACCTGACGTCTGAAAAGTCTGTCGCTGAAGCATTCCAAGCTGCGACCGACCACTTTGGCGCACTCAACATCTTGATAGCCAACGCGGGTATCACGGATGAAAGCTCTCATCCGCCGATATGGGAAATAAAGGAGAGTCTGTGGGACAAGGTCTGGAATTTTTCTCGAGGGGGTATGGCCTAGAACCTTTTGCTCATGTCACGATAGGTCAATGGCAATAACGTCAAGGGCACATTTCTGACGGTCAAGCATTTCTTACTCTCGGTGAAGACGGCACAAGAGGCAAAGGGAGCTGAAATTGACAATGTTTCCATTGTCATCACTGGCTCCGAGACCGGGAAGTTTGGCCAAGAAGGACATGCAGAGTGAGTCGACAGGTATTTCAAGAAGCTCCTCCAGAAGATGCTAAACTTTTGGCAGATATGCATCTGGCAAGGCGGGCCTCCAATACGGTCTCGTTCGTACAGTGAAGAACGAAATTGTTCGCCTGAACTCCAAAGCCCGGATCAATGCCGTGGCACCCGGATGGGTGAATACCTCTCTCATTGGTGATCGCTTGGACGATCCTCGGGAGATGTGGGCAGAATGTCAGGCGACGGTTGCGCTGAAGAAGATCGCACAGCCCGAAGACGTAGCACGAGCTATGGCATTCTTGGCTAGCCACCGTGCAGCTGGCCATATCTCCGGAGAATGCATTTCCGTCGACGGTGGGATGGAAGGCCGGATCATCTGGCGAGAGGAGCAAGTCTTGGGAAACAATAAAAAGGAATCTACGCTCCAGATGGCCACCATACCCGCCTCCTTGACTCCAGCGACAAGAAAACGACGAATCCGCATTTGTCTCTCTGTTGATTTTGACGCCATTTCAGGTTATCTAGGCACAGGCCATGATCCCCAAAATACCCTCTCCGACTACTCGGCCGGCATTTTCAGCGCCAACGTGGGGGTGGGCAGACTGCTGCGCCTGTTCAAGAAACACGGCATCTCCGATAAACTCACCTGGTTTGTCCCCGGTCACAGTCTTGAGACGTTCCCATTGCAAGCGCGGGAGATCGCTGAGAGTGGAGCGGAGATCGGAATACATGGATATAGCCACGAGGGGGCATATGCAATGACTGTTCAACAGGAGAAGGATGTTTTGCAGAAATGCATCGGCCTGATAAGCGAGCTCAGACAAGGTAAGAGACCAGTTGGATATCGAGCACCGCTTTACCAAATCCGTGAGACGACTGTCAAGCTCCTCCAAGACCACGACTTTCTTTACGACAGTAGCATGAACGCCCACGACTCTTTGCCTTACTTCCTGGTGAACCCCTTTCCACAAGAACCACCGCATGTCCCGGACTATAAGAAAGAGGCCAGCACTTGGATGGTCCCCACCAAAATACCCGAACAGCCACAGCCAGGCACCGCTGAAGCCAACAAGGCTCTAGTGGAGATACCCTCGAGCTGGTATACGGAGGACATGACGCCTGTAAGTGCCTTGCGTCCCATGTAATGAATCTTGTCCTGACTCTCATCAGCTTGGATTTTACCCTTATGCTGCCAACACACAAGGATACGTTGGAGTCGACCTAGTCGAAAAGATGTGGTGGGACAGGTTCGAATGGCTATGGGAGAATGAAAGTTGGTTGGATGAAGGGCCTGGGAAAGGCTACGGCGCGGTGTATCCGTAAGTGACACTAATGCTGCTTCCATAAGCGATCCAACCCCCTAGAGGCAATTTGCTAATCACAGGATCGACCTTTTGTAGCATGATCTGGCATCCTGAAAGTGCGGGTCGGGCACATATCGTGGGCATGATTGACCGATTCATTGGAAAGCTCGTGCAACGGCAAAAGGCGGCAGGGGACGGCGAGATCACGTTCGAGACGATGGAAGGGGTCGCCCAGAGTTGGCAACAGAAGCGCTCGTAGGGAACCTAGACAGGATATTGAAGTCAATATACCGAGTATAGGTGTCGATTACCTAGCATTACCTCAGCTCTGGGCGGTGATCAAGTGGCTGCGACGGGCTGCGAGTAGATGGTGGCGTCCAGTAGTTCTCTCAGCCTTATGTGAGTTACTTGCATTGGCAGAGGAGAAGAACAAACGCAGCTCGGAATAGATGTGCGCAAAAAGTGTGGGACGGTAGGGGAAAGTCATCTACTAATTGCTGGAAGAGGAATAAGAAACACGATGCTGACTCTTATCGTGGCTGATTCAGCAATCCACAGTAAAGATGAGGGGATGAGGGGATGAACCCTTTGGCCATTCCTGGCTCGGGCTGCCCTACTTGTAATAGGCTGGCCCGACGTCCCGACGCCTTTACGTACGGGTAAAGAACCCCCCTAGACTCGACCACTCAACCACCTAAACTAAACCTTCTAGGGCCCTGTTCTAGCTTAGCTGAAAGCCTGCAGTGACTGGCTCCGGTCAAGTATCTTCCAGGCCAGTTACGAACCGGCGTTAGTTCAACATCCCTCCTGCGGTGGTTCGCGCTTCAAAGTTGCAGAACCCTGACAATGATGTCGCCTGCACGCTGGACACAGACAGGGAAAAATGATGATATACTCTTTAACCTGGCGACCTTCAAGATCTATCTTCCCCTTCCTGTGCCATCATCCATAGCAGTGATTACGTCTCTGTCACCGCCCATGCCCACCTGACTCAAGTGACCCTAACAACGACCCAGTCTCTCTCACCGTCACCGGCTGCCTATTTCTTGCGTCCTCTGATTGCTGCTGTCCTTTCCTCTTCGTTGTGCCCAAAGTGGTATCTCTACCTCTTCGTATCTTCCCAACACATCCTTAATGTCTCGTTAGGTGCGATAATGTCTAACTCAGATCCACCTGCTACTCCGCCGCGACAAGGCGAACCTATCCCTCCCATCATCCTGGAAGAGGCGGAAGCTGCAGCTGCAGCTGCTCAAGAGGAGGCGTCTGATGGTGCAAGACAATCAAATGTGTCCAATTCGTCGCCGGAAGGGCATGTACGACATCATGGCGGCGTCTCTCCTCATCTGGAGGATGTCCCTCCACCAGCATATAATGGCGCTGAGTATGGACAACTAGACATCAGTCAGAACGGCCTTGACACGGGCGCGAGGATAGCCAGTGATGGCCGAGTCAATATCAATATCAACCAGCACAAGGGGAAGCTCACGAGCTTGCTTTTGCCTGCGCTGCGCCGTCAGTTGGAGTTGTCGAGGCAGAAACCGCCACCAGAGCCCCCAGTTCCCGAGGGATTGGGAGATGTGGATGGCCTACCTCCGCCACCGATGAACATTGTGATTCAAATCGTGGGTAGCAGAGGAGATGTGCAGCCATTTGTGGCATTGGGCCAGGTGCTGAAGAACAAGTACAAGCACCGCGTCAGAATCGCCACCCATCCCACGTTCAAACAATTTGTCACTGAGAATGGTCTGGAATTCTTCAGCATAGGGGGCGACCCGGCCGAACTCATGGCATTCATGGTCAAGAATCCGGGTCTGATGCCGGGCATGGACTCGCTCAAAAGCGGAGATGTGGGCAAGCGAAGAAAAGGAATCTACGAAATCGTCACGGGTTGTTGGAGATCCTGTATCGAAGCTGGGGACGGCATGGGCATGCCGGTCAGCGATGACAATATGGATACGCGCAGCTTTGACAGTGCCGTGTCTTTCGGCATAGATCCGACTTTGAAGCCCTTCGTCGCAGATGCAATCATTGCCAACCCCCCAAGTTTCGCCCATGTGCATATTGCAGAGAAGTTGGGCATTCCACTTCATCTTATGTTCACCATGCCTTGGTCGCCAACGCAGTCTTTCCCACACCCCCTCGCCAACATCATCTCTTCAAATACTGACGCCAGTATCACAAACTTTGTCACCTACGCCTTGGTAGATATGTTGACCTGGCAGGGTTTAGGAGATGTTATCAACAGGTTTCGAGAAAGGAGTCTCGGCTTGGAACCCGTGAGTATCATGTGGGCACCCGGTATGGTCAGTCGACTGCGCATCCCATGGACGTATTGTTGGTCGCCGGCTTTGATTCCAAAACCAGCAGACTGGGGCAGCTATATCGACATTTCGGGGTTCTTCTTCCTAAATCTGTCCACGAATTATACACCGCCACAGGATTTGGCAGATTTCCTAGCTGCTGGGCCACCTCCTGTCTACATTGGATTCGGCTCGATTGTGGTGGACGATCCAAATGCCATGACCAAGATGATATTTGATGCCATCAAGAAGACGGGCCAGCGAGCGATAGTCTCGAAAGGCTGGGGCGGGCTCGGGGCCAATGAGTTGGGAATACCTGAAGGCGTCTTCATGATTGGCAACTGTCCTCACGATTGGCTGTTTCAACATGTGTCGTGCGTCGTGCATCACGGTGGTGCAGGTACAACTGCCGCTGGTATATTAGCCGGTCGGCCGACGGTGGTGGTCCCATTCTTTGGTGATCAACCGTTCTGGGGCTCAATGACCGCCAGAGCTGGAGCAGGTCCCATGCCCATTGCATACAAGAATTTGAATGCCGACAAGCTCGCACACTCGATCTTGGAAGCATTAAAGCCTGAGTCGCTTGAGCGCGCAAAGGAGCTGAGCACGAAGATTAAGGCAGAAGATGGTTGTGAAGCTGGCGCACAGTCGTTTCATAAGCAGTTGCACATGTCGAATCTCCGATGCTCATTGGATCCATCACGCATTGCAGTCTGGCGTGTAAAACGAACAGATATCCGGCTGTCACCACTTGCAGCCACTGTTCTAGGAACCGAAGGTCTGCTGGACTTCTCGGACCTTAAGCTTTACCGACCTCGAGAGTATGAGACAGAAGACGGCCCCTGGGAGCCGATATCTGGTGGTGCAGCCGCCTTGATTGGGACTCTGGGAAACCTTTCCATGGGTATCGCAGACTTCCCCGTCGAAATCCTCAAGTCTTTGAAGACAGCGTCGGGAGAATTGAAAGAAATCCACGAAAGACGCTCAAATAGTGGCACATCCACGCCTATTGCGCCCTTGGAACGCTCTTCTGAAGTCGCTAGTTCGACCTCTGGGGCGATCACGCCTGTCCAGTCTGAACCGTCACTTTCGTCAGGAACCACAGCAGTGCCGGCGCCTTCATCCTTGTCGACAGTCTTAAGCGCAGATGGATCGGCCAAAGTTCCCCACCATCACCGGCACCATAGCCTGACTCACCATCGATCCCGATCTCGCTCTGGTTCGCCAGCAGCCAATGACAGTCGCGAATCCTGTGTTGGTGAAGAGGTTGGGCAAGTCTCACTGGACACCGCAATCTCTGGAGCCAAAGCTGCGGGTAAAATCATTTCAGCTGGCGTCAAATCACCCATGGACTTCACATTGTCCCTGGCAAAAGGATTCCACAATGCACCGAAGCTGTATGGAGACGACACGGTACGACAGAACGAAAAAATCGTGGGACTTCATTCCGGCTTGCGAGTGGCGCGCAAAGAGTTCAGCTATGGCTTCTATGACGGCATCACCGGACTCGTCACCCAGCCATTGGCAGGGGCGAAGAAAGAGGGCGCAGCTGGTTTCTTCAAGGGGGCGGCCAAAGGTCTCGGTGGTCTGGTTCTCAAGCCGGCCGCGGGCATTTGGGGCCTCCCTGGATACACCGCAAAAGGCATCTACAGCGAGATTTCCAAGCACTTTGGAAGCTCCGTACAGAATTATATCATTGCGGCTCGAACAGCGCAAGGATTCGAGGACTGGAAAAACAGTTCTCCCGAGGAACGACAACGAATTGTTACCGCCTGGAAAGATGGCAGGCTGGAAACCCGGAAACATGGACAATTGTACGGGAATGATCGCAAGGTGGCGATTGAAAGCCACATTATCACGAGGACCAACACGAATTCCGTTGAATTGATTCACGGATTCCGAAATACTAGACATCTTAGTTGGGACGAAAGAAAGGCTCTTGCCGAGCGAAGGGACCAGCTGAGAAAGGAAGAGAAGGAATTACAACGCCGTGAAAGAGAGATTCAAAGGGAAGAGAGGAGGAATGGCAAGATCAAAAGCCGGTGCAAATTTTGTCCCTTCGACCATGACACCAGTCACCATCTCAAGCACAGCCACTCTCTCTCCAGTCTGGGATCTTCGCTTAGCCATGAGAGTACGCCGTCGCAGTCGCAAGACAACATCCTGGCCGACTATGAGCACGCAATTAAGCATTCCGTGAGTTCGACGAGCAAAGGCAATCCTTTGGAAGATGCAGTCATCGAAAGGGCGCTGCGAGCGAGTCTCCGGGAGCTGCACAGTTCAGGTCATGACCCGAACAAGTATTCTGATGCAGCGTATCAGCAAGCCATCCAAGCTAGCATTCGAGAATTCAAGAAGGCCCAAGAAGAGCATGCCCGACAGCGCGATGCCTCGTCCAAGAGCACAGAGAAGCCGGAGGCAGAGCATGACGCAGAACTCGAAAGGGCACTCGCGCAGAGTCTGGAAGAGCACAATCAGACTAAAACTACAAGAGATTTAGCCTCTGAGGATCACCACCATTTGGATTACAGTGATTCAGGGATTGACACCGACTACGACGAAGATTTCGTGCGCAAACTTGAGGAGACCAAGAAACTACATACAGAGAATGAACTGAAGAAGAAAGCGCTTGCAGAACGTGAGGCCGCGCTTACAGCTACGAATGGACATGAGGAGCCAGCTACGGCCGATACGGGAGCAACAGCCGACGGCTATGAGAATGACAAGGAGCTGCAGCGGGCAATAACCGCATCTGAGGAGGACGACAGGAAGCGACAGGAAGAACTTACGAAAGAAAGAACAGAAGAAGAGATTGTGATTGAGTATGTCAAGAAGCAGAGCCTCATCGAGGAGCAACTGAGGCAACAAAGGGAGGGTGATAGAACCGCGGTGGCAGCCGAGTAGCAGGCTAACAGACGATGGGTGAGGGGATTAGAGAGAGATAAGACAGACCATGACCTTCCCTTATTTCCCCTCTGTTGATGAGTTAACGACATACGGAATGGAATACCTGGCGGTTTACAAATGCTGGACTATGGTAATAAATACATGGGCTAAGCGGGCAGATGATGGCATTCTTCATGATTGATGGCAATTTGAGATACCACATGGCAATGACGAGAGCATCCATACATAGATGATGAACGACAAGCAATGAAGCGTCTGGACAATTCGAAAGAATCTTTGCTTTTTAAATCCCACCCGATATACACAAGAGAGAGGAACCCACATATGCACACGTTCTTATGCGCGGAATCTTGTGCGAGGACACGGCTGTTTTGAATTGCTTTTCTCTGTACAGAACGAGACTATGTTCTATTGTCACTACGTGTGTGTATGTACATGGATGGACCTTTCTTGTGACTCAGTACACGCCGAGCGGATAGGCGGCCTTGTCGATATTCTTGGCCCCGAGCGGCACGACCCGCGGCACTTGGGTGTAGGCCTTTGTGAGCTCGACGGTGGCGTTCAGTCCCGCCGTCACGGGCATCTTGCGGGCGTGCAGGACGTCGTCGAGGGCCTTGGCGACGTGCAGCAGGGTGCCTTCGGACCAGGGCAGGCCCAGTAGCTCCATGCCAATGGGGATGCCGATCGGGGCGGTGGCCGACGCTGGTGAGAAGCCAATTGGGACGGTGATTACAGGCGAGCCCGTCAGGGCGGCCAAGATGCCGTTGCGGCCGGACTGGCTGGGCGAGCCGATGGGGACGACCAGGTTCTTCTGCTCCGGGTAGATGAGGCAGGTGAGCTGGTTGGAGAGGATGGTGGCCTGCAGGGACCGCGTCAGGTTGGCGATCAGCGCCTGCTTGCGGAAGTAGGACGCGTTACCCGTCGACGAGACCAGGGCTGTCTCCACGTACGAGTACTGCGACGGGATCACCAGGAACTCGGGCGTGGTTTGGTTGGGCGTGTAGAGCGCGGGCATGGTCAACGGGTGAGGCCCCGTCAGGTTGTCGCTCGATAGGTAGTGCGTGAGCAGTTCGCGGTACTCGGACGTCTGCACGTCCATCTGCGCCGAGATGGCCGTCGCGTTGTACGTCGTCGTGTCATTGATGACGATCACGCTGGCCCCCAGGCCCTGCAGGACCGCGATGGCGTGGTCCATGGCCTCGTTGACCGGCGTGGTCTCGTTGCTCGATGCGCGGTTGAAGAACCCTTCGATCACCCCAATCCGCATCCCCGTGAGGTTGGCCCGTCGGCCCGGCGAGACGAACGTCGTATAGTCGGTGCCCAGGACCGAGGATGGGATCGCCGACGTGACGTTGTCGGCCGGGTCGTAGCCGATCGAGGCCATGACAGTCAGCGCCGTCGCGATGTCCGGCAGGGAACGTCCTATCGCACCGATCGTATCCTGGGTGTAGGAGATGGGGATGACGCCCGTGCGAGAAATCAGGCCCCTCGTCGGCCGGAAGCTGAACAGGCTGTTGGCGCTCGCGGGGCTTCGTAGCGAGTTCACGGTATCGGTGCCCGTGCCGAACACGGCGAACGAGGCTGCGACTGCTGCGCCCGTACCACCTGAGCTCCCGCCGGGCGTGCGGGTGAAGTCGTACGGATTGATGGTTTGGCCACCCAGGCTGGATACCGACAGGCCCTCGAGCGCCAGTTCATGGAGATTCGATTTGCCCAAGATCACGGCCCCTGCGTTGCGGAAGGCCCGCACGGCGGGCGCGTCTTGGGTCGGTTTCGAAGCATTGAGAGCCAAACAACCACCTGTCGACGGCATCGGAAGGGCATCGTAGTTGTCCTTGAGAAGGATGGGGATGCAGAAGAGTGGCCCCGTGGCATTCCCTTGCGACAGGGACTGGTCCAGCGAGTCGGCGATCGAGAGAGCATCCGGATTCAGGGTGATGATCGCGTTAATGTCCGGGTTGAAGTGTTCGATCCGGGCGATGAAGGCGCTGACCACATCTCGGCAGGTTGTGAAGCCAGAGAACAGAGAGCTGTGGATGCTCGAGATGGTAGCTTCGCGGACATCGATCGGGGCTGTCTGCGCGATGGAGGGAGTTGGAAGGAGAGAGAGCGCTAGGAGGTTGAGGGGGTGTAGCATCGTTCAGGTCTCGTCGTCAGCACTTGGACGTGCTGCGTGTCTTCTCATCATCATAGCTCATGGTTGTTGGAGCTCCGTTAGACTATATATGGCGGTAGATCTGTGGGATGTAGTCGAAACTGCGGTCAAGGGTCTGTTGTTTCCGGCCAACTGCCGGGCTGGTAGCTCAAATTAACAAGAGGAGATGCCCACCTTATCGCCAACGAGATTATGATAAATGTCCCAAGTTAGTCACTAGGCACAGTCTTGACCATGTTGGCGCGAGGACATCTCCTGTGCTGGGCTCGTACTGAAGATAGATTGAATACGGAGATAAAATGAGAGTTGCGGGTATAAAGAACAGCAGCCTTGCCCGAGGCTCACAAGGCTGTCAAGGCATGATATCACCGATCAAAGGTGGCTTGCGGAGGATTTAACACATGGAGCAACACTTTCGTCTCATGTTTTGTGATCACACACTTCCACTGACCCCTCCTCATTTGAAACACTTGGCCTGGTGATCAGCATCCCCCAATCCTTCCACTCGCCTGGTTAAAATACTCGGGGGAATTTTGGTCCAATGTCACCGCTTGGCAATGTAGCACTCGAGCTCTCCCCAATGTCACTTTGTCCCTCTTCCTCCGCAATTTAACCATTTTTGCACCTTTGACAAGACCATGGGAGCTTCGGGAGCTTCTAGTCAGGCACCGCATTCTTGCCATTGGACTCTGAAGATGCCACTCACCTAGAATACCATCATCTACAACCCGCCCTTCCCAGTCCGCGACTCCGCGCCACGTTGGTCGAAATGTGACTCTGTGGGGTAAAGCTGGAGCTTGACTGGATGGACTCGAGAGTCTTTTGCCTCTGGGGCTCCACGGTTTTTGACTCGAGCTCTGACGTTGTGGTCGGCAAGTGGTGATGGTCGATGCAGCAGCTCATGCAGCTCCCATAAAAGAACAATGCCCACGGGGTCAGTTGGTCGGAGGAGAATTTTCTGTGCCTCTTAAACAGGGCACTCGCTCGAGCTCAGTCGTCTCTTGGACTTTGCCTATCTATCCATTGCACGGAATCCCCTCCTGCGAAAGATGAAGGTGACTCCCGTCCTGTTGGCCTTGTGTGCGTCTGGGGTGGCTGTTGCTCAGAAAGCCTGCCCAGGCTACCGAGCCAGCAATGTCCAACAGACTGCGAATGGCTTGACAGCTGATCTCAACCTCGCTGGCCCTGCTTGTAACCTTTACGGCACCGATCTGCGAAACCTCACCCTGACTGTGGAGTATCAATCCGGTATGTCTGTTGTCCTGTGAGCGATACAAGTATGGCTTCTGATCAACTGGGAAAGCTTCGAGGCTTCATGTCATCATCGAGGATCAGAACCAGACTGTCTATCAAGTTCCTGAATCCGTTCTTCCCCGTCCCAATGCCACAGAAGGCACGACGGCTGCCAATGCTCAGCTTGTGTTTGACTACACGGAGAACCCTTTCACCTTCTCTGTGTCTCGGCCTTCGGGAGAGGTTCTGTTCAACACGTCCGGATCCCCAATCGTCTTTGAGTCGCAGTATCTGAGACTGCGGACCTCTTTACCCAGCCACCCAAATCTGTACGGACTTGGTGAACACTCGGATCACTTCAAGCTGAATACGTCCAATTACACCAGGACTCTCTGGTCTCGCGATGCCTATGGCATCCCCCAAGGCACCAATTTGTACGGGAATCATCCAGTGTACATTGATCACCGAGGGTCAAATGGCACACATGGGGTGTTATTCGTAAACTCCAATGGTATGGACATCAAGATCAATGACACTGCTGGCCAATACCTTGAATACAACACCCTCGGGGGTGTCCTGGACTTCTACTTCCTAGCAGGGCCTTCCCCGATTGAAGTCTCCCAGCAAATCTCCGAAGTTGTGGGTAAACCCGCAATGATGGCGTATTGGACCTTTGGATTCCACCAATGCAGATATGGGTACAAAGACGTCTGGGAGGTTGCAGAAGTTGTGCACAACTACAGCGCCGCCAACATTCCCTTGGAGGTAGGCACACCCTTCTGTGGACAAGGATTTGTGCTAACAGCTGCAGACCATGTGGACGGACATTGATTATATGGTAGGTAGTGTCGCCAGACTCATACCAGAAAGACACTGACGGGGAGATAGGATGCGCGAAAAGTCTTCACTTTGGATCCACAACGCTTCCCTCTGCGCAAGATGCGCGAATTGGTTTCTTACCTCCACGCACATCAGCAACATTATATCGTCATGGTCGACCCCGCAGTCGCATATCAGAACTACTCGGCGTTCAATAACGGCAACAACTCGGGCGTCTTCATGAAAAGAGCCGACGGGTCTCCATTTGAGGGCGTTGTGTGGCCCGGCCCAACGGTGTTTCCAGATTGGTTTCATCCAGATACCCAAGACTACTGGAACGCGGAGTTTGCGTCGTTCTTCAGCCCGGAGACTGGGGTCGATATCTCGGGACTCTGGATCGATATGAACGAAGCCTCAAAGTATGAGTCGTTCCGTCATTTTGCTTGGGCGTGTGCTAACTATTTCCCAGCTTTTGCAACTATCCATGTTCCGACCCCAGCGCATTTGCCAAAGAGATGGGGTTCCCTCCAAAGCCAGCGGCACTGCGAACTGGTCCAGCAATCGCCCTTCCGGGATTTCCAGCTGATTTCCCGCAGCCACCATCAAATTCAAAGCGACAAGCACCGTCGACGGGTAACAAGCTAGGCCTTCCCGGCAGGAAGCTCATCAATCCTCCTTACATGATCCAGAATGCTGCCGGTAGTCTGTCAAACAAGACATTGGACACGGACCTCGTTCACTTCAATGGCCTGGTGGAGTACGACACCCACAACATATATGGGACCATGATGTCGTCGACTTCCCGCAATGCACTTCTCCATCGGCGTCCAGATGAGCGACCCCTGGTTATCACTCGCAGCACCTTCCTTGGCGCCGGTGCTCATGTCGGCCACTGGACAGGGGACAACCAAGCCACCTGGGCTGAGTACGAGATCAGTATCTCAAGCATGCTGAACTTTGCAACCATCTTTCAAGTGCCAATGGTCGGAAGCGACGTCGGGGGCTTCTCATTAAACACAACCGAGACGCTCCTCGCGCGCTGGATGATGTTGGGGGCTTTCCAGACCTTTTATCGCAATCACAATGAGCTCGGCAACCGACCTCAAGAAGCATATCGCTGGCCGCTGAGTGCTCAGGCATCGAGAAACGCGATTGACATTCGCTATCGTGCTCTCGACTACCTTTATACTGCCTTCTGGACCCAGACACAGACCGGCAAACCTGTTTTGAACCCCATGTTCTACCTCTATCCTGAAGATGCAAAGACTTTTGGAGTCGACGCCCAATTCTTCTTTGGGGATTCGTTGTTGGTGTCTCCCGTAACGGCGGAGAACAAGACGACTGTGCGTATTTATTTGCCTGATGATGTGTTCTACGACTGGAACCATGGTTTCACCCCAGTGCGAGGTAATGAGTCGATGATTACCTTGAACAACGTCAGCTACACGACCATCCCGCTCCATGTTCGCGGCGGCGCAATCCTCCCTCTTCGGGTGGAGAGTGCGAACACGACAGCAGAGCTGCGGAAGAAAGGGTTCCATCTCCTGATCGCACCTGGTACGGACGGGGCGGCTAAGGGATCGCTCTACATTGATGACGGGCTCAAGATTGAACAACCTAGCACCACATTTGTCAACTTCACATACACCAACGGGGCTTTCTCCATGTCCGGCGACTATGCCTATCCAGTCAATGTCAGTATCGAGCGGATCACCGTTTGTAATGTTGGGTCTGCACCACAGAGCCTCAACATCGCTGGCGCTCCGAACTCGACTTTTTCGTATGATAAGGCAACGATGGCCGTCACAATCAACACCAGTATCCCTTTGACCCAGGACGTTAGCTTCCAGCTACCGGCATCCCAGGTCTAATTTCATGCCGAGGAGGATGTGAGGTGAGGCACAGGAGACAGAGGTGGCGTGGGTGGTTAGTATTCGGGATGCGGACGAGGCTGGCTCTCCTTTCAGGGACCACGACGTTATGAGTCTCACTCCTTTCCATCTATATCTATCCACGTATTGCTAGTGTCAATTTATGTCAATACCTTGTCAGTCACACTCCGGCCGAACCAGTCAAGATTTCTGGGACAAGCCCTGCGGCCGAGAAGAGGCGGTGAGCCAGACGTTACAGGCTCAGTGCTTCTACTAGTAGCTGGCTGCAGTGTGTCAGTCAGAGATCGATCATGGTAGTGCCTGTCGGGCCGTTGACATGGCGACAACCTTGTTTCGACAACGGCCATGAACAAGTGCGTACCTGTGACATACATATATACATCGTTTCTATCTCAACAGCGCCTCGCCCAGACACTGTTACCACTGCGGGCTCTTGTTGGGCACCCCCGTGACACCCCTCTTCCATCCCTTCCCTAATCTCTCCCTAGTTTCAATCTGTCCTCCACTTGCTCGGTCGTTTATCCGGCCCCACACTCGGCAGGAAGGCGACCATCCCACGGCGTCGCATTGAGAGAACTTGACCCCAAACTTTGAGACTTTCCGAGTTCTCGTCTGCTCGATCATCTAAAGGTCTCTCCCAATCTGCGAACCAGAATCCTGGGTCGCTGCATCTCTACACGCGAGAGAATGGCTGTCAGAGCTTTGCGTCTCGGCTTATATATGCTGTGACTGACTGCATCGGGTTATTTCTCCTGGGACCCCCATCGGCCGATTGCTTCTTGTCTCTGACTGCTGGACTGGGGATTGACTGCCCCTCACGGTTGGTCTGCAAACTTCCATCGTCCAACGACCGGCTGCCACATTGGTTCCTGAGATATCGCTAAAACCACCCGCCAAAGATTTCAGAGTTCCCACTTCGTTCCTGCCATCAATCATGACGCCGCGGTAAATCACGGAGGACCTCGCTCCGAGGGTGACGTTCTTGGAAACCATTTTGGTGCTTGGAGCTTGGGAGGGACTCGAGAAGTGGACACTTTGCTCGGGAGCAAGAATAACATCAGGAGGGCAAGTCATCAGAGCAACAGCAAAGACAATACGATGATGCACGACGGCGGGGTAAAAAGTTGGACCTGTGGCCCTGGCCTACCGCTGCCTGCCACTGACTGCCACTGACTTGCCCACTACTAGGCATCAGGTGCTCTCGCAGTGCGCAGTCTCAGTCGCCGCCTTTGCGTCTCGCCTTTTCATTTGCTCTGCTCTCCCATGCAATCAGGTCCTGTCCCGTGTTGGCTAAACCTCTGAACCTCTGAACCCAGTGGGCTCTTACTTAATCTACTTGACAACTCATCCCATTACTACTGCACATGCCTGTGCTCACTCAATCGCCCCCCCGTCCGGCCAACTGACAACCTGCCAGCGAATGTATCGGCTGCGGCTGCATTTTTGAACTGCCGCAAACCAAACCAGGCATCATCTCGTCACCTCTTGAGTGTTGCAGGTTAATCTCTCTCTGGCCCTTCCATCGAAGTCTGGATCCGCCTCATCTCTTCAAGCATGCTCATTCGATTTCCCATTGTGCCTCTCCCTTGTACCGCTAGCCTGAGTTGCGACCGAGGTTCATCACGACCCGGAGTGTCGCTGCGAACAGCCTCTCCCGTGATCCGTGTCCCTCTAGCCCACGTCCCTCTCTGACCTACCATCCATCATGCCTAAACAACCCGCGAAGTCGGGCAAGAGGCTGAAGCGGGACGACGACCATGACTCTGACGATAGCGACGAAGACCTTCAACCCATACATTTTTTCGTCCCCGGCGAAAACATCAATGCCGCAGTCCTGGTTGATTACATCACACGATGGGTCGATCGCACAGCAAAGATTACATCGGCTCAACATCCCACGGTGAGGACCAACCTGGTCCACGTTTGGTGGTTCCTCTTTAACTGACCCCATTATCAGGATAAATCACGGACTGGTTTCAGCGTCCTAGCGAAAAGAGCACTCAATGCCGTAAGAGCCTTCTCTCCCACCGTGCGATACCCCTCCATATCCATACTGAGAATGGTCTAGGTTAGCATTCGCGATCTCATCAATGACTCGAGAGACTGGGACTTGGAAACACAAAGCAGTAGGCTCATTCCGCTTGGGGAAGCAAGAGATGACAAGCCAAAAAGTTGACCAAATTTCTGTGTCGCAGGAGAATATAGAAAAGATCCGTACGATTATAGAGAATCGGATACAGCCAGGCGTCGGGCGAAAAAGGGTCCCTCAGAAGGCGGCACCAATCGACCGCAGCAACCTCGGGTCAAACGAGACGTAACAAATGAGCCTGCTGACGGCGGGCGACAAGAGAGAGTGACAGCGACATCAAATGTGGCGGCCAGCTCTCCTCAACCTGCGTACCACCAACCTCAACCTCAATACGGCCAATATTCTGGTTATTCCCAGCCGCATAACATGCAACCGAACCCCAGTCCGTACTATCAAGGTCAATCAAGACCCGACCAAGCCTCGCCGAGTCTCAACATCACGGTGAACACGGCCACGTTTGCGCCGAGACCTGGACAACCTGGACAATACATGCCGACTGCATATCAAACCACGGGATATGCACATACCCCCCAGCACGAATCTGACCCGCCGCCCGCCTACCAGCAGTCTATGATCAGTCGTGGTCCTTCAAACCCGCAACCGCCGTCACATCCCGGGCCCGACACCTTTGACGCGGCCAAGGCGGGGGGGACGAGCCGAAATTTCCCTGCACAGGCAACGCGACAAGGCTCGACCGACTCCAAAGAGGACTTTCCTCGATCCCAGAGTGCCCAAGACCGTCGACCGTCAACGCTTGACCCGTCGGGACGGAGATCTGGACGTTAGCATTGATGATAGCGCACTAGAGGCGATTTGCTTATCCTATAGATTCGATACTGCTAGAGACCAAGGACGAGGAGGACGCCAAACAGTCCCCTGCCTATTGTCTCGACCGAACAAGGCGGCAGAAAGGCTTTAGCCTTCTCAGCGGCAAATGCCACCAACAGAAACCTACGTTTCTCATCGACCTTTATCATGCTGATCGCCTTTCCAGAGTGGGGGAAATCTTACCCCTTGCTGCCTGTTACCGTTGATCGATCTTGCTCGACTGCTGTATCCTTTTTTCTTCTTCGTCCTCCTTACCTTTTTGGTCGTGGGGCTCCCCTTTGATATGGCGGCCAATATCTTAGCGGCCATTGTTTGGGCTGGTTTCTGTCGTCCTCGTCTCTCATCCCGTGGGTGTGACAGATTGGAAGAAATATAATGCCGAGACAGATCAGGCTTTTCGTTTATGGGACATCACAACATGGATGGCTTGGTCAGCTGGTGCGTGTCAGATCTCGGTCCGAGCCTTACCCATTCATTAAGCCAAACCTTGGGGTTGATTATATGATGGCGGCCAATGAAGCTGGGATCCTTCAAACGCCATCACGTGTGCATCGTATTGTTTGTGCAAGTCTTGATATGACCGATATGATGGGGACAGCCAAGGGGCTTTGGTCAGTGGTTAGTGAATGGTAACGGTGTCAACCAAGGGCGAAGCTGCTCGAGGGGAGAATCAAGCTTGGTGACAGCTGTGGTATCATTGCCGCAATTGCGAATCTTCGTTAGCATGTTCGTTGTATATACGTACCTGCAATTGATCTCTCTTCTCTGAGAGTTTAAGAGGTATTTGTTTGCTCTCAGCCACAGGAATATTTAATTATCGGAGGGCTGCCAAGTGTCGTTGGTTGTAGGCGAGGTTGATGGGGGGTAGCTCGTTATTGGTGATTGCCGCCTGTAGAGAGATTGCCGGTCAAGCCATGGCTCATGGCCTTAGTCTCTAGAACTGTAATAGAGGTTGCCCGATGATGGTGAAGGACTCGTACTGAAGTAGTGAAGCAAGTGACGCAGTGACGCAGCCTCCAAGTATTTAAAAACTCACCTTGTTCCCTCTGAGAGGCTGCGCTTTTTCTTCAAGTTCCACACACTCTGTCCATCTTCTCTGACCTTGTCAATCTTCTTCTACTCCCGTACTGGTCATGATGATCCTCCCCCACTCGTCCCGAGGCTGGAGGCACTGGCACCTACCGCTTTCCCGTCCCAAGGTCAAGGGGGGGCCCAGGGTTTCAGCCTTTGTTTTTTGGCCGCAATCTTACTTTGTCGGCTACGTGTCAAGCTAAAACCACGCCGCTGTCACCGGAATGGGCGGTGATTGGGTTACAGAAGGGACTTTGCATATGCAACGGGCCCTTGGAACTGGGCCACCTGAGCCACCTGGGGCCTGGTGGCCTGTAGCGTTGAGATGCATGGTCTCTCATTCCCCCATTCATACCCTCATTCCAGGGCACCACCAACTGACCAGCACCACCAGGGAAAAACCAGGGCCACGACACATGAAGACGAGCCACTGCGCCCACGGGCCACCCCAGCCAAAGCCAGATCCCAAATTACCCCTCCTCGTCCTCCTCCTCCTCGTCGACCGTCGAACTTCCTTTGTGACAGGCTGCTTCTCGCAAGGCAAACAATTACCCTTTTTTACCATTTTCCTCTCTCTTTTTTGCCCCTTGGAACCAACCCGAGTTTACCAGCCGGGAACAGGGCCAGGCCAACAAAAAAAAGGCTCCCCTCGTTAATTGTCCAGCCCGTCTTTTTCCCTCTTTCTCCCTGCCCTCGAAAGCTGACTCGGTTCGGCCTTTTTCTCTCCTGGATTTTAATCCTAACTTCGCTTTAGGCAGTGATGACCGCTGAGCACAGCAGGACAAGAACAAGTCAATGGCCCTGAGCCTGGGCAATCCTCATGGATGGACCGTCGAGAATGTTGCTCAACCACCTCCTGTTACGACCACTTCGACCCAGGCGCCCGCCTCCTCTACTCACCTTGAGGCGCGTGAAGGCCCCGCTCCCGCTCAGTGGCAAGCGGTGAAGGAGGAAATCCGAATCCTTTATGAGAAGCATCCCTTGCGGGATGTCAGGAAAATACTATTAGATCGGCACAATTTCCGCGCAACGTGAGTCCTGTGTGTCCTTTTTGTATTGGCAAGACCTGCCGAAATTCCCCAGCCACTCGAGGGTTCAAATCGTCCCGTGCATTGTTACTGATTTCCGGTCTCGAAACAAATCCAGGGAGCGCATGTATAAAGCCCGACTGTCGCAGTGGGGAATCAGTAAGAACTACTCGGACAAGGACTATCAAATATGTAAGTATCCTCTGATCATGTAGCCCCATGGTCTCGCCGTTAACGCCTGATCAAAGACAACCACAACAAGTGGTGATGCAATGCTAACAACCTCGTCGTAGGTGCGGTGCTACACCACACACGGCAAAAAAGCGGTAAACGATTGACGGCGTTTGTGATACATGGCCACAAACGTTCTCTCAAGGACCTTCACAAATACATCAAAGGGCGAAAGATGACCGAGGAGGATTTCCTCGCGTCTGCCCTTGCCAACGCCGACCAACAACAGGAGCAATATCCTCATGTCCGAGCCTACACCCCCGAGCCTGAGACTGAGGCCGAAGAAGGACCGCCTCTACATCATCAGACATCATCCGCTCCCACTAGAGCACGGCCCCCCGAGATCGCTGCAAATGTCCCTCTAACCAAGGATTTGCCTTCGCCGAGGGAAGCCGTGTCAGAATCAGTCTCCAGTGTCCCGGCCCCAGCCTCGCGTTCCACCGCCCCCCACAGCTCCGCTGTCGCCCACCAACACTCGCCTACTACGAGAAGTCCTTCTTCGCACAGATGGTCACCCCACCATGCAGCCTCGCCATATTTCCCTCTGACTGTGTCACCGCCTCAAAGGCACGGTCCTTATTTTCCATCCAAGGACAGCACCACTAATACTAACTACTCATCGGATGCTTCACCATCATCATCACGTGCCCGTACCGTCTCTTCTCCCCAAGATGCCCCTCTGTCGGCAGCTCTGTCATATACTTATCTTGCCCCCCATGAACCGCTAGCCACCATCGAAGACCAGGTGCGTCATGCGGGCACACTATATGACACTAGCCCCCTCATGTCTTGCAATCAACTGGGTCGAGATGTAGAATACATGGCGCTGCAGATGGTGGATGCCCCTTCGTTGAAGTCTCTTTGCGGCCATGATGACATTCGCAGCTGGTCGCTATTATTCAACGACAGCTCATCCGAGGACTCGATGGACTACGAACAGATCTGTCCCACGTGCCATGAGTCCACCCGCGAACACTTTATCAGTCTGCCGAATCTGGAGATGCCTCAATTACCTCGTAACATTCTCAACGCCAGCCAGGACTCGTCGGCGGCGAGCACCATGTCCGTCCCCGCCAGCTCACGAGGCCATGAGCATTCATGGAAGTGGGTGGCGCGGTGCTTCGCCGCGTGCATCTATCTGCGGAGGGGCGACCATACGTTATCGCAACGGAGTCTGGCCGACGCGGACGCCGAGTTCAAACAGATGCTCGTCCCCCGCCAGGATCCCAAAGTGTTGTTGGCCCTCAACCAGACGTTACAGATCCTACAGATGCACGACCAGGGCGACATCACCAAGACGATTATGCAGAGCGCGTATCTGGTGGCGGAGCGGTCGTTGGGGCCGAGTCACCCGATCACGACCATTGTGCGGTGGATGGTTTACGTGGCGAATGGACAGATGCGCAATTGCGACATCACCAGCGACACCCTCGGCGAGGTCTACGAGGAGATGGTCCAGCGGTACGGGCCCGAAGATTCGCGTTCGATCGCGTCGCAGTATTGCCACGGGTTTATGTTGAATGTCGAGCGGAAGCTTCAGGAGGCCGAACAGGTCTTGCGTCAAGTCTACAAGATTTCCTCGACAGTTCTAGGTCCCAAACACCTGCAGTCCATCTCGGCTTTGACGAATTTGCACCGCGCCCTGGAGCGACAGAACCGGCTCGACGAGGCAATCGCGGTGCTGCGTTGCGCGGTGCGAGACTCGCAGGATACCCTGGGCGACAACCACCCGCGACGGCTGGAGAGTTTACGGCTACTCGCGCTGCTGTACCAACGAAAGGGCTACCTCGACCTGACGGAGGAATTGTACTGGCAAGTGGTCGACGGCCGGGTCAAGATGCTGGGCAAGAACCACACGTTTACGCAGGGGATGAAGCGCGACCTAGAGCAGTTCCTCCAGGAGAGGGGGAAATGGACCATCGAGCAAAAGATCATCAAGCCCGATGGGTCCGTGGAGGTTGTGGCTAGCGAAAGTAGTTCGCAGTTACGTCTACAAGACCTTTTTGAGTGGGATGCACACGAGCAATGGGACGACACGAGGAGCGAGGGCGAAAGTGAGACGGGGAGTGAACATGCGGCATTCTGAGCGTTCTTTTTTTGTTAGGTATCTATTTTTCATGGCCTGGACTGATTATTATTCGAGGAGGAAAGATGACAAAGAAGGAAGAGGAAAAAAGAGGCTTTGTTCTATATGATGGAGACGGAGTGTTTGACCGACCAGCGGCCGGTGACGAGCTAGTAAGTAAGAATTACCCGGTACCTACCATCCCAGGGGATTTACCACTGGAGATGCAGGGGCTTTTAACCCACCTATCTACCAATCTTAGATACCCTTGCTACCTACTTGCCTGCCTACTGACCTACAGAAACAACGTGAACAAGAAGAAATACCTATACGAGCCTCGTGGGTGTAAACATGGACGTGGGAATGCGAGCGAAGAGGGAGGAGAGACAGTAAAACGCCACCGACGTCGTCAGGCAGGCTGAGAATGGTAAGAGGAAAGTCACTGTGACACCAGTGGCACAGGCCGGTAGGGAGCCTTGGGAGCACAGACAACGTCGGTGGCGCGGGGAGGGGGCATCACATCGCATCACGTCGCATCTGGAGTATCACCAAGTCAGGACCGGTATTAGGACCGGGACCAGGACTGGGACGGGGGAAGACGTGACGAGGTGACGAGGTGAAGGGAGGTGGTGAGGTGGTGGATATATCGTATACCGTGCACCATGCACCTATCGAGTCCCTACCAACTCACCATTGAGGGCCTACCTATAGTACCCGCATACATAGGTATCGAGTACTCGTGTGTACTTGTACCTGGGTGGTGGGTGGGTAGGTAGGTAGATAGGTAGGTAGATAGGTAGGTAGATAGGTAGATGTGACATGAGAGACTTTGGTGGATGGATGGATGGTCGAATGAGTTGGCTTAACGAGAGGTTCAATGAGCGAATAGATTGAATCGATCGATGTCGTTTGAGAGTCTGTGGTGTGTGGTGTTTGGTTTGTGGTGTCAAGTCTGAGATGTGAGGCGTCAAGTGAGGCATCTGTCTTCTACCAAAAGTGCCTACCTATCTAGGTATGAAGCATGGCAGCGTGACAGAACAGCGTGACCAAATACTTGTAGTACTAGGTATTCCTGTGGTGCCTGGGCACATGACACCCATGTCTTTTTTTGTGCTTTCTTTTCTTTCTCTTTCCGACTACAAGTGCGAGGTACTTGGTGTCAATCCGTGGCATTTTGTGGGGTCCGGGTCGTGGGTTGGACGGATTTGTACTTGTGCGAGTAGAAAAGGCACCATAGGCTAGCGGCTAGGTAGCGAAGGAGATTACACAGCTCGACAGTTCGATAGGCAGGTACATAGGTGCACTGGTAGGTAGGTATGGGATACGGACTAGCGATCTGTTGATCTGGTGATCTACATACATCCGTCCATACCTCCATACATATAGAGGGAAAGTAGGGCGCGTTTTGAGAAGTAGGCTGGTAGGGCAGGGTGAACAGGGCGCCCACTACCGAGCTTGCGAGTAGTGTAAAGTCGCCTTGTAGATCTCTATCTCTCGGACGGCGTTAACTGGCGTGCTGGGTGACTGGTGACTGGTGACTGGTTCACTCGTGTAGTGCGATACCGTCCGTGTAGACGTGGAGATCGACGTGGAGATCGACGTGGAGATCAACGTTGTGGATCGGCATGTACCTCGAAGATCAACGAGTCGATATCTCAATGAGTGTGACGAACGTGACGAGGGGAGGACAAGGACACAGTAGGTAGGTATGGACAGCGTATGTAGGTAGGTTAGTAGAACAGGTGATAGGGAAGGAGGTGGTCGACTGTTGAACGTACGGCACATACCGAGTATAGCACAGTACGATCACTCATGGCCTGTTTCCCACCTACCGACCGCATGACCTACGTTCAGTCACGTATGTATGGCGGCAGGGAGCACGGCACGGCTAGACAAGAGACAGAACCTACCTACCAACCTACCGACAGTACGAGGTATACACACCTGCAGTAACCACTCCGCCACTCTCGCTACCACTACCTACCATCGCTTCCATCGCCACTTGTGTCGCTACACGCTGCATCGCCGTACTAAGGCACAAAGTACCGGATTTCGGCTTCTACCTTCCGGCGTCTGGTGTGGAAAGGTACCTTGCGTCCAAGGAGAGACGAGGGGGTTCAAACTACTGCAAGTACCGTGCATAGACACCCAGAGAGAGGTACACTGCATTCGTTTGCTGCGTTCATTTGCTGCAATGCCTTTCGTGCCTTTGTGCGTGCATGGTGCATGGTGCATAATGCATGAATGCCCTGTACTTATCTACATGAAGCCAGAGCGAAGATCGAAGATCGAAGATCAAAGCCCTCCTTGCTTGCTTGCTTTACTTGGCCATTTTCATCTCTCTCTCCCTCCAGTGGTTGATTCGTCAATCCATCCCTTGCCCATGTCCTTTGTCAACAGACCTCTTTCGCGAAGTGTGCGTTGGCGCCACAGAGGACAGGATAGAGTGATGTGGTTCATGGTTATTGATATATGGTTCGCAACTTGGAACGGAATAAGAATAAAGTACATCACCAAGGTAGGCAGGTAGGTATGTATGTATGTACACATAAAGATCCTGGATTAGGTTAGGTTGGATTAGGAGGGTGGTAACGAGGAAATTAGGTATTGATCCATGAATATGCAATCCAGACATCCCGCCAGCCTTTGGTGTTTGTACACAATGAATACAATGCCCTGACCTGAAAGATAGTCTACTCCAGGCCCAGACCCAGGCCCAGACCAAGATCCTGATACTGGCCCTGAGGAACCAGACAAGCCAGACGAAACCCCCAAAGAAAAAAAGGAAAACACGAGGCAATGAAAAAGAAAGACCCAGAAAACCCCCATACTAACGTCCTAGGTCCTAGGTACGACCACCCCTGCCCGCGCCCGCACCCGCACCTTTTTGGGGGTCAAACTCGTAAATCCACGACAACCCGGCGTCCTTGCCCACGAACAGGAAGTACGCCCACATGACCCACTCCTTGAGCAGTTGGCGGAACGTGCTGGTCGAGGACTTCCTCATGTCGCCGCCCCGGGACGTGAAGGCGAGGATCTTCTTGACACGCGCTCTGCGGGCCGTTTGCCACTCGCGAAGGACTTGCTGGTGTTGATTGTCTTGGTCGCGTGATGACTCGGGTTTATTTAGCGAGGCGAGAGTGTCGGCGAGGGTCAGGGCGTCTTCGAATGCCATTGCGGCACCTTGGCCGCCGGTGGGGGGCATGGCGTGGGCGGCGTCGCCGATGATGATGACTCGGCCGGAGGTGCTGGTCCACGAGGTGAGTTCGGGGAGTTTGTAGTACCTACTCACCACACGAAACGTCAGTATTTCCTACAAAAGTTGACACGTTGAGAGAGAGAGAGAGAGAGAAGCGGGAGTTCACTCACGGCCACAAGGAGAGCGAGGACAGTTCGACACCTTGCGAGGCGACGCGGACAATCTCGGGCCACGTCTCGTTCTCGTGATGCGACTGCAGCATCTTGTACAGCGCGGCATGGTCGTTTTGCAGCTTCGCCCACTCCTGGCGACTCCGGTCCTTGGCCTCGACCGTCGCGAAACAGCTCACCCGATCCCCCGTGTAGGATGTGGGCATGAACATGAACGAGTTCAACTTCCCCAGGATCAAGCACGGCATGTACATGTCCTCGCCAGGCCGCATCAGCAGCTTGGCCTTGGGAAGCGACCCGCCGACGCCGATCTGGCCGCTGAACGTGGGCACGGCGTCGGGAGCGACGTACGTGCGGACGCACGAATGGATGCCGTCGGCGCCGATCAGGAAGTCGGCCTCCTCGGTGTGTCCGTCGGCAAACGTGACAAGGACGGTCGCGTGATCCGTCTCTTCAATCTGCACGCATCGGGCGTTGAGGTGTAGCTCGATGTCGCGCTCGCGAAGAACGTCCATCAGCGTCTGCCGCACGATGCCCCGGGACACGCGCAGCGCCTTGTACCCGTATCGGCTCTGACTGCCGTTCAGCACTGTGCCGATGCGGCTCAGGTTCCTGGACGACAGGAAGCGGAACTCCTCATAGTTCCAGCCCTGAGTCCTGATTCGGTCGTACACTCCGATCCGGTCGAGGGCGCGGAGCGCATTGGGCGCCAGGGCCACGAAGCCGCCGTCAAATGCAGCCTCGTCGCGCAAATCAAAAACTTTGCAGGATATGTTGTGTCGTTTGAGCGCGAGGGCCATTGCTGGTCCTGCCAGCCCACTTCCGACGACGATGACTTTCATGGTTTTTCCGCTTGGGTTGGTCTGTACCAGTGAATTGTTTGGTATGTTCTCACAGAGACTGTGCTTGTAGGTGGTTGGAAAAAGATTCTCTAGAGATTCCGACCGTGTCTCGAATCAGCCATATATAGAGATGCGACCTACCTTCTGCCTCTCAATAAGAGTTTACAGGTATGGGAGTTTCCAAACCCAAATACGGGGATTCGGGCACAGCCATGACAAGAACGATAGAGTTGAAGGATGTGCGTCACAAGAAGTCGACACTTAGGTACCAAGAGGGAGAAAATGGCTTGAGCCACTGATGGAAACCCGTCTTTAGCTCCTCGCTTCGGCTGGAGTATCGAGAAAAAGGGAAGACGACTACGTGGGGAGTTTGAGTAGGAGGTAACTCTCGCATGGATGGTCCCGATCAGGCATGCTAAGCATAGCCACTCCCCATGGTGTCTTTGCCCAGCCGTCCAAATAGGTCTCGATCCATCCTCTTCTAGGCGGAACTGTAACTGAAAGTTCTGCACTCGGTAGGTCAAGGGAGAGAATAGTCGACGCTATCTTTAAGCGAGCCGGATGGACGAATCAGCGGGTGTATAGGGAGAAGTATACACACCACGGTGCCACCTTGTAAGTTGTGGCTATCACTCCATCAGTATACATAGAAGTACAACTATAGATACAAGTGCAAGTACAAGGGTAAGTAGATCTTTGCTGGCAGGAAATGTCTCCTGACACATACGCAATAACATGCCGTGGCCAAGGAGAAGAAGGTGAATTTTACTTGCTGCGTCTTCTCCCACATCAACATACCCACCATATCAAGATATCGAGGGTAACAATCTAATTCGTGGTTGTCAGGTACGTCGCAGTTGTCAACAACACACCAAGAGAAATGGCTGCAGGCGGCTGGACAGCATCGGATACAGAGTCACGCCGAATTGACGTTGTGAAACGTGCCATTGCGGCGTGATACGTTGAGATGCAGTGCAATGCAATGCAATGGAAGCTGCACTTTTCGTACTTTGCAGGACGGCGCACCACGACTAGTTGCACCTCTGATGCAGATCATTTGCACCTCCTGTAGGAGCTAGTTCCCTGCCTGCAGAAGTAGCTTGCTATACAGACCTTCCCTAAGACGCATATACCTCTGTCTCTTGTGACCCTCAAACTAGTCTTGGTTCTCAAACTTCAATCCCCCTTGCAACCTCGCCGCACCATAGATACCAGCAATGTCGCCCTTTTCACCTACCGTCGCTTTGACTGTCTTCAAATACTCGTCTCCAAGTTCGACTTGTCGCATACGACACCCGCTCTTCTGGGCCAGATCCATGGCATGCCTTGCGTCTTTTCGTGCCAGGTCCACCGCGAACAGCGGCTCTTCGCGCTTGTAATAGTCACCGGTCGTCATCCTGCTCGAGTAGCCCGTGTATGGCCCTGGGAACATGACCTCGATGAATTTGTGGAGCTCACCGACACCCAAACCCGATTTCTCGGCCAGGACATGTCCCTCGGACAAGGCGTTGACCATGCCCAACACAAACGTGTTGCCAATGATCTTCAGGAGTGTCGCCTTGCTTGGCTCTTGACCCGAGAAATCAACATTGGCCCGGCCCATCACCCCCTTGCAGTATGGAAGCATCCTTTGCACCGCTTCAGGTTTTCCTGCCGGAACGCATATCAATAGGCCGGCGTCGGCCATGGCTGGAGCACCAAACACGGGACACGCCACGAAGCTGGCTCCCTTTTCTTCAACCATTTTTGCTTCCTTGGCCGTTGTCTCGGGGTGAACTGTGCTGCAGTCCACAATCAGCTTGCCCGTGACGTCGGGTTTGAGGACCTCTTCAAGTGTCGAGAGCACGGCTGGGTCGTCGCCCAGACAGTAGAATATAATGTCTGCTTTTGAGGAGGCGTCTTGTACGGAGGAAGCGACGGTCGCGTGCCCTATCTTTGCGGCGAGGTCATGCGCTCGTTGCGGGGTGCGGTTGAAAATGATCAGAGGTTTAGCTAGGTTCCCTTTCTCCACCAAGTTCTTGCACATGCCCTTGATTTGGGTGTTAGTATCTTGTCATGGCAGGTCATTGAGTTAGTTATACTGACCCTACCCATATTCCCCAGACCTAGCCAGGCCAATTGGGGCGCCATCTTGTCGAAATGATCAACGTGGAATTGGAGCTGGAGGGTACAAGGAGTGAGGGGCTCTGGGTGGGCAACGCAGTGTGCTTAGACGTCCTCACGTATTTCATTCACCTGCTACCAACAGGGGTTTGTTCGCATTTATATCTTTGAGACCTACCCCAACTGACGCGGACCGTACAAGAAGCCAGCCTTTGCCGTTTCTCTCCGTTGTCCCTTATGACGAGGGTCGTCGTAAATCGTACCTGGAACATGCGGAGACTTTCCGGAGGCTGACAAAAGTTCAATCACCGCGTCGAGTGGTTCGCACAGCGCGTAAATCAGGCTGGTTTTCTTCTGAGCATCGGGAAAACACGGGTCCCCGGTGTGTAGATATAATCTGATAGGCATTTACGATGATATATGGGCAAACAGAACCTATCCTCCATCCCCTTGAGGCATGAGAAAGGGTGCGTACGTACGCGTCGAGGCATGGAGCGCAGGGAGAAAATGTTGGAGAAAGAAGCCCACCGGAAGCCAGTGTGGCTCTGTGGCTGTGGCTGCACCGAGGGGTAGAGTCAGGCGACTGACCATTCATATTTGCAGCTTATCAGGGCGGTGAAGACCTGCGGTTGGCTCGACGCGGCAGTATCTTTGCTTTGCTCATACCAACAGCGTCACAAATTTTCCCTCGATCCATGAATAGAGGCGTGATGAAAATCTGCGCAGGGTGGTTTAATATATGCCTTGTGGCAGCATATCTCCCTAGGTGACGTTCTCATGCACTTGTTTGGTCTTTTGGTGCCTCATTCTTGTTGACCGTCGTGTGAAAACATGAACCACACCGCCCTGAGTTCAGTTCGGAGTCATTGCACCTTGCCATTCCCTGGCAGAAACGTCGCTGCTGAGGCCTTGAAGGCCTACCTCACCTCCCACTCGTGCTCCCCATCGCTCCTCCTCCGATCTAGCTCTCGTCCCTACTCTACGCAACCTGCACCATGGACAGATGACTCTGCTTCACACAAGGTCCCAGACATCCAGGAGCGGGATCAGAAAGCCTCCTTTACCGACACTGCCAAACAGCGTCTGGCAAACAGAGAATTCTTCACGAGCCTGTTGAGCTCGGCGGCGACCAAAAGAGATGCAAAGGCGTATATATCCCGGCTTAAGAGCCCGGAAAAGGCACCCCCGGAGCAGAAGGATGCTCCACCAAGATCACAACCTCAGGTCAATGCGGGAGAGCTGCTCGGTCGAACGAGAGCCTCTGAGGAAAGTCCAGTCTTCAAGCAGTATGAAAATGGGAAACACTCGACACTTGAAGAGCTAGAGACCTTGCATGTGGCCCTCGTCAAGATCAGCAACATTAATGCCATGGCTGACGAGGTAGTAAAGGGCATTGCGCAGACCTTGTCTTCTCTTTCCCGCCTGAGCATGGCACCCTGCGTTGTCTTGGAGGAATCGCAACATGAAAGTCCGCAAGCGACGCGAGCAACTCTCGCTCAGGCTGCAGATAAACTTGTGGCTGCTATTGACTCGGTTCATCCCTCGGGAGCGAGAATACTTGACAATGTCTTGAGTTTCGCTACTGACGGCAGGCCACAAGTCTTCCTCCGAAAGCTTTTGACCCGCCCTCTCAGGCGAGGGAGGATACCTATCGTCCTTCCAGTAGCTTATTCCACAGAATGGTCACAAGCTGTATCGATCACAGCGGACGAAGCCGTGCTGGCCTTGACCAGAGAACTTTCTGGATACAAGTCTAACCCTCGAGAGGGCCAACAGCTCGAGACGGCGCGCAAGCAGATATCCTTGGACAGAATTATCGTTGTCGATGAGACTGGGTCGATCCCAAGCACAAAATCCATTGACAAACGGCATGTGTTCGTCAACCTGGAGCAGGAATATGCCGCCATGCAGGAAGAACTGAGAAGCTCAACTGAAGGAAACGTTTCTCAGAAACATGCCTCGAACCTGAAATTATTTCGAGATGCTTTGAAAATGCTTCCCCCTTCTTCGTCCGGATTACTGACTACGCCGCTTGAAGCTGCAAACAGTACCAGGTTGAACGACACCAGAGGGTCGGGTGTCGGGACGAGGAGGCAAAAGAACCCTTTAATCCACAACCTCTTGACAGATAAGCCGGCATATTCATCATCGCTGCCTACAAGCAGACTGGCACACGATGCGTCCTCAACACCAGTGACGACCTCGACTTTTGTGAAACGGGGTATGCCACTTACTATCTTGCCAAATCCTCACGCACAAACTTGGACTGCTACGTCGAAGCCTCGTCTACAATTGACCGACCCCAGGATCGACTTGGATCGTCTTACATACCTCATTGACGACTCGTTCAATCGGAAGCTCGACGTGGAAGCATATCTGAGGCGCGTCAATGATCGGATCGCCGGCGTGATCATTGCAGGTGAATACGAAGGCGGAGCGATCCTTACGTGGGAAACCCCACCGGGCTGTTCTGACGATGACACCGACCGCCTAGTGCCGTACCTTGACAAGTTTGCGGTCCTCAAGAAATCCCAAGGCGCAGGCGGCGTCGCCGACATTGTGTTCAACGCCATGGTGCGCACGTGCTTCCCCAATGGCGTGTGCTGGCGCAGTCGAAAGGACAACCCTGTCAACAAGTGGTACTTTGAACGGTCGAGGGGCACGTGGAAGATCCCCGAGACCAACTGGACCATGTTCTGGACGACGCCGGGCGTTTTCGATGATGACGGCCACAAGACACGCGTCTTTCTCGACTACGAGAGTGTCTGTCGGTCCGTGAAGCCCACCTGGGCGGATGGGAAGAGGATTGCCGATTAGATTTGTGAAACAGGAATCATGTGGAACAGGAATCATCCTTCAGAAGAGTTTGGCACTGTATATATGATTGGATATGTATACAGCCAATCTAGATTCTCTACGGATACAGAATTCTAAGGCGCGCAGGCCAGCCAACCTCACCGCCCCCGACAGACATGCTATGGTATGCAATGGTGTGGTATGGCCTGCTATCGTTCGTGAACGCGTGAACCTGTGCTTCCAGAAAAGTAATAAAGAGTCGTACTTAGACATATTCAGTACTGTAATCGCTCCATCCATTCAATGCGAGATCCAGACCCAGACCCAGACCCAGACCGATTCCCGCTCACGAACAGCTATTTTACACATTTTCATCCAGTGTCAATGTTAACGTTGTCTCCTCTCTTCTGGCTGTTTACTTCCTCCCATCCGTGTCTGTCGCGGTGTTAATGATCGACGGGCTGGTAACGTTAGCCTCTTCTGAGGCGCCCTTCCTCTTCAGCCTGCGTACGTCGCCGCGCAGCAGCGCAAGCAGGTATACCTCGCTGAGGTATTCGACTTCGTTTTCCTGCGCCTCTTTCTGCTTCTCTTTCTGTGCGGCCTGAGCCACCTGCGCCTGTGAGCCATCTGCGATGGAGGTTGCCGCTACGGCAGCAGCAGCAGCAGCGTGGTCGTGACATAAGCCGTCCTCGCGCACATCCTCAGTGCCTTGGACGCTTTCACCTTGAGCCTTTTCAGCCTCTCCTGAGTCACCACTAGCCACGTTATTCTTGTTCTTCTTGTTATCATTCTTCTTCTTCGAGATCCACACGTTGCCCAAGAACAAACCGGCTACTAGACTCAACCCTAGGATGGGCAGGATGGAAATGAATGCCCACATGGTCGCGGTGGCGCCTTGCGAACGGATAGCTTGTTGCTCCTCCGGCGGTAGGTTTTTGACCAGGTCGAGCGACGCTTGGTTGTGCAGGTTGAAGCCTCCTGTGGAGTCTGTTCCGTTGTTGTTGCCGGAGTTGACGGCGTTGGAGCCAAAGTACAGACTCATCTGGTTTTGAAACACGGAGCCCATGATCGTGAGGGAGAGGGTGCCGCCGAACGGCATTGCGAATCTCAGCAGTGAGTATACCGGCGCCAACTTGTCACGGAACATCCCGGCGAGGTGCAGGTTTGAAGGCATGAAGCGCATGCCGGTGCCCGCGCCAGCGATCCCCATCATGACGTTGACCAAGGTCTCGTGCTTGACCTTCACCGCGTAAGCGAGCACGGCGATCCCTGCGGTTTCGACGATAGTGCCGATGAGGAGGGGCGGAAATGTCTGTCGTGGGTATACGTTGCAGATGAATATCGCGAGGTACACACCGACTCCGATTCCGGGAACGTAGTACAAGAGCTGAGTGCCGGCGTGAGAAGCTTCGTACCCTTCAACCAGGGTGAAATAGATGCCGATGAAGTAGAAGACGCTGTAGAGAGCGGCGCCAGTGCCGGACGCGATGAAGCAGACTAGACCCACGTCCTTCGAGGAGAGGATAATGGAGGGGACCATCGGCACTGTGCCTTTGGGTAGGTGGCGCGAGAGGAAGCTGGTGGGAGAGGAAATGAGCAGTTCATAGAAGACGAATAGTACGATGAGAACGGCGCCGATGATCAGCGGCGCCAGCACCGCAGAGGAGGACCAGGGATATGTCGAACCGCCCCAGGCGGTTCCCAAGATGATGAGACCGACCCCGAAAATGAAGAGGATGATGCCACCAAAGTCGAGCGTAGAAAGGCCGCCTGCTAGAGCTTGGAGGCGGCTGGTATTTGGTGAAGGGAGCGAGATTGAGACTTTCCCTTTTCGGAGGTCGTTTCTAAGGATGAAGAGAGTGGCAATGCTTATTACGGCAATGCCCGCACCCAAAACAAAGCAGTACCGCCAGTCCGTGTTTGTCAGATACCCGCCGATAACGGGACCAACGCCTGGTAGGAGAGGGGGTCAGACAGGTTACGAAGGGCACTTTTCTTGGGGCTCAAATCGGAGGCACAGTCATGGAGCACGGGATAATATACGTACTGTAGCCAATCCCATTCAACAATTGGAAGATACTCGTGTTGATAGCCTGCTCCTTCAAGGACACCGAATCCGCCAGAACGATCATGCTGACATTCGAAACTCCTGCGGTGCCGATGCCTTGCAGTGCGCGACCGAGGAGAAGGACGGCCCAGTTCGGGGCCGCAGCGCATAGAACGCTCCCAATTGTCAATATGATCACCGCGAATTGTAGGGTCGCATGACGGCCAAAGGTATCTGCTAATTGGCCAAAGACGGGGATAAAGGCGGTCGACGTAAGAGTAAAGGCGGTAACGATCCAATTCAGCTGGTTAAACTTGTCTGCCAGCCCATTTCCATCAGTGTCTTGCAATGGGGAAACCGGGAGAAAGGGGACCTTGCTGACCGAAATGAGAGGCTATTTGTGGTAATGCTGTCGCAACAATGGTCAAGTCTAGGCTGGCCACGAAGAATGCCGGGAGCAGGCAGAAAAGAAGTTTCCATCTGTACTTGCGGGCTTTGCTCTTTTCCTGAGCACATTGCGGGCATGGCCTTTTCTTCTTGGGGTCATTCGATGGAGACTTGAGGTTAGTCGGCTGGATTGCAGAGCCATCGGAGGAGCTCAGTGTCGTTGATGTTTGGGTTTGCCCTTGGGCTTCAAGGGTTTTGCGAGCACGATAGGCTCTGATTTTGCGATAAGTGTATATGAAAACCATGATGTGATGTGAGGTCTATCTCAGAGCAAGGTATATCGAAGACGAAACTCGAGACATCTGGGCAGCAGAAAGTATCTTCAAGAACACTTATATCCAGTGATATGAGAGAAAACAATCCTGGAACACCTACTATAATGAACGCGAATACGATACCTCCCTTCACGCCGCACCACAGCCTCCCGCGCCTCTTCCCGTTTTGCGTTTTGACTGCGATTCGGCGAGGCTCTCTCGCGCGACCTGCCCAGAGAGGTATAGGCGAAAAAAGGCTTTACTACTATTCCCAGAGAGGAACATTCTTCGAGCCAATCATTTGAGCCAATCTTGGAATGAGTGGGCATAAGAGGTTCGCTTCAACGCATTCTTGGCTGAGGGTAGTGGAAGGTTTAAAGGTAGCAAGGGGCCGGACATCTCTAAACCGCATCAAGCACGTTGTGCGAATACGTTATGCGAAGTTCCTGGCAGCAGACAAAATAGAAATTGATCGATGAGAGTGAGTGAGAAAGTTGATGTTGGGGGATTTTGACTTTTTCGCTTGCTGCCGGCAGAATTGCCTTCGCAGTTCACTAAAGCGTCAGTGCCAAGCACCTAGTCGCTAGCGCAGCACTATGTGCAGGTGCCAATCCATCCCAAACCTTTCTGCCCATCATTCCCCTGATGCAACGTCACCAACAATCTCTCAATCCCGTTGAAGGCAGGCATGCCCATATGCATCACATGCAGTACTCCGGTCAAGGAGCTATACACTGTTTACAGCAAAGCAGATGACCGAACTCTGGGTAAAGGTGTGCGCTTGACACAATGCCCCAACTGCAAACGGTTCGCCGACAAATATGTCGAACATGACTTTGTCGTCCTCTTTATCGATCTGGTATTGATCAAACCACAGGTAAGTAGATTGTCTATAAATCTCATGCTTCGTTTGACCAGAGGGTAGGTCTACCGCCATCTTTTATTCAACAGGTTGGGACGCTCCGATGACAAGTTCGATCCCAGCATCTTGCGCCTGGGCACCTTGCTTGTCCTCTTCGACGTCTATATCACCTGGGCAAGGATCGAGAAATCAAATGTAACAAATGGTGGCCTTGCTGTGGGTTCCCGGCTTAGCGAGATGCCCATTCTAGCACAGTATCTTTTCTTTTTGACCATGAATGTCCTGGCGACGTTTGCCCAGCACGGCATTATTCGGACAATGGTCCGAATGCTTGTCTCCCATCAGGAAAAGAAAGACCAGGCTCTCGTAGATGCGAAGCCCACAACGGCCTCCTTCTCGACCCCCTATACTCGCCCGACCATTGCCCCAAGCCATGCCAGCTCTAGCGCCATCAGCACAGCCTTGCTAGTCTCCAGCTGCACCAAGTTATTTCCCATCCTGTTGGTCATCTGGCCGACAGAGACAAAGGAAAGCGACTCATTCGGTTTTGCATTTCGCGCGACAAACTATGTGGGATGGGCAGTCCTTCTCAACAATATCGAAGCACTGCTGATTTTACTCAACTGCGGGTATATGATTGCGACTGGCTTGGCAATTTCTGGTTTTGTCGCGAGGTGGATGGTGGAAGGCTGGTTTTTGAGCTTCATTGGGTTGGCACGAGATACTGGTCCTGTAGGAGATGTCCTGGCCGCGTATCGCTTTCTGGGAGAATGGTTGAAAGGGAGCGAATAGATCAGGATACACTACGGATGAGACTCTATGACACTACTCTGGACTCTTAACGGTATTCATTCTCAATCTCGTGCAGTGGTGTAAATGTGTTGGTGGATATCGCGCTTGAAGCCAAATGTGCACCCAGCCCATCTCTTCTCTCGACCACCCTTTCTCGCCCTGTCCATATTCCTTGTAAATTACTTCGGCCCGAAGTTTATCCGTTCAACCACTAGTGCCCCATTCAACAATAGCGACACAATGCCGACACGCGACAAGGTCACCTTCAACATTCCCTGTCTCCGTAGAAAGAGAGCAACGCCTGAACCAGACGTAAAGCCTCAGCCCAGGTCTGAGTTCGGCATGGATGAGTCTTCAGGCCGTGGCCATCGGGAGAAAAAACCTAGCGAAAAGCTCAAGGAACAGGTTACGGCCAAGGTTGACCGGCTTGACGACGAGAAACCTGTTGCCCTTCCCACTTACATTGCGCCCAACGATCCCAAATTTCTCCAAGACCAGAAGGAGGTTCCAAAATTCTTTGACCACTCCAAAACTGCCCCGAACGGTGACAAGACCGACTTCTACACGCTCGGAACACAGTACAGACTCCTTCATCTCTCGTGGAGAAAGCGGAATTGCTAACCTGGAGCAACAGCGTCGAGAGTAAGGAGAAACGTTACTACATTCGTGCGAAGCGAGATCCTACCACCTTTTATTTCCACGCCGACGAGCCTCCTCCGCGTTACGCCCGCCTGAGCGACGAGAATCACCCCCAATGTGGCGTCGAGAGTCTCAAGAATGTCTTCACCAAGGACATGCTGGGCAAGAGTGGGGAGTTCGGTAGCTACACCACGAGAGCCAATGTCTTTGCTCGGGAAGGGCAATTTTTCTTCGAAGCCAAAGTCATCAGCATTGCTCCGCCAGGTCGAGAGGCCCCAGATCGCGCGCTTGCGGACACCCAGAACTCCGACAGAACATCAACGAGCCGAGGTGGCCTGAGAGTGGGCTTCTGCAGACGTGAACACCACTGGAGTGAGAATTTGGGAGGCAATGCCTACTCGTATGCCGTTATTTTGAGGAGCGGAAGATCTAAAGAGTATGGCAGCGTGCGGTTCAACACAATGATGTACCATATGCAGGGTGAAGATGCACAAGATCCCGACGACTTGTCTCCAGGTGATGTTGTAGGGCTCATGATCACATTGCCGCCGCTGGAGGTACACCAAAAGGTCGTCGAGGGCACGTACAACCCGGCTGAGTACCCGCATCTCAGATGCGGTCCGGCGGTCATGAAGAAAAAACAAGGCGCGGGGAAAAAGTCTGCTAAGAGCGGACCAAAATCCAAGGATGGCGACGTGGCTAAGAGCAAGGACGAGTCTGTCAGACCGCACAACGCTCGAGCTGCTATCCGGTCCGCCTTGACACCGATGTTGGGGTGCACCGCGCCCTCGGATCACGACATCATCCGCGACCGCAATCCATTCCTCCACAAGGGTATGACCTACTTCGAATGTCCAGAATACACGCCCAACCACGACCTCAGCCGGCCCACGTTGAACACAAAGAACAAGTCCGTCAATCCTGAAACCGGCAAAAAGTACGATCTCCTCACCGAGCCCCATCCCAACCACGACCTACCTCACCTGCGCACCCTTCCTGGCAGTAAGATTGAACTTTGGGTAAATGGGAAATACCATGGCGTGGTCTGGGAACATCTCTTCGCGTTCCTCCCACCAGCTTCTTATATCGAGAAGGGCTCCAGAGCCGTCACTGGGGGCCATGGCGACGTGGATGATGGCTTGCTAGGATACTATCCAGCGATTAGTCACTACACTGGCGGAGCGATTGAGTGCAAGTTCGATGGGCCCTGGTGGTACGGCTATGAGAAGGACGGCCCTGCACACCCCGACGCCCGCCCAATCGGTGAGCGGTACCAAGAACAGATCGTTGAAGACATGGTCAACGACCTCGTCGATGAGATTTACCAGGAGAAGCTTTACAAGGACCGGGATTGGATGAAGAAGCGGGTCTTGGATGCGCCTGTCAGTCTTTCGCACAACTGATACAGACTAGGCATGGACACCATTCGGAATATTTCGTCTGACGGATATGCGCAAAGAATGGCGTGGCCCTATCTGGAACGATCAAAACGGCTGTTGAGGCGCGCATTGAGGTGTACGATCATGAGGTGACGATTGCCCCTAAATCTAGGAGGATACGGCATGCTCGCAGCTTCGAAGAAAAAGAGGCAAATACAGGGCAGGTGTAACGGAAAGGCAAATCATGATTGATAGGCGGTCAGGGAAGGGAAAAAGTCGATTACAGTGATACCCCATTCTGCATCAGCCCTCCAGGTAGAAGATAGGAAATAGCAATAGCATGACAAACACTCAACAAGAGGATTGAGGAAACCTTGCGATTTTTTGATTGGTTGTGTATAGTCCGAGCCCTAAGGGACGTCTGCAATACTGAGTAAGCTTATAGAGATTATACGAGGTACAGGAAGCGAAAAGCTGCAGTCAGCACTATGGCAACGCGACAGTTGCGGCAATATGATACTGCTGTGATGGGATATTGTGCTGAGGTCTAGCAACACGTAGGAGATCCTCATGGGGTAACAAGTTTCGGGTTTCTTTCTGACTCTTTCTCTTTCTTGCCCCGGTGGAGAACTTCCCCTGCGTCCTGAGAGACATTTCTCTTATGTACCTGGTAGAACTGGAACAGGCTGCCGCGTCTCCTGAAGCCACGGATAGACCAAAACAGCATGATCGGATGAGCATCGGCGCACGAGAGTGGGACAAGGAGGTGCGGCTGGCGAGTCTAAGGCTGAGCTGAGGACGGGGGAACTTCGCGTAGGAGGCAACATGGAGGAGGATTGAGGCAAGGGATGCGCTCAAGGCGCGATGATGGCGACATGAGTGGAGGCCAGAAATAGGATCATGTGTGGGAAGACGTGATGCGACTGGCTCGCGCAAAGGCTTGGATCCGAAACCCCCTTGCTGCGGCTGCGGTGTGGAGTCTTGGTTACCATACCCCCTGCGTCCACCGAAATCGACACTCTGGCCTTATTTAATTCCAGGTGCCTGTTCCTCAACCATCCAACTCGATCTCATCACCAACCCTCCTCTTCACACCTCTTCTACTCGTGAATGAATTTCCTTGGTTAATTTGTCCTTTGATGGTTCACTCCACTTTATACTGGCATGGCTCAGCCTGAGCAACCATGAGTCCGCCTTAGAGGATACGTGGTCACTTTGGCATCACCATAATAAACAGCCACCTAATCCCACTTGACGAACTTGCCATCTATCCTAATCAATCCTGCCATTTTTCGCACGAAAAGTACCCCGCCTATCACACCAATATGGCTGGCCCGGCAGATATCGTCGACCCTGCTTCTCTTACTGTAGCGGGCTACAGTCGCAGCTACCCAACGCCACCCCCATTGTCAGACGACAACAAGGAGGCCAGCCAACCTCCCCAAGAGCAACCTCAAAAGAAGAAGAGGAAGGCTTGGGGACAACCTGTTCCTGAAATCAAACAAATACTCCCACCTCGGAAACGAGCCAAGACCGCGGAGGAGAAGGAACAGAGAAAGAATGAGAGAATTCTCAGAAACCGCAGAGCAGCGGACAAATCTCGACAACGGCAAAAGGCTGCCGTGGCAGAACTTGAAGCACGGCAGATCCGGATTGAGAAAGAAAATGCCGCTCTTCGGGAACTCCTTGGTCGCTATCAGTCGAGATTCGGTGTCCAGGAGGACTTCCCTCTACCAGTCCCGGCTGAACCCCCCAAGATAGACCTTGACGATATGGACGATGCAGCAACGTGTCAAGACTTGCGCGCATCTTCCGCTCAACCGCCATTCACTCCATCGTCATTCAACGACTGCTCGGACTCTGAGTCCAGCCATCCAACCTTGGTGCTATCCGAGGATTCCACCCCTCTAAAACACGAATCCCCGGTCCTCGCTCCCCAACTCAACCTCATCCATGAACATCCCGAAGGTGAACAGACCACTTCTGACTCGATGGCAACGCTCTCAAGCTTCCCCTCGGTCTCCGGTATGACACAATATCCTGCTGTGGTATTGTGTGACCTGCAGTGTCAGCCGGAGACCTGGGCTATGAGCCTGCCTGCATTCCCATTGAGTCTCAAGCACAACCTTGGGATCAGTTACCTGCTTCAGGTCTTCCAGACCTTGACGATATTTCACTCCTTCTCGACGACAACGCTCTTGCCAATGTGCAATCTTTTCCAGATTTTGGCACAGCGATTGTCAATGACCTCGACGGAACAGGATTTCTCCTCCATCCTGACCAACTTCCCACTAATTCATTCTTTGATTTCGATGCCTTCGACACCGACCAGGCCAGCGGTCTTTCGCATGAAGCTTCTGAGCCGACTACTCGCTTGCAGCCCACACATGGCGCGCCTCTTACTGGCAGCGACAGACCGGGCTTTGCAGCAAGTGGTTAGCGAGGAAGGTTTTGCCGAAGACCCTGACCGTCGGTGGACGTGGTCGAGTCTGATGACGATCAAGTGGGTTATTCTGAGGTTGGAGAGAGAGCATCGCAAAATCCGTCGTCGAGTTTGGATGGATAAGAAAGGTGCTGCTGTTCAGAATGGAGTTTCGGAGTTAAAGGTCATGGCGGGCGTCGATTATGGAGCCGTTGCCAGAAATTCACAGCTCTGGCAAGGAGCGAGCTCCAACTGTACGATTACTAGGGATGATGGCGGGAGCTGGTTGCCAGCACAGGAGGTCCACTGAGATTGATAACGAACTTCCATAGATGAGATCAACCGAAAAGCTTTGATACGACCATGACTTATTTTGCCATTGTAGCCCTGGAAGTTTAGTCTGCCCCTAAACTTCTTAACCCCTAAACTTCTTAAAAAATCTATAATCCATGAAGCTGTGGAACGATACAACGCGCTCCTGGCATGGAGTTGTTACTGCGGTCACGTGAGACTGGAGGCTTAAAAACGGCGCGGGCGCAGTTTCAGTAATAACAATTGTGGGTGATTGAACTCTCATCCCCACCAGCTCTAGCCATGATCGTCCAAGGCAACTACCGCCAATAAATTCAAAACTCCATGGCACCACAAAGACTGTGCACTTACTTTGCGAAGGGACGATGTATGAAGGGCAACAATTGCACTTTCTCTCATGAGCGGACCATAAACAGCGAGCAACATGTCAAGGCGGGCGCATACACTTCACGCACCGCGGTTGAACACTTCGATACTACTGGAGCAGCGGTGACTCGTAGCAACCCCCTTGCTCAAATACCTCAAGACTCTCGCGCAACAATTCCTTGCCAGTTTCTTCGGGCCCCCAGTGGTTGTCGAAATGACCCATGTCCGTACCTCCATGCGCCAGATGGTTATGAAGTTGGGAGGACAGCTATTCCTGAGGTGAATGAGAACGAAGTAACACAGGAAAAAAAGGGTGAGGACGACTTTACGCGAGTTCTGTCGGGTGCCCTGGTCTCCTTCAACGAAATCGGTCAAATTCGCAGAGTTTCTCTCCCAACCGACTTCTCTCGTGCATGTATAACCGGTCTTTCACCCACGATCCAAACCGAAACAGTGGTTCAGATGCTTCTTGGCTTCGGCTTCAATATAGACATTGAGTGTGTTCGAATCTTGAGAGATACCGCACCGCCAAAGACAAAAGCTCTAGTAAAAGCGGAAAACCCGTCATTTGCGAAAGAGCTCAGCGACAAGCTTAGGCAGCAAAAGACTGAAGTCAGCGCGGTGCCACTTCCAATTGATAGCAGGAGGTCGAATTGCAGAAAAGTCTACATATCCTGGCACAAAGCTACCCGAAGCTTTTGGCTAAACTTTGGCCGTAGCGATATTGCGAACCGCGTTGCACAGAAATTCGCCGAAGGTTATTACAAAGTTCTAGGTCAATCCGTCACATGTTCCGATGTGAAGGGAGGTGCTCCTCGAGGGCCAAAAGGTGGGTTTTCGCACAATCCTGTCGCTTGGACAGTTATGTTATGCGATGTACCTGGCGATGCAACAAACAAAGATGTCCAAGATGGCATCCACACGCCATATGACAGACCACGACACATCGAGCCATCGCCCGTTAGCTACTACGCTTCAGACACACAAGTTGGTCTCCAAGTGCGTTCCCTCTTGGAAGAACACGGCCGACTGGAGAGTTTCTATCTCCCGCCGACATCCAAGGGCAGGCGAGTGAAGGCTGTCGCTTGGTTTGAGGACGAGGCAGACGCGATATCCGCGTGCTCGCTCCACAACAAGCAGATATCTATCCTGCAGCAGGGGAAGCTGACTCTAACACTTGTACAGTCTGTCAAGGTTAAGATCCAAACGCCAGTCTACTTCGCATCCAAGAGCAGGATTGAGGAGGAAATGAAGATCTGGGCGGGGCAACATCTCACCTCGCGTGTGTACGTGGATACCGTGCCAGGGTTTACAGCAATCAAGGTTGAGGGTGCCAATGCGAATGATGTGGTCCGAGCTCGCAAAGCCCTCGATGAAATATCGCAGGGAGATATCTTACGAGACGGCGAAAATCCCGTCTGGGCATCCGCACTCAAGACTAATGGAAGCCCATACAAGAAAGTCAAGGCGATTGAGAAAGAACTCGGTATATTGATCCGCAGGGACAAATCGAAAAGTCACCTTTATTTTTATGGACCCTTTGCCAAATATCAACAAGCTATTGCCCATATCAGAGAAGCGCTCAAAGATGAATCCTCTTTCAGCTCTCACATCGACCTCAGTCCCGAACAATTTTCACGCATGGTCCGAGGCGGTTTCAAGTCCGTTGAAAAAGCTCTGGGTAGGAATGTGGCCGTTTTCGACGTGATATCGAAGCGTCTTACAGTCGGTGGCACAAGGCAACAATACGATATAGCTTTGGCAGTCGTTAATGGCGCAGACGCTGTGGAAATTCGTGACGTCGCAGCCAGTCAATCCCTGACTGAAGGAGACTGCCCGATCTGCTTCTGTGAGGCGGAAACCCCGGTTCAGACCTCGTGCAAGCACACTTACTGCCTCGAGTGTTTTGAGGCTAGCTGCAAATCCGCGGCATCGACCAGCAAAAACGATTTTCGAGTCAAGTGCCAAGGGAACGGCGGTACTTGCTCGACCATATTCACGCTCCAAGAGTTGAAAGAACAACTATCGTCTTCTGTCTTTGAAAGTGTGCTCAGATCATCCTTTGAAGAGTATCTCCAACGTCATCCCGAGGCGTTCCACTATTGCTCCACGCCAGACTGCGACTATGTGTACCGCTGCACGGCCGCTTCAAACTTGAGGCCACCGGCTTACAGGTGTCCGAATTGTCTTGAGTCAGGGTGCACATCCTGCCACGCAAGACACGACGATCTCACGTGTGCCCAATATAAAGACATCGCCTCGGGTGGCTACGAAGCACTCGAACAGCTGAAGAAGAAGCTGAACATCAAAGACTGCCCTAAATGTACGACACCGATCGAGAAGACAGATGGATGCAATCATATAACATGTGGGGGTTGCAAGGCGCACCTGTGCTGGGTGTGTATGGCAGTCTTCAAGGACCGCACATCTTGCTATGCACACATGTCCGAAGCACACGGAGGTCACGGAGGGGTACCTTTGAACTTGATGGGTTGGTGATGATTGAGACATGGCCCATCCTTAGGTATCTGATTACCATAGTTCATCTCCGCTAGAACACAGGATAGTAATAATACGCGTTTTGGATGTCCTGCAGACAACCAAACTCGACGTTGCCTGACTGCTCCGCAGGTCCGGTGGATCAATTGTACCATATGTACATAATACCGCAGAGCATTTCAACCCTGAGCGCAGCCTTGATTCTTGGCAGAGCCTCGCGTCGCAATGCGCAGTTCGTCTTGCGGCGCGACAGAAAAATGTCCCTCATGATTTGCGATCCGCCGCGCCAGCCTCATTGACAAGGATAGATAAATGTGACCGCGTAACCCCGCGATGCCTCCTTTTAAAGATGAGCATGTGCTCGTAAGCGTCACTGCCGCGCGCAAAGGACAACACCAAAGAACCGCTTTTGCTGACCCTCTCCTAGATCATTGCGCCTGGCTCGCAAATCACCGCCGCGCAGCTCGGGTTGCCCGAATCTTTTACCCCTCCGAGGTATCGCTTTCCCACGCGCATGTTCGCGGGCGCGAACCCTGGAGAATGGGAACCCATCAAGATCAGAACCAAGATCACGACGAAGCCGAAAGTGGTCGGACCGGAACCCGCGCCCGCTCCTGCGCCTGCTGAGCCGGAACCGATTGAGGTCGAGGCCAAACCAGATATTCCTCTTACAGATGGCGAGGAGAAAAAGGCTGAACAAGCAAATGGCGACCAGATAAATGGGGGAGCGGCTGAGGCTGAGCAAACCAATGGCGAAGTTCCCCAAACCACGCAGCCAAATGGAGAACCAGAACCCCAACCCAAGGTGGAAGAACCGCCAGCCGATGAGCAAGCTAAAGCTGAAGAGCCAAAACAAGAACCTGCTCCGTTGGAGGATGTCGAGATGAAAGAGGCTCCTGCAGCTGAGGAAGCCTCTAAACCCGAGACTGGGGACACTGAGATGGCTCCGCAGCCGGACCAGGAAGCACAACCCGCAGCACCCCAAGAAGGAGGAGAAGCCACGGCCGAAGTTGAAGAGGAAACCACAGAAGTTTTCGAGGACGACCATTGGTCTACCGAAGGCGCTGTCTACCCGATCAAGGAAGGACACATTGAGAATTGGCCATGTTTCTTTGCCCTTCTTTCGCACATCTACAACATGATCTCCCCACCCTTCCATATGCCGGTCCTCTTCGTTGCACAGCCGTGTTGGAGCGCCAGAGATCATGAAATGATTACCCAATACGTCTTTGAACATTGGAAGATTCCAGCCTTCTGTCTAATGGACGCCGCGTTGACGGCGTGCTATGCATATGGCGTGCCGACTGCGCTGGTGTTGGATGTCGGGCACGAGAAATGTGATGTTAGTGCAGTTACAGATTTTCAGGTGAACGAACTTGGACGGGGCATGGCGCTTTCTGGTTGTGGCGGACGCGCGATGACACTTCGGCTCCAGCAGTTGTTGGAGAGCCAAGGGTTCGACGAAGATATGGCAGAGCAATTGAAAAAGAGCCCGATCTGCGAGATTTTGCCTGTTGGAACGCCCTATCCAAAGTCTATCACCAGCAGCACAGCTGTTGTTGCCCCCAATCCTGCTGCCGCGGCATCTACAGGAGCGTTGGATTCTGGCATGAACGCAAAGGATGGCGAGGGACTGAGACCGGGACAGGCACCTCGAGGTCCAGGGATGGGAACCATGGTTGGTGAAGAAGGTCCTAATGGCGATGAAGAGGACAATGAAGGTGTTCTTGATGTCGCGGCCATCGTTGCGCGCGACAACGCTGCCGAGTTGCTCGCAAAGCGCGAACGGGAAAAGGCCGAAAAAGCCGCGGCGAAGAAAGGTGGCGCCGTTGATGCTGCCAGACAAGTCCGACTACGCAACTCAGAACGAGAACACGCTTCTTTCACCTATGTGGACTTTGTCCCGGTGGAGGAGTCGACGGAAGGAGGTCTGCCCTTGAGTCGAAAACGAAAACGGGAGATTGAAGTTGGGGTGGAACGATTCATGGCAACAACTCCCGCTCCAGGAGCTTCTGAGGGCATCATCGACATAATTGCCGAGGCGATCCATCATACCATCTCGAGTGTTCCAGACATTCCCCAGCGGGCGACACTCTGGGACAATCTGATCATATTGGGAAATGGAAGTCGAATCAGAGGTAGGTTTGATTTGGGATTGAGAGAAAGCGCTGTTGCTAACCATGCCTTGTGCCGTGACAACAGGCTTCACGTCAAACCTTCTCTCGGTGCTCAACTCACGATATGTGTTGTCTCCGTCAACTGCCACCATTTTTACCTCTGAGCTCCCCTCGAATTTCACAACTCCGGTCGCCACGCCCGGCACAAACACACCCATTCCCGGCCAGGGAAACCACGCCTTCCATAATCCGGGGGGTCATGGTGTTAACCCTTTGCTTGTTGCCGCAACCAAGAACATGATGCAGCCTCACACGCAACCGCACCATCTTCAAGTGCCTGGCATGAATCCTTCTCTGGTAGGGACACCAACGCCAATGGGCGGGTCCGATCCAAACAACCCCATGTCGACAATCTCCCACCAACATAGGGGATTCTCCCAGACGCCCATCTCCATCAAAGTCGTCAAACCGCCCGAATATTTCCCCGAGTGGAAGACCCCAGCCATGTCCGGCATGGAAGAAGCTGGGTTCTTGGGGGCTCAAGTGGCTGCTAAAGTGGTGTTCATTGTGGACCAGGGTAACAGCAAGGGATTCCTGAGCCGGAGCGAGTATAACGAACTCGGTCCTGGCGGAATCCACGAATGTGCCATGTAGCATTATTCCACGCACAAGTGAAGATTTCGGGGAGTTATATTAGGCATGCACGGAGGCGGTCACTCGGTTAGGGGGACTCAAGACGAATAAAAGGGGGGAAGGGGTTCAATCATGGCGTTTGAGAGGTGTGCATGTCAACCAGCTCATCGCATCGTCGTGGTGGCATTTTGGGTTAGGTAAAGACCAGTTCAAGTGATGCATATATACCATCAGTAAGGAAGGAATGGAGACGCTGACCAGGGCACGATTTCATCCAGTAAAGCCCGGCAATCTATTTATCTATCCATTATCACAACAGCTGTTCCCATTGATCCAGCGTGACTCGGGTTATGTTGCTATTGGGCTCATGTCTTCCTCTTTTCATTGCGGTAGTATCGATATGATGAGACTATGCATACCTCTGGACAAGAATTGAATTATATGGGACTGGCTGTCCATACCTCCCGAGAAGAATTGTATGTCTCCGACCCAGAGTGATATCAATATTAAAACGAGAGTTGAGCGGTGCAAACTTGGACGAACAAAGTCTCGTCGAGAGGTCGAGAGGTCGAGAGGCCGTGATACAGGTATCCTGGGACATGTTTAATCGGTTGATTCCGACTTGTTCATTCCATGGTCTACACTACCACACACACGAGGTCCGTACCCGATGACCGATGAGTACTAGGTACCAGACAGACAGACAGACTGACTGATTGATGGGGGTCTACTGCAATTACCCTTTCATCGTCTCGCGTGCCGCGTCAAACTCAACACAATCCTGTGCGAGAGGATCCATCACCTATACCATCACACAACTCAACCCTCCTCGGTTCTTCGTCTGCTTTGCTGCGTGGCTGACTTGCCCTCTAGCTCACCAGCTCACCAGCTCACCACCTCGCAAGCCCGCTCACACTCTCGTTCGATCACCTGTAATACCTCCAATAAGGATGTTTCTCCATCAAGCCATCCTCGTCAAAGTCGATGACGCGGTCCGTGGGCGGCGGGCCGTACAGGGCGTCGCGCCTGCGATTCTCGCGGACGTTGAGGACGGTGACGATGGCGGCGCCCGTGCCGGTGAAACAGGTGCAGGCGAATAGGACCCAGAAGCCTGTCTTGTACTCGGGCCCGTCCTTCTGGGGGAAGAGGTAGCCCGTGGCGACGCCCATGGTGGAGCCAAAGGCCTGGAACAGGCCCGAGGCGATGGCCTTTTTGATGTCGCCGCAGCAGTTGCCCGTGACGTTGCCGACCGAGAGGGTCACGCCGGAGAGGATGCCCGTGAGGGTGAGGAAGGTGGCGCCGTAGCGGGCGTGGTTGTACCGCGAGGGCAGCAGCACGAGCATCAGGTCCCCCGTGGCGGCGACGAGGGAGTTGATCACCAGCAGGCCCGAGCACGACTTGAGCCGGTCGGACAGGTACCCGACGACGAAGACCATGACGAAGGCGACGCAGTAGGGCGGCGCGACCATCAGCTGCGCCTTGACCTTGTCGAACCCCATCGTGTTGACGATGATGGGCGTAAACGTTGCGATCGTGTACGTCGAAATCACCTGGCACATGTAGATGGCGATGTTGGCCCACATGCGCCAGTCCTGCAGCTGCCGCGCCACCACGGCCCAGTGCACCTTGCCGTGCGTGCGGTTGCCGTCGTTCATCATCCGCCAGTCGGCCACGTCGCGTTCGCGCGGGCTGAGCCACCGCGTGTTGTGTGGGCGGTCCGGCAGCACCCAGATGCAGAGGATACCAAAGGCGATGGTCAGCAGACCCTCGAGGATGAACAGGACCTGCCAATTTTCAATGCGCGGGTTGGAGATGTGCGCCACGCCCCAGGCGATCCAGCCGCCAAAGGCCCCGGCGATGGGCGTTGCTGAGAGGTACACGCAGATGCGCTTGCCCCATTCCTATACGTGTGTATTCGAAGTAAGTAGGTGATTCTTAAGCCTGTCTTGTCAGGTGGACTTGGTAGAAGACGAGTGCTTACCGCTCGAGGATACATCTGTAGGTCACTATTAGTATGGATACATAGACCATTGCTGAGCGAGTGGTGCAGGTCTGTCTCTCTCGCAGACATAGACTTATGTACTCACCACTGTTGTCAAATATGGCGCCCCTGAGATGAACGCGGCCTCAAAGATGCCCAAGAAGAACCTGATGGCATATAACCCGGCAGCTCCACCGGCGACTGCCTGGAGTGTCGCCATGATACCCCAGATGATCTACATGTGAGTCAAGTCAGCGTGAACACTCGTCCAGAGATCTGTCCCAAGGCACGGATGGACCTACCATTGCCCCAGAGAGATAGAGACTCGGACGAATATATCGCATTCCGACGTTGGTGAAGAGGTCAGCGACGCAGGTGCCCACGAAGAACATGCTGACAGCGAGACTAAACTGAGCTCCTGAGAGGTTGAGGTCCGTCTTGATGTCCATCAGGGCAGCATTACCTAGAATCCCGACTGTGTTAGTGCCGATCGTGCACGCATATGAATTTCGGGGAACGTCAGAGGGAAGGACAATCACCTACCCAATGCTCCACGGTCCAGCCAGGTGAAGATATACAGGACCATCAAGAAGGGTGGGAGGCGCAGGTCAATCTTCCTCCTCACCCGTTTGACTTCGTCTGGCGTTATCGGAGGGTCGAGGTTGTTTAGTCTCGCGACGAGTTGCTCGTGCTCCGAGACCTTTTCGACATGGACGCCGCTGGTCTCGACGCCCACCTCTTTTGACATGGTGATGGGCTCTGGGAGGGTTGTAGTGGTGCTCGCCATGGTGTGATAATGTCCTCAGCCGGCCGTCTATCGTGTATAGGTGATCCTGCTCGAAAAAGAAATGCTCGACAAGGCCAGAGGTGTCTCTTCACAGTATCGAGCAAAACAAGAGAAGAAAAAGAGGAAAGGCGTCAAGATTCACGACCCTCGTCTCCTTGCGCAAACACTGTCGGTATTTGAATATCTCTCCCTCTCATAAAGCTCCAACTTGCCATCCTGTCTGCCGGATCGGCGTAGACCCCGGCGGGCACATGGGGTTTGTCGACCGATGGGTTGGACAAGTACCCTGTGCCTCCCCATGGCAACCACTCCCTGGCTTGGCGCATTATCTCACGTCTGGATAGGGAGCGAGTTCCGTCGTCCCGGGTGATGATCCGCCGGAAAACAGAGTCGCAAAGGAGTATCATGCAGGTCGCGAGGAGACGGCCAAGCACGAAATGATGAAGCGATTTGCGCAGCGCGTGGGAGGGTTGTTCTGATCCTCCTCTTTCAGGGAAATGCATGTTGATCTCTCTCCGCACGCCCAGGACGAGGCAGGTTGATCTGTACGAGTAAGCTGGCGGTCTGGAGATGGAGGACGCCAGGGACCTGTGAGTCCACACTGATTGCAATTCAAGGGCATGGACATGGGGGAAGTTGTCCCGGTACCGGGGCAATAAAGGCCGAACGGACTTGGGGGATTCAGCTCTTATGGAACGTCATTGACTCAATAATATTCTCAACTTTCGTCTGCTTCGAGGCGTCACAAGGAGGAGCGAATTGACATGGCACATGCGTTGACCCCCGCAAAATGGTTTTCCCCTCTCCACAAATATAATATGGGGGATCAACCCCTTTTCCCACCCAGCCTCGGTATCTCGACCTCCCCCGCGGGGGAAGAGGGACTTGCTACTCAGCAGTATAGAACCGAATCTCCAAGACAGTTCGCAGTAATTGGTTTCCGGATATCCGTATTGCCGTCTAGCCAGGTAGGTAAGCTGAGCATCAACATCTCCTGACCTGGTTTCTTTCCATGTCTCGATATATATATCTTATCGTGCAAGCCTGGCTTACTCGCTCTGCTTCGTGCGGGAAACTCCGAGATATCTTTTCTTTGTCGAGAATCCCGCTTATCTCTCGTTAACAGGGCCATCGGTTTCCTCCCGCGGGGGCGGCATTAAATTGACGGGTGTCCGGTTAATGAACTTGCGCCCTTCCAGACGACAGGCTAGTGATAAAAGGAATCTGCAAACAATCTTGGGCACTTTCCACCCTTGTGAAAGGACGACGAATCCTTCGTTGAGGCTGAAGAACAGAATATCATAGCAGTTCCCCTTTGCGTTCCCCCCTGAGTGACCGTGGACGATGCCTCACGCCACAGATACCGAGTACCACCACATCGGGCTGAAGCAGCTCGGCCCGACATTCGCAGCTGAGGTCACTGGGGTGGATTTCTCCAAGCCTGTTGAGAAGGACGTATTTGATGAAATCCGTCGAGCCATTGTCGACGTAAGCACATTCCTCTCTTCATTGCCATTCTACCAACAGAATGTATCAGTCGTTTGAATGCCGATGATATATTTCCCCTCTTAGCTTCGGCACTGTTGGTAAACTGACGCTATATCGGTAGTATGGAGTGCTCGTTTTCCGCAACGCCGGTCTCGACGATGCACGACATGTTGCCTTCTCTGCCCTCTTTGGCGAACTAGACGACATCAAGCCATATTTGACTTTAGGTCGCAAGAATCGCTTCCCCTTTGATGAGCTGTTCGACGTCTCGAACCAAGAGGACGACGGGCAACTTGTCAAAATTGGAAGTAAACGTCATCACATGGGTCTGGTAAGCAGGAACAGAACCCCTGGGCCATTTTACCTTCCTCCCCAAATCTCTAGAGTAGGGTCAGTAGCTCACCTACCTACCTGGTACCAGGGCAATTCGATCTTTCACGTCGACTCGAGTTTCAACCCCCGACGAGCCGGCTATAGTCTCCTTCGCGCCCACCAGCTTCCCCCCAAGGGCCACGGCGGCAACACCGACTTCGCCGACACGCGAACCGCCTTTGACGAGCTTCCCGAAGACCTGCGCCGCGACCTGCTCGAGAACGAGTATATTGGGGCGCACAGCCTGATGCATTCGCGGAAGAAAGCCGCGCCCAAAGACAGCCCGTGGCTGAAGGACGTGAACCCGGAAGAATTCCCCTTTGGGCGGCACGACGTGGTCCAGACACACCGCCCCAGCGGACGGCGCAACCTCTACATCGCCAACCACATGCATCACCTCGAGTACAAGACGCCGCGCTCAGCCGACTTTGTGCCCACGCCAACGCAGCCGTTTGAACGGGTCCCCGAGCCGCAGGGTACGGAGCTCATCGAGAGACTGCTCGCGCACGCCGCACAGCCCAAGTACGTCGTCAGCGTCGAGTGGGAGAACGAGGGCGACCTGGTCGTGTGGGACAATACCTGCGTCATGCACAAGGCCGGCGAGGGCACGTTTATGGAGAAGTTCGCCCGCGACATGAGGAGGTGTACCGTGCACGACGGCAGCGTGGATGCGTGGGGACACAACGAGCGGACGACCAAGAGGATGGGGTTGCCGTGAGCTGGACAACCTCCTTTTGTACCGTCTTTCCAATGCTTTGTGTTGATTGATTGTAAGCTTGTGACTTACCTACAGTAGGTAGTGGTAGCATGCAGCCTCTTTTCCAGTGTTATTGTTACTTTCAAGCAATATCACTCTTCTCCTCACCCACACTCGCACCGTGAGAGAAACATGGTACGAGACCGCAACATCTCATCATACCATACCTAGCACATCAATATATCAATATATCATATATATACATTATATATGCCCCGAACTGTGCTTCGTCCATTACCATTTTCGTTCGGGAAAGGGAGCGCCGCCGCTTTACTCGGGCACGTGACGGATGCCCGGCCGAGTACGGGAGAGCGCCGCGGGAGCCACGGGGGCTCGGTGATGCTGTCAAAAAGATAATTCTCCGTGAGTTAAATATCGCCGTCGCTGCAAGTGGGATATTAATGACCGTCATGAGGAATGGGGCGGAGGATCAAATAAATGAGACCCCAAGAGGGATGTAAATAGGAAGAATCGATATAAGAGCTTTTCGACCCTAGGGTGGCTTCCTACGATAATTAGGATAGTTAAACCTACTAAAGTACCTACGGCTTTTTACCTTATCACTTCTCTTCCCTTAGCACGTTCGACCTGCTAGAATAGATGGGAAATAGGTTTAGGTATGTCTTTCCCTTTATATATCCACATCTAAAGGTCCCCTCGATTGGTTCTTCAACTGTGCATATTTCTAGCTCGTATGTATTTCTCTAGTGAAATTAGCGAAGTGATATTGAACTGGGGCGAGGCTCTTAGCCAGAGGTATCAACTCGTACGGCGGTGGGTATAGTGGTAGGGGTAACGACTATCGCTCAATAATAATAACAATAACATAGAAGGTCCTGATTAGATAGGTTCCATAACTAGATAGATAACTTGATTGCTCTCTACCGTGTCTCACGGTATGTCCTTCTCTACTTAAGGAAAAAGAAAGGAAAACTCAGACCTAATGCCCGTGTCCCCACTAACTAATGATCAAGAGTGCCTACCTGTACATTGTACAGGCCAATTCCACCAATCACGTTCCAGCTTGCCTTTCTCCCCCATTACATCCCTCCCATTGTCACTCGCTTCCTTGACGCCCTCGCTCAAGGTCTGAGTCCTAGTGATGTCACAAGCTCTCTCAGTTCTTCTTGATACCTTTCAACATCTTTGCGAGGTTATCGACCTATCTCTCGTCTAATCCCTTCGGGCTAGGGAGCTCCGACTTCGTTGATTCATTCACTCGCTTTATATCTCGTCTAATCATTCGAAAGATATAGTGTGTAATATTAAAGCGATCTTCGATGTCTACTTGAACAGCGGATAGTGCTGATTGAAGGCGTACGGTCTCGTAAGTTTCAGCATTAAGGATTACCTCCGCGTTTCTAATCGCCTACAGTCTACAGCTATTAGTGTCGTTTTAAAAGTTAGACACTAGAGTGATCTCTCGCGGCGGTATACTAAAAACACGCGCTTTCAGCCATTAGATAAAGAAACCGAGCATTTCCCTCGCTCTAGTTAAGAGATAAGGCTTCGAGTTAATAACTAAGTATAACTAAGTAGTTCCGTCCGCCATAAAGAGGAGCTAATAGTATCCTCTTCCCTATAGACTATCGTTAACGATTATAATCCGTCTTAAATAGTCGTTAACGTCTCCCTAATATCGAAAGTCAGCTAACTTTCCTTAGTTCTTACTTTAAGTAACCTAAAAGTTGAATGCTAGACTTGAAATTACTAAGTATTTTACATTAGATTCCTTCCGGAGGGTAGTAATCGTAGCGTCGATAAAGGAACTACTTACCTAACTATCTCAATCGGAACTTAAGACTATACTTTAGATGGTTTCACTACTAACGCTAATAGTACGGTAGTTAGGATATCCCGATAAGACCTAATAATGTTCGGTTCCGAGCTTTTCTTCCCACTATTTAATTAATTAATCGAGGCGCTTTATAGGATCTTTATACTGGGTAGCTATACGCTCTAGCCCTTCTAGATGCTTTATAATTCCTCTTTCGGCTATATAGAGGTATACGCTTAGATATCGTCCTAGCATAAATCTAGTAAGTAGACTTAGTACATCGATCATCTTCTTAGCTCCGAATTCGTGGTATCGCTGAATATCTTCATCGCTAACTAGTGGCGCATCCCTTCCGTAATTAGTCTATATAATATATCGGTTAACTATATCCTACGCGAATACTACCGGACTTCTAGGGTTTAGAATTAGATTTAGTAGGTTCTAAGGAGGGTTACTTCTAAGTGCCTATAGTGGAGGAATAGCGCTAGAGGGACTCGCGACGCGCATTCCCCAGTTTATAATTTACTGTCCGACTTTGATTCTATAGAAGAGTTCTAAGACCTTTAGCTTCTTTACGCTTAGATTAAAGGCCGGACTTAAACCTAGTGTAGTCGTCTATAGCCGTACTCGCTTTAATACCCTAGAAATGTCGATTAGGTTAGCCTTTATCTATTCTATCCATTCTCGACTCCTAAGGGTAGGACGTGATTCTCCTAGCTATATAAGCTATATTAGAGTCCCTTATTTCATTTCTATTGAATTAGACCGTATCGGAAGAGATCCTTCCTACGGACGTATAGTAACCGGAGCGAGTAGAGTTAGCGTAGTAGGCGGCTTCGGAGTAGTACGTTATTAAGAGTTCTAAGGGGGATCTTAAGGAGAATCCTTTTTAGATCCTTAAGAGGACTTTCGAGAGACATTCTATAGAGGATTAGGAGGAGGATTCTATCCGGAACCTTAACTTTGTCGGATTACCTATATACTGTAGCGCCTTATAGAGTTTGACGTTAGTCTAGCTAACCCCGTAAAGCTCGAGAGTTAAGACGGAGGTAACTTCCCGGTACCGGAACGAGTAATCGGTCTATAAACGACTAGAGTAGATATATTTCTAGAAGCTTATCCTTGAATTATAAGAGGCGTAACCGGACTAGGTTTCCCTTAAGATGCGACGAGATTAGCGTAGTTCACTAGAAGTACTCCGAACTAATATAGATTCTCCGCCTCTATTAAACCGTATTAATTAAGGGTCTCCTTCTAATCGGGATAGTAGTACTCTACGCCCCGTATAGCTATATCTAGTAAGTAGCCGTCTAGAACGATTTAGATATCTAACGCGATTAGATATAGCGTAGTATTAAAGTGTCTCCCTTTTCGAATACGTACGAGACGGGTAACTATCTTGTACGAAGCTTCTTATAGTAGGTAGAGAGGTGTTACGTTATAATAATAAGGGTGTTTTCTAGCGAATTAGTACTACTCTAAAAGTATAGTCGTATCTCCCCCGTAGGGAATGATAAGTTCATTAAAGAATTCTAGTGACGTCTAGATAGGTAGTTTCGTAAATCCTCCTTTCGGCGTAGGGACGTCTTTCTCTTTACATTTGTAATTGAAAACTTTCATATCGCTCGGCCGACTATAATCCGAGAGTAACTTATTACGTATCTCCGCGCGGCGATCCCGTCTAGTATTAAACGCTCTTTTTCCGCCGAGGAGTCTAGGACACTTTCGAAAGGCTTCCTTAGCATTTAGTAAGTTCTTAGTGAGGTCGTAGATACGCTAAGCTATAAAGTTACGAATATCCCCTATCTATCGATATTTCACCTTAAGGGATCTATAGAAGTCTCCGACTATACTCTTGTTATCCCAGTCTACTATAGCGATTATATCTTCAATCGAAACTTCTCGAATATTATCTAGGTGTTTAACGGTAAGAACTAGCTAGTTATCAATCGTTCCCGCGTTCAGGGCTCGATACTAATTACCTCGTCTAACCGCGGACATCGAGGTAGGATTCGGTAAGATAGTAGGAGGTTTCGGTTAAAGTACCCGCGGATTTCTAGATATCTTAATGAAGAAGTTAAGGGCGTACCGTAGAGAAAGCCGAGAGGAAAGGTTTTAGGAGGAGAATAAGTCGAAATTAGATTAGCGTTTCAGAATCTCTTTTTAGAGAAGGTAATCGTGAGTAAAAGGGTAGTGAAAGAGACTAGAGAGATCGAGGTAATCGTAACTATAGTGTATTAACCCGCGAGATCGAGGTAGGAAGGAAGGTAGACTAGAAGGTGCGATACGGATACTTATAGAAGCCTCTCCTAAGCGTATATATATTTCGGAATTTCTACGGTCGAACTTCCGCCCCTACGTCTTAGATTCTTCACTCCTTAGCCGATTATATATAAGTATATGATTAACTACGATAGGTCTATTACTTCAATCCTTACTATTATCGTTATTCGTACGTGACGAATCGGCCGCCGTTTAACGGTAGGGTGACTGAATTTACTTTCTCCTCTATTACGGCTTTCGTTTACTCCGTGAGTTATGATTTCATAGAACGCCTACCTATTTCCTTCGAAAACGCTACTCTCTACTCCTATATCGGCCTTACTATTTAAAAGTAGTCTATAAATGCCTCTAGTTCAGTTATTACGCCGTTTTAACTAATTAGAGCGCTTTATTTTCCCTATATAATATATAGGGAGATTTCGACTAATCAGAAGTCGCGCTAATTCCACTAGCGTAACCTTAATTTTTCATCTCGCCTCACTCTACGCTTTCTCTTAGTCAACTCATCAGTTAGACGGCGATGCTTTAATCCCTCCCTCCTTCTTTTCTTTAGCTATATCGTAGGGCTAACGGAGTCGTAGGTCCGGAAGTATCGTAGTCTACCGAAACGAAATGTAGACTTTAAGACTACTTTCTTACCTACACCTCCTTTCTCTACTACGTCCTTCTCCTAGTTAGTATCGAAGTAAATCGCAAAATTAAAACGAAAAACGTAAAACGTTTAAAGAAGAAAAGAAACAATTCTTTAATGAGCGTAGAAGCTAAGAAGTTACCTCCCCTACTACTTCGTATAGCGGAGTACCGAGGTCTTAACTTCTTAACTCTCGAAAGATTCTCCGAGAACGAATAAACTATCATACTCCCTACGCATCTATTTAGTAATAGACGGGACCTCAACTAC